AAATGTGTATGATTTTGATGCTCTTGTTTTTTTGTTTTTTTTTGTTGTTTTTGTTGTATTGCATAAATATTTCATTATATAAATTATACATTATCATAATCACGTCACATTGCGATTTTTTTTACATTTTGAAAATGATAAAATAAGGTATTAAGTTATATTATATGTATGTATTTTATGTATGTCATTATTTTGATGTATACATGTATATGTTCTGTGTTGTTGTGTAATCGTCAATGAAATTGGATTAAATTTATAAATGATTGACGATATTGATATGCCGACTTTGCCAAAAAATATGCAACAGTCATCTTTTTTTAAATTATAACATTTCAATTTATAATTGTGACTTTTTTATGTTCATCGATTATCAGTGGCAACAGACATATACAATCATTTATAATCTATGTGTGTATCGCATGATCAACACCATACTTGTTTATTGTCCCTTATTATGTAATCGCAATTAGCAAAGTCCCCATTATTCAATATCTTAAGTTATCTGGTATGTCCATTTTATAGGAAATTAAGCAAAGAACATTTACCAAAATATTATTGCTCTTGGCCTACCTTAAATAAATTTATATCTTTAATGAAAGATTCTAAGCATGGAACTGTTAATAGATTATCAAAACATACCTACTTTGTAAATGCATTACGTGATAGAACGAATGATTGATTGTTTTCAAATACTGATATTGGTATATATAGCATACTATTATTTACAAACATATATTGAAATACAATGTATATGTGTTCTTTACAATATAAAAATGTTAATGTAAAAATTATTTGTATTCAGTTACATACTTTTCTCATATACTATTTGGAACCGTCATTCTGTTTATGGCGACAGACATTGTAAAATGTGTATGCCTTTTGAAATAAAATCTTGAAATCTTGTTCACACTTAGTAAAAATATGACACTGATTAAATTACTATGTTGATCATGTTGAGAATAATTGTTTTATCATACTGTATTACAGTTATTGTTATATCTGTTTTAATTTGTCTTTTTCTTTATCTTTTATGAAGATGTTTTCTTTTTTGTGTTTTATCTGGGACATACGATATTTTATCATGTTTATATCAGTTTAAATATGAACTATCATGTTTTAATGTATACTGAGTTGCATTCTGTATTAAAAAGGTAAATTCTGTCAATAAGACCACTCCATAATCAAAGATAACCTCTGGACAAATAATATTATAAAGATGCACACTTTTTTTGTAAACTTTTTAATAGTGAGCTTTCATTTAAGCTGTTACCTTTTAATAATGAGCTTTTATTAGAGCTGTCACTTTTGGCAGATTTTACAGTGGCTATTATGTGATGTTTTAATATGCATTTAATTTTAATGTGTACTGTATTTGCATATATATGTGCATATATTTCATATATACACATTAATATGCCCATAACATAACAGAATATGGTTTTAATTGTAAAATATCTTAAGTCTCCTGTAATTCTACTTAAAGAATGGCTATGTACAATGTAATGTTATCTTTTATTTTGAAATATATGTAATTGTACACAGATGAGACTAAAATAAATAAATAAAAATACGATAAGTTATAATATGTCCCAGATTTTATGTGCTATTTTAATACTGAGTTATTAGTTTATTACTTTTTTTTTACTATATAAATTTTAAAAAATTAATTGTCATATTTACCGACGATAATGGTCCTAAAATTAACTGGAAAAAAGGTCAGTAAATTATGATTTATCTTTCAATATATTATATTCAGTATTCTTAAAGCATTTATTTTACTTAAAAAAGTAATTAATAAAATAATTTTTAACTAAGAATATCTTTACTAGACGCTAATATTGTCCAATATTGTACATACTTTTCGCATATACTATACCTGGCACTTCATTAATTTCCGTAAAGGTCAGGTGATAAACACTTGTATTTAACGAATATAGCGATATTTTTGTTCACTTCACAAGTCAATGAGTTGTGGTGTATTGGTATAGATGCCTGACTACCGATGGGACATGCATTTTTTTATTATTTTCATTTTTGAAATTTACTTGCAAAAATTGATCAAAAATTGTTTTACTACATCTGTTTTTTAGGATACCTTTTAAGTATAGTGGTTTTTATAAAATTTTACTTTTTATTCCATTACATTATCTTTAATTAATAAAGAGGACAAAAAGGCCAGCACGTTCAGAACTACACAGATAGAATACACAACCGAAAATCAAAATCGTTTTGAACGGGTTAAAAGAGAAATGGCAATTTTAAAATAAAGAAAAAAAATATAAAAGTGGCTGAACCAGCTAGGATTCAAACCTAGGAGTGTACGTCTATATTCTTCAAGTGAAAGCCCGTAATGACTGTGCTATAAGAGGGATTTGTAATTTAGATCATTTAACAACTGGTTATATACATTCATAACGATTTACAAATAGATAGCAACGTTTACGGAATTTACCAACCATAGGGTCAAATGCAAGAGTGTCAGGTCAATATATATATATATATATGTTGTTGGGCAATAACAAATAAAATAAAAAGTTTATTGTGTCCTATAGATACCATTAAAAATGTACCTTTTTATTCAATTATTGTATTTATTTATTGTTTTTGTCAGATATAAATAAAATGAAAAGTGCTTTTGATATTTTTAGAATTGAAAGATTTTGTATAATAATAATTATAGTAAATAAATAAATTTGAGAGATGATCTGTGTTAATTTATTATTGTAACCAAACTAAGTGAAAACATTCTATTTTGGAAAAAAAAATATTTATTTGTTACGATTTCAAATAAAATATCTACTAAAAAAAACCGGGAGAGACCGGGCAAAAAACGTGTGATACTATTCGCCGGTTTCTAGTAAATCCCGGTCGAAAAAGACCGAGAGACCGGGAATTGCCGATAGGAGACTATAGACTAGAACATCCCTAAAAAATGTTCAATCCGAGACCATTGTAGGCATTGCTAGTCTCAGCTTCCATTACCAAAACTGAAACCTTCCTTTAACTGTTTTGAATATCATAAGCAATCATGGCAAAAATGACTCCTCCATCTGCAGGGTCAGACTCCTCCATCTGCAGGGTCAGACTCCACAATCTGCAAGGTCAGACTTATCCATCTGCAGGGTCAGACTCCACCATCTGCATGGTCAGACTTATCCATCGGCAGGGTCAGGCTCCACAATCTGCAAGGTCAGACTTATCCATCTGCAAGGTCAGACTTATCCATCTCCAGGGTCAGACTCCACCATCTGCAGGGTCAAACTCCACTATCTGCAAGGTCAGGCTTATCCATCTTTAAGGTCAGACTTATCCATCTGCAGGGTCAGACTCCACCATCTGCAAGGTCAGACTTATCCATCTTTGAGGTCAGACTTATCCATCTGCAGGGTCAGACTCCACCATCTGCAGGGTCAGACTCCACCATCGGCGGGTCAGACTTCTAAAATTTACATGGTCAGACTTCTTATTTTTATGGTCAGACTGTACAAATGTGAAGTCAGACTAGACAAATGTAAGGTCAGATTACACAATTGCATGCTCCAAATACACAAATGGTATGGTCAGACTAATCAGATGGCATGGTCAGACTACACTACAGGTCAAACACTTTTTTTAGCAGGTTAAAGGATAAAGCTTGTAAGCATAGAAATAAACAAAATCTTGAAAAGCTTTCAATATAGTTTATTGGCAAAATGTACAAACAATAAGGTTGTAATATATATAGCAAAATAAATTCTGCAACAGAATAAGAAATGAAATGTATTCCAGCTTAATGCTGACGAAAAAATTACAACCTGGGTGAAGAATTTAGTCAGAACAATGTCTCGTGTCAGAACTGCACTATTTTTATATTACTTTATATTCCACAGCATTATGGAAGAATTTGACTTTACAAAAAACTTTAACCAAAATTTCTAAGTTAAAAAGGGGCATAATTCTGCAAATATTGTAGGCAGAGCTCTCCAACTTGTCAATCTGATGTACATTGTTACTATATAAGTTTTGTAAGTTTCAATTGAATATCTCAAGCAATAATTGAGATATTTGACTTTACAAAAAACTTTAGGCAACGCAGACACCGGGGCAACTGCAATAGCTCTCCATACTCTGAATAGTCAAGCTAAAAATTCATAGTTATTTTACCAACTTTAGACCATCTCTAAAACAAGACAACCTCTGCAAAGCAACTCCCTTTGAGAGATAAATATTTTTGTTGTAGTAGAGCTGTGTTGCTATAGGGAAGTAAAATTTATAGTTAGAAGAATTAATACAGTTGTTATAAAGAGGTCAATGCTTTATAGAGGGTTGTTCTGCAAAGATTGCAGTGAATGATCGAAGATTTTTCAAAATGACTGGTTCACAGTACATTTTGACTGGTTCCCACTTCATATAATAATCAATGCAAATTAACCCAATCAGCAAAATGTAACAACAGGCTTATTTTAACATAAAAACAACGTTATTTTCACACTTTCTTACACATGTTAAAGGCACATTATACATAAGAAATCAATTTTTGAAAACAACAATTCTTAAGAAATGTCAAAATATGTTTTATAATGTACAGGAATATGTTTTTTTAAGGTAGCAAAAAAGTATTTTGACTTCCATATGAAAAAATTAATTCACTATAAATGAGTAATTTTTTGGGAAATTTAACAAGATACCAAATAAATGGAAAAATTTGGGAAATAAAAATGAAAGCATTTCTGAGGCATACTGGGCCTTTAACTTATTATATATAATTATATACTAGTACATTTCACAGAAAACACAATTATTTACAGTGATATTGAAGCAAAAACAAATGTTGCAAAATTAACTACACAAATTAATCCTGGGCACTTCTATGCATTAAATAAGACTGATCTCCTTTTATAAAAAGAAATAATAACTTAATAATTCCAAAAGAAAACACACAAAAAAACAACAGAAAACAAAACATTGTAATTTTATCAATAAATATGATTTCAAACATAGTTTTTACAGGTGTATTCACACAGTCTTTGGTGTCAATGTATTATAGAGAATAAAGAATCTCTGGCATAATTTTACACTGTGTTTCACTTGTCATCAGCTTCAATCAAAATTACCTCCCTTTATTTTACTCTCCTTCCAATATGGACATGATTATTCATAAAAATAACTGTACCAAAATGATAAATATGTGTATTTACGAATATAAAATAATCTCGTTTTGGCTCATGTCACATTTTTATGGATCATGTCACATTTTTGCAGATCATGTCACATTGATATGTCTATTTATATCTCTACAAATGTGTATCAGCTATATCTATCCGACGAAGCTCGTACTTATCAATATTACTCGACATTTCCGACGCCCTGTCACTATCGCCACTACCGTCACTTGGCGTAAAACTTCCGCCAGTTTTCAACGCGTATAATAAATCTTCAAAGTCTTTAGTATCTGAGATTGTATTCTGGTGGTACACTGGTGGTTCGATGTAGAGGTTACCTCCAGTAGGAAGAGTTCTCTTCACTTTCATAGTACTGCGAGTCGTTCTCGAAGCTGGAATAGAATCGCGTTCCCAACTCTGAAAAAGAAATCATAAAATCAGGTTTTTATTTTCTGTAATAAAGAAATTGACAATATGGTTTACAGAAAAAACAAGCAATTATCATAGTATTGCAAGCAATCCATAAGTCCCCTACCGGTTAGAACCCCATCAACATTCTGAAGGGCCATTGGCCATTCACTAATGTTTCAATTTTTCTCTATTTTAAGTAAATTTGTTGGAAAAGTTCTTTAAAAGTGATCACAGGAAACAGTTTTTATGAACAGACAGACAGACGGACTGAAGGACACTCTAAAGGTAATATTTGAAACATCTCTGTTACCAAAATATAACATTTTTAAAAGCAAAATTCTTAAAGAGGAGATAACTCTTGAATTAAAGATGCAATTTCATAAACATTTTCAGCTCTTTTTGACTAATCACAAATATTGTTATATTTGCCATGTTTTAAGCCTATTTGTTGCCAAGGCAACCAATATTTTTTTCAAAATAGGAAGAACAGATAAGACATGCATAATCTCAAGACTGCCATCTACCCATATGTCAAGTTTCATAAAAATATTTCCAGTACTTTTTGAGTTATCACTGGATTCAGTTTATGTGTAAAATTTGCCATTTTTTCAGTCTATGTGTTGCCATAGCAACCAGAGTTTTCAACATAGGAAGAAAAGAAAAAGACGTGCATAATCTCCAGACTGCCATCTACCCATATTACAAGTTTCATAAAAATATTTCCAGTACTTTTTGCGTTAACACTGGATCCAGCTAGTTTATGTGTAAAATTTGCCATATTTTCAGTCTATTTGTTGCCATAACAACCAGAATTTTCAACATAAGAAGAAAAAAAAGACGTGCATAATCTCCAGACTGCCATCTACCCATATTACAAGTTTCATAAAAATATTTTCAGTACTTTTTGCGTTATCACTGGATCCAGTTTATGTGTAAAATTTGCCATATTTTCAGCCTATTTGTTGATAGCAACCAGAATTTTCAACATAGGAAGAAAAGAAAAAGACGTGCATAATCTCCATACTGCCATCTATCCATATATCAAGTTTCATAAAAATATTTTTAGTACTTTTCAAGTTATCGTGGGATCCAGTTTTGTGGACGGACGGACTGACAGACAGACGGACGGAGGGTAAACCTAAAGTCCTCTCCGGTAAACCGGTAGGGGACTAAAAATGCTTTAAACTATTTTGATACAAATTTACAGTATTAAGTAAGATAATTTGTTTGAAATGTTTTCAAAGATTGCTTTTAAAGATTATCACAATTGCTGACCAAAACAAATCAGGGATGTCCACAAAATAATATGGCACCAGACTAAAAACCCAGGCTTCCACCCAGGGATCCAACATTAAAAATAATATTTAATTAAGATTATCTTTCAACTTTAATATTTTAATAATAAATTTGTTAATGAATAATCTTCAATGGTATAAATTTTCCATTAAATTAAAAAAGAAAATTTATGGCATTGAAAAATATTCAATATGCAGTGATTCTAATAGCTTGACTTTTTCATCAATATAGACGAGCTAAAAATGAAAAGGGGAGATCAATAAAATGAAATGATTTACAACATTGGTGACTGTAAATAACATTCAAAGCAAAGTAGCTAGGGAGCAGAAAATAAATAACAAATGAGCTGCGTCATGACAAAACCAACATAGTGCGATTGCGACCAGCATGGATCCAGACCAGCCTGCGCATCTGCGCAGTCTGATCAGGATCCATGCTGTTTGCTATCAGTTTCTCTACTTGTAGTAGGGTTGGTAAGCAAACAGCATGGATCCTGATCAGACTGCGCAGGCTGTCTGGATCCATGCTGGTCGCAATCGCACTATCCTGGTCTGGATCCATGCTTGTCGCAAACCCATTATGTTGGTTTTGTCATGGCGTGGCTCAAATCATGTAATACAAAATGTTATCTTTAACCCATTACCCGATGGAACTGAAATAATTTCTTCTTTGCCACCAATATAAGAGCCTTGCAGTCTAACAGATACTGTCGGTAGTTCAATTTTTGTTTTTTGATATTAAAATCCCTTAAACTTTAAACGTTAAAGTTCCAAATTTAAAGCAGGGTAAATCTGTTATATAAAATAAGCGGGTTAAGGCTGTTAAACAAGGCAGGAAAAGTTATTTTAACAAAGCAGACAACACATAAAGTTAATATAGACTATACTTACTTACCCAGTACATTACAAAGAGAAGCAAAATCATATTTTGCTAAGCCATGCAATAGTAAATAAGAATGACATTACACGCACATGCAGAAAGGAAAATGTACAAAAGGATAGCATACACAATGAATTATTTACTAGACAAACAGACCACTATTAACTATATAAATGCGGGAACTATCACCACAATAAATACAGGAAACAACATCACAATAAATCATGGAAGCACACCACAATATATAAACTGGGGACAGTTCACCAAAATTAATCTGGGAACCATTCACCACAATAAATAGGTAACCATTCACCACATTAAATAAGAGAACCATTCACCACAATAAATCAGGGAACCATTCACCACAATAAATAGAGAACCATTCACCACAATAGAGAACCATTCACCACAACAAATAGGGAACCATTCACCACAATAAATCTGGGAACCATTCACCACAATATATAAATCAGGGAACCATTCACCACAATACCAACTTTTCATACCTCATTTAGGAGAGAGGCTCGTGAACCTTTCAAACTTCCAACATCTAGTGTAGCCGGATGGAACTGGTACTGACCTGTACCGGGGTTTGGTGCAGTCTGTGTCTGACCAGGCTCAAACATGTGACCTGTCATTGAATAAGAACTGGCTCGCTGAGGTCCGAAACAATGTGCGAGGCACGGGTTCCTCAGTAGAGAATATAAGATTAACGCCATCAGACCCTGAAAGATTACAAATAAATTCATAGATTGTACACATGTGCATTCCTAACATATAGTGTGTGTATTCCCTAACATATAGTGTGTGTATTCCCTAACATATAGATTGTACACATTTGTATTCCCAAACATATAGATTGTACACATTTGTATTCCCAAACATATAGTGTGTGTATTCCCTAACATATAGTGTGTGTATTCCCTAACATATAGTGTGTGTATTCCCTAACATATAGTGTGTGTATTCCCTAACATATAGATTGTACACATTTGTATTCCCAAACATATAGTGTGTGTATTCCCTAACATATAGTGTGTGTATTCCCTAACATATAGTGTGTGTATTCCCTAACATATAGTGTGTGTATTCCCTAACATATAGTGTGTGTATTCCCTAACATATAGTGTGTGTATTCCCTAACATATAGATTGTACACATTTGTATTCCCAAACATATAGTGTGTGTATTCCCTAACATATAGATTGTACACACGTGTATTCCCTATCATATAAACAGATAAATAGTAATAACGGCTGTCTAAGCTTATAAAATACAGTGTCATTTTCCTAGACTTAGGTTTTTTCTCCTTACATTCCTACAGTCACACTTGAAGTAATAGATAATCACAGAATAAGTCCATAGGACACGGATTCTGTATACAGTTACAAAGCCCCCTTCTTATATCTTGAAGTGCATTTTAACAGTAGCATTCAGGAAAAGATTAAATCTGTATATACCTTCCCCTAAATGGGGGCATAAAAATACATTGCCATAAAAACAAATTTGACTCGGAATTACAAAAACTGCTCAAAGAACCTGTAATATGTTGAATATACAGAACATTATTAACATCCAGAGATGTCCGTAAACAAGGTGAAGTCCTCCCCACATCCATGTTATAATAATCACTGCCCAGAATAACAACAACGTTCGCACCTCTGAAATGTAGGTAAACAAAAATTTTATACACTTGCTTATGTAAGTATCAAGGACTTGGTGCAAAAAAATTGTAATATATGTTGCAGTTTGGATTGGAATATCCATGCCGAGGGGACCTTGCAATTGGGCAGTAATGAGGCTTGCCAAGTTACCGCTCTTGGGCAAGTTCCCAAGGGAGAGATATTTTAATCCGATACATATGTCAAATACTTTTTTCTTGTATATTCTACCATATGCCATTATATTTTAAATTCTTTACCCTCATAAAACAATTTTCCATGGAATTTATATCATTACACCCGTAACTATTTTCTTACAACAGCATATGAAATTACAACTTTATTCATAACAGTAAAATTATGTCATCCAAAGCATGCCACTTGTATAGCACGCAACTCATCTGGCATTCCTCATGCCAGATGAAATTTCAGGCATTGGGTAAAACTAACTGAAATGCCAGTCTGATATGCAAGAAAGAGTTTTCTGCTGCTTTAGATATCCTGGACAGACACAGCTAATTTAATCTCCTTTTACATAGGTCTATATCAAACATATGAACAGGATCCATGCTGTTCGCTTACAAACCCTGTAACAAGTACAGAAACTGATAGCGCACACCATGAATCCTGATCGGACTGCGTGGATGCACTTGCTGGTCTGGATCCATGCTGGTCGCAAACGCACTATGTTGATTTTGTCATGGCGCTGCTCATATATTTTTGCGAATGAATAACACCTACCACTGATATTATATCTTCCCCTGTATATATCATCGTAGGCCTGCCATTGTGGCGTCACCTGGAATGCCTTCACAAACACCACAGCAACCACAACCAGCATCAGTAACACTGGCAGGATCAAACCTCCTAGACCCGCATAGGGGTTCGTGATAAAACACCTATATATGAGGAAAAAAATCAATAGTTTTTTTTTCAATTTATAAATTATATTTGCAATAATTAAGATAAATTAGAAATTATTTGTATTAAATTATCCCATCAAATGTCAACCAATTTTCATATATCATTATTGAAGAAATGAATACATGGAATTATCTTAAACAAGATATGTTTGTAAAACATGTATGCCCCCTATCAGCAGCCAAATAGTCATGTGATAAGGTTATTATGCATGACTTCTGACCCAGTGATCAAGCAATTATTAAGGGTTATAAAGTATCTACTGGTCATGACCTTGACCTTTGACCTCTTGACCCAAAACTCAATAGGGGTCATCTGCTGGTCACGACCAATCATCATACAAAGTTTGAAGTTCCTAGGCCTAGGCGTTTTTAGTAAATTGATCAGAAACCGTTTTTACCTACTAGGTCAATGTGACCTTGACCTTTGACCCCTTGACCCCAAAAACAATAGGGGTCATCTGCTGGTCATGACCAATCACCATGCCTAGGTTGAAGTTCCTAGGCCTAAGGGTTCTCTTATTATTGATCGGAAACCGTTTTAACATACAAGGTCAATGTGACCTTGACCTTTGACCCCAAAATCAATAGGGGTCATCTGCTGGTCATGACCAATCACCATGCCAAGTTTGAAGTTCCTAGGCCGAAGCGTTCTTTAGTTATTGATCAGAAACGGTTTTTACTTACAAGGTCATTGTGACCTTGACCTTTGACCCCTTAATCCCAAAATCAATAGGAGTAATCTGCTGGTCATGACAAATCACCATACCAAGTTTGAAGTTCCTAGGCCTAAGTGTTCTTGAGTTATTGATCAGAAACCGTTTTTACTTAAAAGGTCAATGTGACCTTGACCTTTGACCCCTTCACCTAAAACTCAATAGGGGTCATCTGCTGGTCATGACCAATCATCACACAAAGGTTGAAGTTCCTAGGCCTAAGCGTTTTAAGTTAATTGATCGGATCAGTTTTTACCTACAAGGTCAATGTGACCTTGACCTTTGACCCCTTGACCCCAAAATCAATAGGTCATCTGCTGGTCATGACCAATCACCATACCAAGTTTGAAGTTCCTAGGCATAAGGGTTCTTAAGTTATTGATCGGAAAGCATTTTTACCTACAAGGTCAATGTGACCTTGCCCTTTAACCCCTTAACCCCAAAATCAATAAGGGTCATCTGCTGGTCATGACCAATCACCATACCAAGTTTGAAGTTCCTAGGCCTAAGGGTTCTTTAATTATTGATCGGAAACCGTTTTTACCTAAGAGGTCAATGTGACCTTGACCTTTGACCCCTTGACCCCAAAATCAATAGGGGTCATCTACTGATCATGACCAATCACCATCTCAAGTTTGAAGTCCCTAGGCCTAAGGGTTCTTTCATTATTGATCGGAAACCGTTTTTACCTACAAGGTCAATGTGACCTTGACCTTTGACCCCTTAACCCCAAAATCAATAGGGGTCATCTAATTGGTCATAACCAATCACCATACCAAGTTTGAAGTTCCTAGGCCTTAAGGTTCTTTAGTTATTGATTGGAAACCGTTTTCACCTACAAGGTCAATGTGACCTTGACCTTTGAACCCTTGACCCCAAAATCAATAGGGGTCATCTACTGATCATGACCAATCACCATACCAAGTTTGAAGTTCCTAGGCCTTAAGGTTCTTTAGTTATTGATCGGAAACCGTTTTTGCTTTCAAGGTCAATGTGACCTTGACCTTTGACCCCTTGACCCCAAAATCAATAGGGGTCATCTACTGGTCATGACCAATCACCATACCAAGTTTGAAGTTCCTAGGCCTTAAGGTTCTTTAGTTATTGATCGGAAACCGTTTTTGCTTTCAAGGTCAATGTGACCTTGACCTTTGACCCCTTGACCCCAAAATCAATAGGGGTCATCTACTGGTCATGACCAATCACCATACCAAGTTTGAAGTTCCTAGGCCTAAGGGTTCTTTAGTTATCACTCGGAAACCATTTGGTCTACGGACCGACGGACCGACAAGTGCAAAGCAATATACCCCCTTTTCTTCGAAATGGGGGCATAAAAAATTTTTTACTTCAGCGCAAAGATAAAGGTAACGTCTAAGTTCATGCCTCCAAGTCCAAGCTGTAAGAATAATGGGCCACATTATTTACCAAACCATGGTAATAATTATTATAGAATTGTATGTTACTAAAATCACAGACTTTGAATAAATTCAACTAATAATATAAACTGCTCAACAAAACAGGGCAAATCCAAGATTTGGAATGTGGCAAAAAGTCAGACAAATAATCTAAGGATTGCTGATTGCATCGCTTCAAACCCTGTCAGAGGCAAGTCATTGTTTCCTTGAGCAAGAAACCTTCATTCCTTAGTACTGGTTGGTCCAAAGAATGGATTCGAGAGTGTTTCAATAAATTTGTATAAACTAAAACAGACATAAATTTTAATTTCTACTAAAAAAAACTTACATTTGTCCATTATTGTTAACATCTCCGTATATGTAATCATATGGTAAATCATAAACATATCTGTAGAGGTTAAAGGTGACCACATAAAATACAGCAATTATAACCACTGGGATACCTGTAAATTAAAAATAATCACTTGTGACAATCAACCTTTAATTTCTTACAATGTAGAAATAACTTTTATAATTTGTTCACATTGCTTTGCTGACTTTACCAAGAATTTTTGGCTATATCCTGGAATAGACCCAGGGGGGCTAAACCAGGAGTATATATAAGGTTCATTCTGTTTTCTGTAGTTTATCATAAGTAAAGTTTTACTCCTGAAAAATACATTGGGGTCTAATCCAGAAGATTGCCAAATTTTTAAATGATGTTGTCCCCATAACAATTTTACATTGTTTTTTTTCTGATAAAATTTTCAAACATTATTTTTTCCATAAAATCCCTCATTGTGCAACACTCGATATTCACTTTTTTAAAATTTCATTAAAGAACAACAAATAAATTACCAGGGGAGGTAATAAGAGGTACAAACAAGAGTTATGCTCTCTTCCATTTGATAAAACTCAAATAACTTTTTATTTTTGACATTTAGCGAAATTGAGAAACAGCAATGGAATTTAAGGAAACAGAAGGTACTTGTTCATCAAATGATCTCAAACTTATAAAGTAAATGTCCTACCCCATCCAAGCAGGAAGAAAAGAACATATTTTCTGTCTGTATGTTCATCATTTAACACTAAAATCTTCCAGAAATTCAAAGCCTGAAAATAGAAGTAAAAGGTTAAGGTCATATAAAAATAACAAGGTTTAACTTACTGACAGAAGCATTGTTTTTTATCAGTGAAATCTTACACATTAATGAATATTATTATTAATTCTGTAAAATTCAACTTTATCAGTACCGTATTATCTGTGATTTTTTTAACAGTCTGAAGTCATATTAATAGTAATTTTTAAACAGCCTAAAGTATTATTAACCATGATTTTTTTTACAGCCTGAAGTCATACTTCATTTAATCTAACTCTAAGGTATTTACACTTTTCATTTTTCTTATTGAACATTGTAAGGAGGTGGCATCCCATACTTCAGAAAAAAAAGTGTACAATTTTTCCATGTCAGTGTGTTCTTTAAAATGTGACTAAGATCACATGATCAAGAAAAGTTATATGAGCCGCGCCATGACAAAACCAACATCGTGGGTTTGCGACCAGCATGAATCCAGACCAGCCTGCGCATCCACGCAGTCTGATCAGGATATATGCTGTTCATTTACCAACTCTATTAAACGTAGAGAAACTGATAGCGAACAGCATGGATCCTGATCAGACTGCGCGGTGCACAGGCTGGTCTGGATCCATGCTGGTCACAAACCCACGATGTTGGTTTTGTCGTGACACGGCTCATATATTGCCTACCTGAGTCATCATCCAGGAGAACTGACAGAGGAAGAAATAATGTAGAAATAATCCCATAACAATACATCTGTAGTTATCTTCCCCTACTGTATATACTATAATCTCATCCGGACTGAGATAGGCTGCCACCACATAACATATCTGAAATATACAAGTCACCACATAACATATCTGAAATAAACAAGCCACCACATAACATATCTGAAATCAACAAGCAATTATCAAAGTATTGCAAGCAATACAAAAGTCCCCTATCAATTTGAACCCCACAAGAAATATGTCAGCAACATTCTGAAGGTCCATTACCATTCAATCATGCCATTGTGGAATACATGAATGATCTCTTTAGTTCATAGTTTGTCTGTAAATTCTACTTTCATAGAAAGTTTCATAAAAATATTTTCAGTACTTTTTGAGTTATCACAGGATTCAATTTTTGAGAACAAATGGCGACAGACAGACGGATGGCAAACCCAATTTCCTCTCCGATTAAACTTGTATGGAACTTAAAAGAATCAATATTAAATTGTATATAGAATATTAAAATAGTAGTTTTACCGTATATCTATGATAAGTTAATGAACAGAATAGAAATCCATGTAACTGAAATGTATACTTTTTAATTTTTGAAGTTACATCAACATTGTAAACATACGACCAAGTTTCCTTGAAGAGCACAAGTGCCACTTTAGGCATGATTTCCGGCATGGGCGGGTACCAGAGTATAACCCAAGAATAATTGTAAATTAAATTTTCAGTTCTACCAGTAACAACTTACATAATGACATAAAAAGATGTATGTGGTAACATTTTTAAATTAATACATGTTTTGAGTATTTAAATATTATTAAAGGTCATTTTGTTATATTGTATTATTTCTTTAAAAACTGTATCAAAATTTTGATCATACTTTGTAAGCAAGTTGTGTACAAAACTGGAAGTTTCTGAAGAAAAAAGTACTACGAAGATTGATCAAAAAGTTCTCGGCCTGATGTACTTCCACTAGTCAGAGAACCCAACTAATGGTCTTACTTTTCAATATAATTACTCTCTACATCAATGCACTTTGCCCATTTGTGCTTGAAATTGTTTAACCCTTCAAAATAGAACTCTCTATTTTGGTCCTCAAAGAACTCATTGACCGCCTCCATGACAACTTCATTGCTTCAAAAACTTCTAACACGAAGCTTGATTTTCAGGTGTGAGGGTTTTGGAAACAGGTAGAAGTCAGAAGGGGCCAAGCCGCAATCAGTTGCAACAGCCATGAATGATAAAATTTGTTAACTTACTTGTGTTGCCATGGCTGCAAAGCACATGTGCATGAGGAGACTGGCACTAAACATGGCGCTCACAGAGCATATATGATGAGCTAAAATTGCTGCAAGTAAACCAGTCTGCAAAAAAACAACAACAACATAATAAACATGTACGATCATTTTTGTTGTGCAAAATGATTAAAAATGAAACGCTTTTCACTCACCGTCCTAAAAAATTGTGAAAAAATATTGTTTTCAATTCAACTCTTGAATATATTTCCTTATTATCCTTTGCAGAATTATCCAATTTAGGTGCATCATTTAATCTATGCAAAAAGTCAAATTTTAAGTTTCAAGGCTTTTTGATCTCTATGAAATTCCTTAAAAAGCTATGCACCCCACATAAAACATATCACATACCTATGCCGCTTTTGCAACTCCGCAAAAACGGTATTGCACAACCATGCATATATTTTGACGTGAAGTCATAAGCGTTATACAAACATAGCATTAAGATGCACTGAATCTTAGCTTTATACTATAGGCGCGTCAAAGAAAAATGTTACTTTTTCACTTTAAATAGTTTTTATTTAAGGTAATACTGTATGTGATAAATAGAATAGATTTGTGTAAGTTCATTGGTAAATTTATTTAACTTATTGAATAAAATAATATTTTGGTCGCCAGAGGCTCACATAACATAATTTTATTCAACTTATTTAATAAATTCAGTATTTAACCTACACTCATTCAATATCCTCTATTTAATGTCAGCAAACACTGAATATATTTTCTTACCATACAGATGAAACAGGAAACAAAAAACCAGACGGAATATCCCACAAGGCCGCGGTCAGATGTGGTTGCCATGACAGCATAATGAGTCAGGTGCTTGCAGGAACAATCAACGAAGTCATCAACACCAAGATTGAGGTCGTTCGTCACCTGACAGATGTCTTTGAGGTCGACCCATTGATTCAGACCCATGTTGTAGTACACACATCTTGAATACAAAATAAGAGAGCGATTAGTGATCACATGACTGTGTCGCCTGATGATAGCTACTGAATTCTGTACTGTGTGGCAGACGACATAAAAATCATTAACAGGCCAAAAAGCCTTTTTTTATTCAAGGGCAATAACTCAGCTGAAAATCATTCAACCGAAAAACCTGTTTAATATGCACAAGTACTTGAGGTACTTATCAATCCTGTAATTTTTCATTCAAATTGAATTAGTAGTTTAAGAGAAGTAGTCCAAACAAAACTTTAGAAAAAAAAACAAATCATTAAAGGACCCTTATATGTTTGTGTACCAGAAATAAGTAAAGCAAATGTCTTACTTAGCACGGCTGGTTGCAATACGTCTATCAGGACTGTGTATACGATAAGTCACCGGGTAATCTGAATATGTGGATTCACGTCCCTTCAGACCGAATGATATCACCTATAAAATAAAATACAATACATATATATAAAAAAATATCGTAAAAACCAACAGTGTCAGTGTAACTCTAAACCTGATTATAAAATAGTCCAAAGGCGACTTCCCAGCTTTACTGGTGGAGTAAAGCATCAGATGTCCCTCCGTGCATTATTTCTAGCACCAGAGGGCACCTGATTATAACCTCCAAGGACGTTCCATTTCTAAAAAAAAATGTTGTTTTGCTAGAAGTATAATAATAATAATGTAAAATTTATATTAGTCTATTTTACATATAAAACATATAGCGACATCCTCTTTCTTTACCAAGGATCAAACCAGCAACTAAAGCTCCGACATTTAAAACTTTTTGTAAACAATTACCAATTTGCTGAAAATCGAAACGATACAGTTTAAACGGTGGTACTTTTATGTACTATACTATGCCATGTATTCGAGCTGCCAAATGATGACTTACTTTTTATTGAATACATGTACAAATAAATAATGTCCAGGGCTCATTGCAAAGGCGATTATTGCACTGTGATGCTGTGTGGAGGGTTTGTTAACACCCATTTTCTGTTTTTTACTTTTGAATAAATCAGTTAGAATTGATAGAATTCATGATTACAGGCAATGATTAAAATATTTTGTAAAACAATATGGTTATTTAGTTTAAATAGTAAAAAATATCATAAATGTTAACCATGGGGGCAGATGGACTGAGAAGTTAAGCTGAGAAGGTATCACATGACTTAAAACTAAATCAATACAAAAGGCATAAATTACAAAATTTACAATGCACATATAATTCTAGTTTGACTTATATATAATCACATTACAATGTAAATATAATTTTAATTTGACTTGTATATAATTTTACCTTGCTACTAAGGAGCTGTCTGCTTGAACCCTTCTGGAACCACTGTTCACTACTGTACTCTATCATGTGGAAGTCTTCACACTGTAATCATTTGAATAATAACAGAGGTACAAACAGAATTCGGGGGTTTACCACAAAACCATACCAAGTCCATCTTTATTTCATATAAGTTACTGCAGTTTTTTGTTCAACCCTAAAGATGTACAATATAAGGCTAAGTAACGGACATAAGATATCGCCAATTCTCTTGTCACCTTTGTCAGTGGGATTTCAAATTTGGCGGGTATGTCATGTTGTATTATACTATATACATGTAGTTCTAGATTTCATTTCAGCCATTGTGTTTCAGTAAGTACTTTGGATTTTAATTTAAGATCATGATGACCAATGTTGAGACTTAATATCCCTGTTAAAACATATATTTTAGTTTTTACTGTTACAAATTTATATAAACGTGCAATTTAATTTTTAAGACAAATCAGTCACCGATTCAGTTACAAGATGAAGGAAATATGAAACAAATTCAAAATTCTGAAGGAAGTTCTGTTATATGTTATTAAAATGATATAAATCATTACTAGCAAACAATATAACAGTTGCTGCATGGCTGAGTGGTTAACGCATTGGGCTAGTAATCTAATGATCGCTAGGTGCATGGGTTCAAACCCCATCCGTGGCAAGTTGTTATTTTCTTGAGCAAGAAACTTTACACTCATTGCTCAGTACTGGTTTGTTTCAGGAACGGATTCGAAAGTGTCCCTATAAGCTTACAGCATCCTACACAATCAAACTAAAAAAAAAACAACATTATAACATTTTTTACAAGAGGTATTTCTTTGCTGTACAAGAAAGAATCTATACAGAATGGGCGATATTAATGATTTTATTTAGTTTACCTCGGAGTCTCGATTGTCCGGTACATTGGGAAGTTCTGGTGGTATGATAAATTTATCCTGTCTCCTGTAAAATTGTTGAAACAAAATTCTTTCATTCCATTCTTACAAAGCTTATTACCTTAAAAAGACTCGCATTTTTAATCTAGGCAATATCATTTCTCATTTTTAAGAGAATATTTCACTTTTAGAACAATCACAATGAAAGTGACCTGCACTGTCTGGGAATTGAACCGGAGTCCCTGGATTCACAATCAAAAGTTTTTCTACCTACTGAGCTAACCAGATGGCTTTTTCAAGCTTTCATCATATCATATTAAATGTTGAATAAACAATTTGGCAGAAATAAATAGTATTTAGTAATTTCCCATGGAAATAAACTCTGCTATTAATATAAAAAATATGGGAGTTTCAGAACTTACTGTCCAGCATATTGGAAACTTTTAATCTTCCCCAGCGGCCATCTTCCTGCTGCTATACTAGCGTGAGGACATTGTTTGGAATGTCTGAAATGTTATAAAATTATCCTGTTATCATTGTGCTGCTTTTTTTTTTTAAACCCATGACATTAGAGCAGCACACCTCCAAATTCATGCTAATTTTCATGATTTTTTTTTTTATAAATGTATCAAAAAGTAACATATTGTTAAGTGAACAAAGAAAATAAATTTTCATATTGCAAACAGCATTCACAACCTATGTAAATTACCAAAAAAAAGGAGGTCAAAATGTGCAAAAATAGCCCTAAATTGGCTAACTGCGTAAGTAACGCAGTAGAAATATGGTGATAAATACTGCATTGGTCATAAATCACATATAACATGGAAATTATTACTTTTATCTCGAATATTTTTTACTTGTCTTCAAAATCTCAGTACTTTTTAAATACAATGTATCTGTAATTACTAAAGAGGGTTTTCAAATTATTTTTTTTAACAATTTTATTATGTCTTTCAATAAATCTATTCATTTTTGGTTCTGTGAAAACATATATTTTTTTTTTCATTCATTTACATTTCATTTTATGAAAGTAAAAGAGACAAGGGATTTTTCGTTGGGTGGGGCGGTACGGGGAATTGACCCTGACCATCATGTACGCCACGTTTTTTCCCCTGTAAAGCAAGGTCCGGGGCGCCCTCTGGGGGCAAAAGCCTGTCGGGACTCAACAATTTACATAATAAATCTACCAACTGACCAATCAATGTTGTAGGAATTCTGAAAATTCAAAGAAGGATATTTATATGATAAAAATTTTAATAACAAATTTACAATACCGAACAATAATGTTCTTTCATCAATATATTTAATACTGATGTATCCGCTAGGTTATCAAAAGAGCTTTATTTTATTGGTGTGCTTAAATCAAAACTTAACAAAAATTGATGACAAGGACCTTTTTCAATTGTTCACAAATAACGTCCATTGACTTTTGTTACCATATTATGTTTATTTGCCCTGATATACAAACTGTTCGGCATTATATTGAAATGAAAAGTTAGTTATTGTCAATTATTTTTTAGAATATTAAGCATTATATTGAAATGGAAGTTAGTTATTGTCAATTATCTTTTAGTATATATTATTTTTGGGGGTTTGGGTTTTCCGTCACATATAAACGGTAAAGGTAATATGGCAACTTTCCAGCTTTACTGGCAGAAGAAGACCATGATAGCCCCACTGTGAATTATTTCTCACATGACCAGGCATTCAAGAAGAACCACTGATGTTCTGTAAGCTAGCCTTACACGAACAAATTCAAAATCCCTGGTGATATTCAAACCTATTATAGGGGCCAGTGGTTTGAAGTCAATGACTTTGACCACTCCACCATGGACATGCTTAAAAAATAATAAAAAAAATGTGCAGCAGCAATATATATGGAACATATAAATATCACAATCGTCCAATGAAAATCAAGGTAACAAAAGTGCAATAATATTACTGTACAAATTCGCAAACTTACTTTCTATTCAGGCCCTCCTGTACAATGCCCTCTAGTATTTTCTCAACCAGTGCTATTTGATCGCCAGTGACATCCTCATTGGTGTTTATATCACCATTTAACTGGCCTATGATACTATTAATAAAATATTCAAATTATTGAGACTATAAATAGAATATTCAAATTATCAACAAATATTTATATATAAAATGTATTCTGTTGAAAGAACAAAGCTTATCAACATAACAAGAACTGTCGGAGGACAGTATTGGCTCGACTATTCAAAAATTTGTCACAAGGGTGTTTTATTGAGTATAATAATGCTAGTTACCTTGAATACAGAAAATTGACCGAAAAGGTACAAAGGCTTGTTATTAAGATGTTTTATCAAGTAAATCACTGCTTTATTATTATGAATGATTAAAAATGTCCAAAAAAGACACAAACTCTTCAGTAATTATGGAGATATCAGCTTACAAGCAAAACTTTACCATGAATTTCTAAGTTGAAAAAGGGGAGAAAAATCAGCCTAAATACAAGAGAGAATTATGGATCTTTGTCAGTGACCTACAATTAAATTCTAAATGAATATGTGAAGTTTTAAATAAATATCTTGAATACTTATTGAGACATGTAAACATTAACCAAGAGACTAAGTAGAAAAGGGGAGATGAATCAGCCTAAATGCGAGTAGAGTTATGGAATTTGGTCAGTGACATACAATTATGACTCTCCAATTATGACCCTAAGTACATGTGTAAAGTTTCAGGTAAACATCTTTGAAGACCTTTAACCTTGACCCAAAATTTCTAAGTTTCAAAGGGGCAAATAATTCGGCAAATATTGCAGGCAGAGTTATGCAATTTTGCAAACTAATGTACACTGTTACTATAAAAAAAGTATTGTAAATTTCATTTGAATATCTCAAGCAATAATTGAGATATTTGAATTTACAAAAAACTTTAACCAAAATTTCTAAGTTATACAGGGGCATAATTCTGTAAATATTATAGGCAGAGTTATTCAACATGTCAATCTGATGTACATTGTTACTATAAATAAGAATTGTAAGTTTCAATTGAATATCTCAAGCAATAATTGAGATATTTGAATATACAAAAAAACTTTAACCAAATTTCTAAGTTATAAAGGGGAATAATTCTGTAAATATTGTAGGCGATTACAATAGCTCTCATATTCTTCGAATAGTCGAGCTAAAAACCGCATGATTTTCACGTTGTACTAGTAATCTAAGGATCTCTAGCCACGTATGTTCAAACCCCATCAAGGAGAAGCCGTCGATTCCTTGAGCAATAAATTTAATCTTCATTGCTCAGTACTGGTTAGTTCCAGGAAAGGATCAAAGAGTGTGTTAATTAAGCTTATAGCTTCCTAAATAATTCAACTACAATAACTTTTGTACAAATACAAGTTTGAGATGAAGATACATATAACTTCTACATGATAACCGAATTAGTAAACTTACTCTTTGATATTATCATCTGTAAGGGGTTTGCCATCTATATCCTTAACTATCTGCCAGATATCCTGATCTTTGGGTTCGGCTATAAGTATATATGCTTTCGATGCTTCGGGGTTCAAACTGGAAAACAAGAGCAACTTATGAGGTGTTAACAGTTGTATGTTAAAAATTCTAAATAAAAAAGGGCCAAAACTCTAAAATTTTAGCTTTTGGAATGATGCCCCTTGACAGGCTACTGTGCCTTGTCAGGAAAAGCAAGCATTCCCAGATTCATATTGATACCTCATTTAAATTGTTTGAGCAATGGGCTACATTAAAGATTTTGCTAATGACAACACTGCCAGTGATTATAATACCAACATTTATAAGTACATTCTATTATTCAGAAAAAAGTTTTAAAAAGGATTTTTTATGTAAAAAATGGACATTATAGCCTTACAAAAACAGGAAATTATCTTTATAGACTGTTTACCTACCTTGAACCATTTGATGGGTTATTTAGCTCAATATAGAACTGTTTTGGATAACCAGTCTGGGCAGCTAAAAATGGCGTCAAATTGATGTCAATGAATTTGATTTCTTGTCGATCCTGTTCAAACACCATTTCTCCTACTTGCTGGGAGAAATCTTTTCCTGCTAGAGCCGGTGAAACTGTGACCCCGTTGATATATTCCTGTGCATTCATCTGTCGGGTTCGGTAGTCGACTGACACTTGGTACTTTAACCCTTTTACTCGCCTTACACCAAGTCTTACATTTGAATCTGCGTTGTTCACAACCACTTCTCTGAATTTCAAGAAGAAAGTAAATCATAATTTATCCTGCAAGTTTATATAAATTAATACAATGCAAAGTTTTTTATGGTTATTTTACTATGACATTGTTATGTAAACTTATATATCTGGGTCCTCACAACTGGGGGCTTCATTCATAGTCTGCACTTAAGATATTAAGTGTATAACAGGTAATGGTACCCATAAAATCAGAAAAAAATTGTTAGTTTCAACTAAGTTTCACTCAATTCATCAATAAATTCCTTCCAAAAAATAAAAAATCTCAACAAAGTTCCACACAAATCATGGATAAATTCTTTCTACAGATAATCTTAAGAAAATTTTACCTGGATTCATCAATAAATTCTATAAGTCCTCTGACATAATCACTAGCTACCATGGTAACTGTTGCTATGGAAGCATCAGGGTCAAGTTTAGCATCATTTAATACTGACATTAACACCACTTTAAAGGTGTCTTCTTCTTCTGGTTCCTAGATAAAACAAGACATAAAATTGTTTTTCTCGGGCAAATCAATTTTATATGATACGAAAAAGTTCCAATTTAGTTACAGTATACGAAAACACAATTTCAACTTAAGCAGGGTGTAATTAAGTTAATACATATAAAGTACAAATTATGATTCATAACGGGCAGTGGATTTATGCAAACTTGTAACCATTTTTTTTGTTGGGTTTTAGGTCACACCAACACATAAGATGTAATATGGTGACGTTCCAGCTTTACTGAATGAAGAATACCTGAGGTGTCCCTTCATTTATTATTTCAGGCAAGAACGGGCATCGGGGTAGAACCACCGACGTTTCTGTAAGCTAGTTGAATAGCTTCCTCGGGTGACAGAAACCAATGGTCCTTGCTGGAATTGAACCCATGACAATGAAGGGCAAGTGGTTGGAAGTCAATGGTTGTGACACCAATTGAGAGACACACATCTTCACCACTAGGCCAACATGAATGTTGATCAAGTCATATCTTGATATTGAAATCCCTTAAGCTTTAGATGGACAGTTCTAAATTAAAAAAAGTAGGGCAATTTAGAAGGGTTTTTTGTCACAAAAACATCTGTTTCTCAAAAGTAGGGATGGTACTGATCACTCCTGTGAAAAGTCATTGAAATCCCAAAAGCAGTTTGACCTGTGAAAGCCAGACAAGATTTTTCTATTTATAGCTCTAGCGGCCGTTTTGTATAGTGGAGCAGAATGTGCCAGCAATATGCACAACTAGCGATGGTACTGATCAATCTTGTGAAGTTTTATTGAAACTCTGCCAGCAATTTGGCCTATGAAAGTCGGACGAGCTGAATGCAGAGAGATGGATGGACAGACAGACTGCGAAGGCAAAAACAATATGTCTCCCAAAATTTTTGAAAGACATAATTCATTACACACATTCAGCAGGTTACATGTTTAAGATTGGCATATTTAAAAAAAAATATTACGACACAATTTCAATTTACCTCATCATCAGCTAGTGTCACGTTAAAGAGACAATTTTTCTGCAGTGCTGGACAAACTGCCGTGCCCGATGTGCTCTCAAGTTGTTTACCGAATACAGCATCCTCTGGCTCTGTACTGTCAATATCCTTCTTTGCTTTCCACGTTATCTGTTAAAACAAAAATTATTAACATATATTGTTGTATTTATGTATGAAAGATTCTGTATTTATTTGACGTCATTTCCTTTATGTATCAACTGACGAAGCTACTAAAGTGAAACATGTATTAATATTTAGAATTGTGTTGGTTTTAATCTATTTGTCCTGTTGATATGCGCTAATATTTTTGTTGATATGCGTAAAAGTTCTGTTGATATGTGCAAGAATTTTCTGGTTTATGCATGATAATTTTGTTGTTGATTCGAGGAGAACCAATTGGACTTCAGGGACTTAGACATGGAAGGTGCCAGACTGGAATCAAGAGTTGAAATAAATTTAACTTTTTATTTTATTTAAATCCAAATTCCAAACTTCAAATGATTACAGTTACAAGAAGATTAAAACAAAACAACTATAGAATGAAATGAAACTACAAAGTACACAATCATTTACATGATTATTAAACATATACGGTAAATCATTTAACATTCAAAATAGTATAAGACAATACCTTAAAATTACCTTAATTAAAGAACAGGGAATTAACACATTAAAGGGGAATAACTCTAGAATGAAATAAAAGTACAAAGTACACAATCATTTACATGATCATTAAACATGTACAGTAGATCATTTAACCATTCAAAATAGTGTACAAAAATTTACAAAGAATACTTTATTTTATAAAAATAGGGAATTAATAATTCAAGGGAAATAACTTGCTTATTAACTTAGTAAAAAAGTACCTGTCAACACTGAAATATTAAAAAAAAACAACTTTACAATAACATTTTTCTATGAATTCAAGAAGCTCCTAACTTAAATCTATTTGTATCATAAATTTTAACAAAGCTTACTCTTACAAGACTTTGTCTATGAAAAATTTAATTTGTAAATCAAAATGTACAGTAAATGAAATTATGCAGAAAATATCTCTATTTATGATTGAAGATTCCACTACGACCTTTATTAAATTTTATTGATTTACAATTTTAACAATTTATTTTTTGAAAAATTTGCAATAGATATTAAAGGTATATTGATAATTTTCAAACATATCAATTTGTTTCACCTTAAACGGTAAAATAATGATAGAAAACCAGAAATAACATGTAACTGTGTTATGTAGTTCCTAATGTGTAATTCCCCAGAGCTAAATCCGTAACGTACCGGAAAACGGTGTTTAGCTAGGTTTTCGAAAAGGTCAATTATATCTTTAAGACATGGAATATTAAAATTTAAAATTAATTAAGTAAAATAATACTTATAATTAAAGGTTCATGTTTGACTTTAACATCAAACATGACTTTAACATCATTATAAAAATATTTTGTTATAATACTTGCTGCATATACTAAAAAATTTTAACAAGTTTTTAACCATATTTACAAAAATATACAATATTTATGTTACAATAAAGAAATATATGTAAGTAATTAAACATACCTGGAATCAAGAGTTGAAAATAAATTTAACTTTTTATTTTATTTAAATCCAAATTCCAAACTTCAAATAATGAAGTTGGATGGATTTCAGTGGCTTAAGTAGGAAAATACTGATTCCAGGTGACAAACAAGCTGGAAGCCAAAGGATTTTTAGAAAAATTGACTTTTTTGATAAATTTAACATGTCTTATTACTTTTTTATACATAAAGAGGAAATGTCATTATTATCTAACATAGAAAGTGATGATAGATTATGACAGTTTTTACTAGAGTATGGGATATTTAATAATTTCCTAAATGGCTTCCAAAGTTTAGGGTTTTTGAAAAGAAATCATAATTGTTATTAAACAGTTTACATTTAACAAAAAATACATAAAACCATTTATAAACATACAAAAAAATGAAAATACAAATATAATCAACTATATTCATACAAGCTATTTTTACAAAAATAGATGTAAAATATGGGGCATAACACTATCCTGTATTTATTTGCGTAGGTTTTACTTCCGCATTAACATCACATTCTGTTAAACGTAAAGTTAAATGAAGGTCGATGGACCATTTGTCATTTTATAAACGTTTTTTCTGAAGAAGACAAAACGTCAAAAGCTAAAGAAAGGCGTTTGTTTTCATTGAACATATTATACATGTTATCTGCGGTAATACATAGAAATTATTATTTTTTTTTTTAATATATTTGGGGTTTTTTTCAGACAGAAAGTTCTAGAAAATGACATTTGCAAATCTACAAAGACATAAGTATTTGTTTCTGTTTTGTTTGTTTTGGTTGGGTTTTATGTTGCACCAACACCGTATAGGTAAAACAAGAAATTTCCAGCTTTATTAGTGGAGGAAGACCTCAGGTGCCCTTCTGTGCATCATTTCAGGAACAAACGGGCACCCAAGTAGAACTATTGATGTTCCGAAAGCTATGTGGATAGCTTCCTCACATGAAAGAATCCACAGTCTCTGTCATGATTCATCTACCATTTTAAATACATGAATTCATAAATAGAAATAATTTATAAGCATTCACTGATATCATCATGACAACATGGAATTCTTTATCCTTCAATCAGCAACCTTTGCGTTAAGCCACTTTTTAGTAAAATTTTCAAATTCAAATTTTCTTTATATAGTGATACATATCCACCAAGATGACCGGTAACACAGGGTGAAAACTCACCCCCCCCTCCCCCGTTACTGTATAAGTGGATATTTCCGTGTGTCAAAAAGTTAGCAAATTTTAGATTCCTGACATTTCACATGAGGAAATATTAGCGAATCATGAAAGGGTAGAATTCAATGACAGGTTGGTTTTGATATTTAAGCTACAGTCAATTTTAGCAACTTTTGTCAATTTTCGAAATTCGTCAATATTTCAACGACGCTAACAAAACCACTTACACAGTATCCCAATCACTGATCCCCACTTTTGGGGTTGGGTAAATGCTTTGCTTCAATCAGATATGATCATCTCAATTTTCATAACAAACAAAAATTTTAAAACTCATACCTCAATCTGTCCATATATTGCCAGAGAACGGACAAGTTTTAGTGTGGCAATTTTAAAACACGTACCTCAATCTGTCCATATATTGCCAGAGAACGGACAAGTTTTAGTGTGGCAATTTTAAAACTCATACCTCAATCTGTCCATATATTGCCAGAGATCGGACAAGTTTTAGTGTGGAAATTTTAAAACTCATACCTCAATCTGTCCATATATTGCCAGAGATCGGACAAGTTTTAGTGTGGCAATTTTAAAACTCATACCTCAATCTGTCCATATATTGCCAGAGAACGGACAAGTTTAGTGTGCAATTTTAAAACTCATACCTCAATCTGTCCGTATATTGCCAGAGAACGGACAAGTTTAGTGTGGCAATTTTAAAACTCATACCTCAATCTGTCCATATATTGCCAGAGAACGGACAAGTTTTAGTGTGGCAATTTTAAAACTCATACCTCAATCTGTCCATATATTGCCAGAGAACGGACAAGTTTTAGTGTGGCAATTTTAAAACTCATACCTCAATCTGTCCATATATTGCCAGAGAACGGACAAGTTTTAGTGTGGAAATTTAAAACTCATACCTCAATCTGTCCATATATTGCCAGAGAACGGACAAGTTTTAGTGTGGAAATTTAAAACTCATACCTCAATCTGTCCGTATATTGCCAGAGAACGGACAAGTTTTAGTGTGGCAGGTTTTCTGGCATCTTCGTCGGCTATGACATTTAGTGAATCCTGGGCAAACCCTATCATACCACTAGACAAGTCATTTCTCTCTATAGTGATAACAGCAAAACCCTGAAACATATTATAGTAAAATCATGCATGTATCAATGATATACGTCTTGGGGTATTTTTATTCTTGTATTGCATTTTTATTTACCTCAAAATAATTTTTGTTTAAACTATTTGATAGTCATACAATATAACACAGGACACATTATGTTGGTACAATAAAAGGTAAAATAAGAGCTGTCCGTAAGACAGCGTGCTCGTCTATTCTCAGAGCTTGACAGTATGAAAAGGGCCATAGCTCTGTAAAAAGGTAAATCAAGAGTTATGTGATCTGTGTCCATCATATTAGATAATCACAGAAACCAAGTGTGATAACTTTCAACATAATCCAACCAGTAATTTTGGAGAAACCAACTTGCACACAAAAATAGACCAAAGTGTGACAGCAACACTGATGTGAGTACAAGTATTATAGTTCTCTCTATACTTCAAATAGTGCGGCAAAAAAAGCAGAAAATTATCAGTAAAATATTATAATTTCAGGGATTATTGCTGTAAGGTCATTACTTATAAAACTATTCAGGAAAGACTCTTACCTTTCTGCCACCATCTACTTCTCCGGCAGCTATTCTAGCGCCCCCTGTTGGCTGAGTTAAATAAACGAGGACAGTTTGGTCTGGTTCAGCTATCTCATCACCAAGAATCGTCACTGATACAAACTTGACAGTTTCACCTTGCTGTAAAACATACATCTTGTATAGTATCAATGATAGAACAGAAAATATCAGCACTTTTTAAACAAGAAAATTTGAATGGCTGAGCCATGAATTAGAAAAGATGAATGTTTGAAACCACAACTATAAAAAAGATGAATATCTGAATCAAAAACTATAAAAGATGAATGTCTGAACCTAAAACTTGAAAAGATGAATGTCTGAATCAAAAATTCTAATAATAGAAAAGATGAACGTCTGAATAAAACAACTAGAAAAGATGAACGTCTGAATAAAACAACTCGAAAAGATGAACGTCTGAATAAAACAACTAGAAAAGATGAACGTCTGAATAAAACAACTAGAAAAGATGAACGTCTGAATAAAACAACTAGAAAAGATGAACGTCTGAATAAAACAACTAGAAAAGATGAACGTCTGAATAAAACAACTAGAAAAGATGAACGTCTGAATAAAACAACTAGAAAAGATGAACATCTGAATAAAACAACTTGAAAAGATGAACGTCTGAATAAAACAACTTGAAAAGATGAATTTCTGAATCAAAAACTAGAAAAGATGAATTTCTGAATCAAAAACTAGAAAAAATGAATGTCTTATCATAGAATTAAAAATATCAAAATTCATCTTACGTTAAATGTGACAGACGTGTCTAAAACAATGTAGTCCTGGGACGACATAGCAGACGTCAATTTATCTCTGTTGTACAGAACTTCTCTGATTGTATCGTTACCGTCGCCTTCCTTGGGGTTAATCTGGGACGTCCACGACTCTCCCCCACCCACTGTTCTAACTACCACGCTTACAACGCCGAATATACCACCTGAAATAAAACACAATAAATTTGTGTATCCTTACACAGTTATTACACAATTATTACACATCGTTACACATTAAACAATTTCACAACCCAAATCTCCATAAAGACCTGTGTTACAAACACAAATATTTCTTTAGGCTTAGCCTGCTGGCGGCAACAGATTTTATGTTTGTACTGCCTGATCATGATCTGAACTGTTCCCTTTTTAGTTGGTACATATTTTGAAGGATGAGACTAAAAAAAGTGTTGGAGCACCACACTAGATACTGTATTCCGGTACATACCAGACAAGGCGCTGGAATGGTTAAATGCTAAAATATCGTTTTTTCATCCACCGAAATGCACTGTAAGACGCCTAATTCATTTGTTCACACAGATTTATATATGACAATTAATGAAGAATGTAAAATCAGTGTAAAATGCTATATTCAAGATTTCTGCAAGTACAGCTCCAACACTAGATTGAGTTAAATCCTATTTTAAAATTTGGAAAAAAATTATTAATGCACGTTTGACAAGTCCTTTGACAAGATATTTAGCATGGTTAGACTTGATATAGAAAATATACATCACATTTATGCCAGAGCAAACTATAGAAAAGCTTACATAACATTGTGACTAAAACCTATGCAACACATTAAATAAAATTACCAACTTTTCTAGAATATTGTTTACTGGAAAAAGGGTGTTATTATTTTTTTTTTTTTGCTTTACCCAGCTTACCAATCAATGATCAAAAGGTGTTGAATTTAAACACACAAAATATTCATACAAATGTCCAAATCCAATTATTTCATTGGCAAAAATGGAAAAAAATATTCAAGAACATTCCTCGATCATTCAAAAAGGGAAAATAAATCCATAAATTAATTTCACTGTAACTTTCAACTATGTCTGGTAGAAAGTAATAAGCCATGCCTATACATATAATACATTTATGGTTTATAATTTTACAAAGCATATATATTTATACACAAACAATTACACACACACGGAGACATGTTTTACATATTATGTAATAATTAACATATATACACATATATATTATATAGTCTACCTTACCAGAAGCACCATGCACATAAAAAACAATCTCCATAAGAAATGGAGTTTTTCTTTGATGACAAAAAAAAGTAAAAGAAAGAAGATTTAAATTTTGTTTTGACTTTTATCTTTTTGTTTCCATAGCAACATTACACAATGAACTTTGACCTCTACCATACATGCCTTACCTGTATTTTCTTGACCTAGAAATCCTAAAATGTACATTATAAACATTCAAACAAATCCAAAAAAAGAAAAAAAAAGAAAAAGAAAAGAAGTTTGTGTGAAATTATCTCCCTTTTGTCTCAGTGAATTGTGATGGTGAACATTTTTTTTTATTATTAGATATCCATTATTAGTGACATACAAATGTAGATGTGAAAAGTATTGGACCATGGTATTCAAAAACTAAATACTAGTTTATAAATATCAAAATGTTTCGGTGAAAAACAAAGATCAATTTTTTTTAAATTTATGTACATATATATCCCTCTTAACTTTAGAGCAATCCTGGTTATTTCGGCCTGTTTAATTGTCACGAGTATCAAGTCTGGCCTGTCTATACGTCCCAGCTGCCTGTCTTAACACTAAATTTATTACCTATTATTTTTCAAAACATATCTAACTGAATGTACACCATAATTATGAACAAAAATGTTAATGAAAAATTCATTCATAAAAAAAAAAAATAGTGAAAGAAAAGTGATTGAAAGTGATGTTAGATGTTTGCTGTAAGAGGCATGTATGTAAAATAAATAATATTTCATACCTGTGCGTTTGATAGTTAGGTTGACGTCTTGGTACTCTTCTGGTACGGTGATATAGACGGGATCAATGTGTAACACACCATACGGGTCGTTACTTTCTTCTATAGTAACAACTGACGACTTGTGAAGGTAGCTGATACGCGGTGATATACCTGAAATAAATCATGATTTTCAATAACGTTTACTTAAATTTCTAAGCATTTTTGCGACACTGTCTTTAAAAGAAATATGTTTGTATGATTGATTACAACACATCAACACAGTATAGGTTATATGGCAACATTCAAACTTTACTGGTGGAGAAAGACCTCAGGTACCCGTTTGTGTTTGAAAAAATGCACGGAAGGGCACCTCAAGGACGTCCCAAAAGAAATATGTTCTATATGCATTAAACAACAACAATTAATAACACTATAAAGCTCCTCAGTGACAGAGAATAAGACTGGTATAAAACTCAATAAAATCTAATATTAGCAGTGCTAGTCTATTCCATCCATAAATAGGGAGCCAATAATTACAGATGTTTCTGCCATCTGTAAACAGCAAGCCCATATTTACAGATCTATCTGCCATCTGTAAAGAGGGAGTCCATATTTACAGATGTTTCTGCCATCTGTAAAGAGCGAGCCCATATTTACAGATGTTTTTGCCATCTGTAAAGAGGGAGTCCATATTTACAGATGTTTCTGCCATCTGTAAAGAGCGAGCCCATATTTACAGATGTTTTTGCCATCTGTAAAGAGTGAGGCATTTCAATACATCTGTGTGTGAAAAAAAAATGTCTGATCAGGCACTGTACTCTTGGTAGTACAACTTTATATCATTTTTTTTTCTAACATTGGAATGAAACCACAAAGACTCATACTGGATGTGTATTAATATGGCTATAATATAATTGCATAAATTACATACTTGGTGTTGTTTCAGTTGGAAATTTTTCAACATCTGTCAGATTAACATGGAAAATTTCTTCCTGCTCTGGACTGTTGTCTTGTAATACCTGAGAATAGAACAAACAAAAATTACCATATTAATAAATCTATGAAAATAATTGGGGCACCTGTGGCCAAGTGGTTAAAGTTTTTGACTTAGAACCACTTGCTTCTCATCATTGTAGGTTTCAGCTGCACCAGCGTCTTCTGATTTTTCATGTAAGAAGTTTTCCCAGACATTTCATTATTTTCCACACACCAAAATACACTATAGACAAACTATACATGTATTTGAAACAAATGTTTATTATATACTTATAAATGAAATATTGAGAAATATTAATGATATAAAATGTGTATTTTCATTTTCACTGTACAAATTCATTTTACACAAATTTATTTTTCACTGCTTTGAAACATATATTTCGTGTTTTCACTGGCGTCTTGACTACTTTCGTCTAAATTCACTAATACAAATAATTAAATGGGAGGTCTTTCGTTAGGTCAAAAAAGAGAAAAAAATGTATATAATAAATAGAAAATTTAAGTTCCCCACCCCCCCATAAATACACGATTTATTTTCACCTTGTGGTATGAAACTTATCACATTTCACTTGTGAATACCACCACTTCCACTCAATTAAAATAAATCCTGTTTTCATGGAAAAAACTTGAACAACTTTTATCTATCATAACTGAAAAGTATCAAAGACAAGAATACCACATTTGACTGGTGCAAAGACATTTTATGATCCATTTTTTTTAGCAAGTCTAGCGTTAAATTCCTTTTTGATTGCATTTGAAATTTTGTGACACAATCTATTTTACCTCTATCATAATAAGAGCCGAAGTTTGGCCTGGTTCCATGACAACAGCGTTGTTATCTACAGTGTTAAAGTCTATCTCGGGAACCGCAGTTATACCCTCCACGCGGTACCTGGCTTCAACTTTACCTTCTGAACCATACAGTCGTAAGACATGCAGATAAATCTGGAAAAAAAAATTACATGTATACATGTTTTTGATAAAGATTTTTTTGAAATTTTTTGTTTTTGATAAAGATTTTTTAGGAAATTGTGGATGATCATAAAGGCCCTGTAATAGGGAAACGAAGAGGTTTAAAAAATAAGATCTTTTTTCAACTTGATCTAATTCTAATTGTCATATGAAAAGAACAGGTTTAAGTATTTGTTTCGTCACTTTAAAATTAATTTACTGGTTAGTTATCCAGTAATTAATAACCTAGAACATGAACTGGACATTAAAAAAACCCCTTAAAACCCTTTCACTATCCAGACTTTGTTTGTTTGGATTTAACGGCACATTGACACATAACAGTCCATATTGCGCCCAACACTTTACTTGTTAACTATCCAGATTTTGTAATAAAAAAAATGGAGTACACAACAAAATTTGCAATGGAGTAAAGCCTTTAAAACTATTTAGCAATCCAAACTTAGTCAATTACATTTTAACTGACTATGATGACTATTATGGTTAAAGAAACAGTAATGGTGGAAAATTTACCTTTCCGAACATTTCTGAAACTGACGGTTTGGTTGAATTGTCTGCAAACCTCAACAAACCATATGGCTCTATCCGGACCACTGTATGGTCTTGTAAAAGTCTCGAACCTCCAGCCACCGTTGTAGAGGGAGCCACTGGTAGGTGCACGGCAAACAACTCCGGAACGTCCCATTTTGATGTAAGCTGTTTCATTTATAAATTTAAGAATTATTCTTTTGTTAATAGCATAATTATTATATTTGTTTCATTCATTATCAGAGGCAAGCACTGAATTATCATTTTTTACACAAAAACTTAATTTACTATACCAAACAGAAGATAACACATGTTATGAGATACTGTAAAATCATTATTATTCGTGAGGCACTAATTTACGTGGTTTTTATGGAAAGGTCAATCCATGAATTTAAGACGTGAACAAATTTTATTTCGTCTGCTTTAAGATTATTTTGCATCAAATTATTTACATTTTACCTTTTGGAAAAATAAAAATTTCATGTCAACCAAATTAAGTGAATTCAAAGTATGTGAAACAAATATATAAAAAAAAAATTCCAGACACAGCTGTATTTTCATTTTTGCTCTTACAAAAAAATCAAAACAACATAAAACTCATGTAGAATCAAAATGACAAAAAAAAAAAAATAATAAAAAAATCTAACCTTCTTGATGTCCCATGAGTTAAAGAAATGTTATAACCTCAACCCATTTTAAGTAAAATGGAACAAAAGTTTAAACTAAATTAATGGAAATTTGGCCAGAAAATTTTTTATCTTGGAAAAATTTTAAAAATAATTTAACAAAATTACGGTTAGAATTTGTTTTTCTCAATTTTTGGGAAAATGTGGGGAAAATTTAAATTTGGTCGGGAAAAATTTCCTTCTCCACAAAAGTTCACTGGTTTTACCCGTCCTTAAGGGAGGAAACATTTCTGAAAGGGAAATTCCAGGGCCAAAATTTCCCCTTTAAATTTGGTGAGTCCCCCCTTTTTACTACTTTCTTAAATTTATTGGAATGGAAACCCCACCCTTTAATCGAACTTTTAAAAAAATACAAAAACCATTTGAAATTTTTAAAAATTTCAAACTCATTATTGGTTTTTTATTTAACAAATCGACCATGCGTTAAAATTTTCAAAGAAGTGAAAAATCCAAGCTTCAATTTGGTGGAGAAAAAGCATCCATTTTGGAATCTGAAGTTAGACACTGCCTTCCTTTTAAAAGGGGATTGCGTAATTTCCTCTTTGTAAAGTCACGGCCAAACGAATTTTTCAAAAAACCCACAATAGTTAAGGGGCAGTGATTTTAAGCAACCTCTTTAAAGGGGATTGGCCAAACGGGGACCCCCCAACAACAACAACTTATAAAATATACTCCACAGGAAATTTCCCCAGGGAAAAAGAATTTCTATAAAGTAAACTTATTACTAAAAGTAAAAAGGGGAAAAATTAAAAAATATATCTTAATTAACTGATTGTTCCCATTGAAGCCTCTACTGTGGTTTTTTCTTGCTAAATGGGGACTCAATTCCCTCTAAAGTCCTGCCCCGCCCTTAGGTTGGAGGGAAGGTCCTAATTTTTGAAATAACAAATTTTTTAAATTCAAATTTAAAACAAAGGGTTAAAAAAACAGAAAAGGTTTTTTTCCCTTTTGTTTACCCAAATTTATCATGATGCTTATGTAGAAAAAAATTTCCTTGAAGCCATTTAAAATTTTAACTTTTCTTAAACAGGGAAGTAATGAGAGACCCCCCAAAATTTTCAACCCCACGTAGGGGCCAAGTGTTTGTGAAAATCTAAAATCCAAAGGACCCCTGTATTAGTAGTTTTTTAAGAAAGGGGAAAAATTTCCCCTTAAAGTAACATTATTTTAATAGAGAAAAATGGTAAGTAATAGTTAAAAGTGTAAATTAACTTACAATTTTGTTGCCATACCTTGGGTTGTTCCAAATTTAATATTTTTCAAATTTTAAGTTATTAAATTTATCAAAAACAAAAATTTCTAAAAATTATTAGGATTTAATCTCAAAGTAATTTTTTAAAGTGGGCAAAACAATTTTTTTGGCATTTAACCTTTGGGTAAGGTCCTGAGTAAATTTGTCTTTTTTATAATTACTTCATTTTTTATTGTATATAAAAAACATTTTTTTCAATCAAAATTAATTGGTAAAATTATTAAATTAATCAATCTTTTTAAATTTTACCCTTTTTTCCACTAAATACGCAAAGAATGGAACCTTAAAAATTTTTTTTTAATTTTCCGGAGTAATTTTTGTATCCAGTTTTTATTTTTTTGTTATTATATTTAAATAAACTTATTTTTTATTAAAAAGTAAGTTTAACCAAAAAATCTTAAAATTTGACAACAACATATTCCAAGAAACCATGAATTTTGGTGCAGTTAGCAAATTCTTTTTTTACTTACCCCAGCCCCTAGATACTGGACCTCGCCCAGGGACAGAGAGAATGTGGTGTCCACTTCGAGGAACCCTGTCCCCTGTACCTCAATCTGTACAATCTTGTTACCCTCATTCTCCCCAAACGTCACCGTCGGGTCACTCAATTTTAACACGATGCCAACCTGGTCCTTTTGAAAAAATATACACAATTTTTTAATATTAATCAGAGTTATATGAAAAATTTTAATAACAGTGCCGATTTCCAAATTTTTTCTTCAAATAAAGTTGAAACATTATTAGTCAAAGCTTTACCATTTATTAGAATTTTAACATTTATTACAGCTTAATTTATCCTTATTACATTACTTAAAGTATCTAAAAAGGAATGCAGCTTCCCCTACATAGTTTGTACATTCTTTTATTCAAATTAAACAAATAGCAAGAATTTCATAGATTTCAATAAATTTCTGCAATAAAATTATTTTACTCAAAAAATGAGTATAGTATATCTTTAAAACTTGATCAGTCAGAGAACTATATACATATATCAAAACTTACAACATCATATTTGATATTAAAGGCCAGGAAAACGTTTCCAAATTGTCCTCGGTATCGTGTAAAATTAAGTTGAACATATCTCGTCAGGTCAACCGGATCTACAATAACGGTCTGGTATTCCGGTATAATACCGAACACTCCGTGTGGGTCATCATTGTACCTGAAATCACGTATGTTAATATTATGTTCTTCTTAAAAATCTACATGTATACATCATTTGGCTGTATTTGAAGTCATATAAAATCTTGTTAAAATCTTTTAACATTATATTATACCCCCCCCATCCCTCCAAAAAAAAACCCTGGGAAATAAAAAAAAAACCAATAAAAAAAAAACAAATTTTACCAACAGACCTACCTAATTCTAAAAGTTGATGTTCTATATTGGGTGTCGATTAATGCCCCGCCAACAATTTTGGTGATTTCAAGCTGAAATGTTTCGGTAAGTTCCGGTATGTCATCTGACAGAACTTCTAGAAATATATCTCCCAACCGGTCTTCGTCCGCCAGTATGACCGATCCATTTCTAGGCTGAACATCAGCCAGGTCTCCAAACGGTCCAGACACTTCCCAAAATACCTACAAGATTGAATAATTATCAAAAAACAAAAATGCACTGTATGTAACAAAGATTTTTACATTCTACTAAATGAGTAATTATTTAGTCGAGTCTTGAAAAAAGTGATCTCTCGTGGGCATTATTAGCAAAATTATATGAAAATTGCAGACTCGGTTTGATTGAGTCTGTACAAGAATGTAAAGGTTGATGGCTTTTCTGCTGGAAGACAATTAGAGCCATTGTCATAGAAATAATTGGCACGGGCACGGCATAAAGTCATTTTCCTGGAACATGTTAGTGTACCCAGTCAAACTGGTGGATTGTCATTCTACAAATTCTGAAATGTGAGACTGAAGTTGATTTTACTTTGGTATGTAGTAAGGTTTTAAGCTTTACATTGGTGGAAGAAGAAAGACCTCTGATGCTCAGGTGACCCCATTCCCCCCTGGTTCCCTGCCCCCAGCCCCGCTCCCAGGAGTCATTTGTTAGTACCCTTTAGGCAATCAAACTTCTCAATATTTTTAAGTTATAATGTGGTATAGATAATTCTTATAGAAAAGGCTAATTACATGTATACATGTAAATTACCTCAATGTTTCCGATTTTGCCCGTGTCCTCTCGTCTTATGATTGGAAACTGTAAGGTCAAGGTTCCTGACCCCTCAGGTTCTTCCACTTCTCGAACTTGCTGGGCTGGTCCAGAAAATCTTACAATACCATTTGGATCACCAAACTTTCTTATCTGTTATAGAAATTAGACAAAAATAAAATTAAACATGGTAACAAGCTTCTATTGAGTTACATGAGAGCCATATATGTGCATGATGCAAGCCAGTGTTTAATTCCTTTTGTCCAAGTTAAATAATGAAAACAAATATTTTTTATCTTCAACTATTTGAAAATGAAGGGTATAAAAATGTTAGTTAAGTTACAGTTTTTGATGATTTTGTAAGTGCTAGAAATTAAAAAATCATTCTTTTTTCTAGGTTCTCAAAGTTGAAGGAAATAATAGGAAGTGGAAATCTATCAATCGGATAACTTACAGTTAAAACAACACTTCCTTGCATCGGGCCCACCTCTCCGTTACCTACAGTGCTTGGAAATCCGATAATCGACTCTAGTTTAATTACAAACACTTTTTCTATCTCCCAGCTGGAGAATGATTTTATATTCAGGATAAACGTCTTATTTCCCGCCTCCCCGTCTTCCCACAGCAGATTGCCGGAGGTGAATTCCCGACTCTCGGTCACAAATGCTACGTCCTCTGTAGATTCTAGAGGCACACTTGGATTGTTTGGGCCATAGATTCTCCAGTAAACCTAAAAATAGAACATCGTCAGTTACTTCAACAACATTTTTTCTCCTATTTATCATTAAAAGCAAAAATTCTTAGAGGTTAAACAATTTAGTAGGCAAGAAAACACCCCACCTTTTTCTTTTAAAAATGCTCTTACATTTTTATACCAATATGAAAAGTTTAAAGCAAATATCCTTAAGCAGTAAACAAGTTGGATATCAAGGTATTTTAAAAATAAACCTAACCTTATAATTATATGAACTTTTTAAATATAACTGCAGTTTTAAAAGGTTTAGCACTGAGTTTATAATATAATCCTTTTTTGATTAAAGTACTCCCGAAAGTTACCGTTTGTTGACCAGTAAGGCCGCCTGTTCGTCCTACGGAGAGCATGGTTGTGTTTGTAGAAGATGGGTTGTCCAATATAATATTCAATCTACTGTTAAAACCGAAGTTTCCATTAGGGTAGTCAGATTTGGCGATCGTTACTGTACTTATTGTCTTATCTCCTAATAAAGCTCCGCCTGAAATAAATATACGTATGAGCCGCGTCACGACAAAACCAACATAGTGCTTACGACCAGCATGGATCCAGACTAGCCTGCGCATCCGCTCAGTCTGATCAAGATCCATGCTGTTCGCTTACCAACCCTTTTACAAGTAGAGAAACTGATAGCGAACAGCACGGATCCTGATCAGACTGTGCGGATGCACAGGCTGTTATGGATCCATGCTGGTCACAAACGCACATTTTTGGGTTTTTTCGTACGCGGCTCAATGAGGTTAAAAGTTCAATTTTGAAGTCAAAAAAGAGCCTATTTTAAAAAATTTTTTAATTCACGAGATTGGTCATCAATTTTTGGGGTTTTTAAAAACGTGCTTATTCAATCACTAATCATACAATTTATACAAAAATTCATTTTACAAATTTAAATTTTTGACAAAGTAAAAACCCCGATTCTTTTTTATTTTTACCTTCCCAAAAATATTTGTAAAAATAAGACAGCTTTTAAAAATTTTTTTACCTGGGTACTTTGAATATCACAAATTTTTAAAATTCCATTTTGGATCGTTTTTTATCGTCACATCAAGAGTGGCCTCACTTTGTCCATCGGCAAATCTCAGTTCACCAGGTGGGCGTACATAATCTATCCCCTCGGAGGCGGAGTCATTGATTGTCCTATACAGTACAGAGACTGCCCCGTAACTCCCCCCATTTCTGATCACTGGTATCTTAGCCATGCCCTCTTCCTCAGTGACTGCAATGGGATTAAAAAATGTTTAATTTAGAAATAAAAGATATATTAGATGAAAGCATATGAAATTTTGTAAAATATTTTTCTGAAAACAGGCAAAAAATCATTCAGAAAATCTTATCTGTTAGATTTTTTTGAAATCAAATTATTTCTGCACATAACTTAATCAAAAGATTAAATCTAACATTTAGATGTTGGGAAAAAAGTCTAAAAAGAAGGAACTAGTAACTATAAAACCGTACTGGATTTGACAAATTACACTACAAATATACCATTTGCAAAGGTAGTACTTAAGAAAAATCCAACTTGCCGCGTTAGGTTAACCTTGTACAGACAGACGGTTCAATTATTATATGCCCTGGGCAAAAAAGGTAAAAATATCTGTTTGTATGAGATTGAAACTTAAAGTACAGATAAATTTTATTCATAACAATTAAAGGTAAAAGTACCATAAAAGTTGACTCCCTCATCTGTGAACTGGATGGTTCCCTCAGCATTGTCATTTCTTTCAATGATAACTTCCTTCACATTCAGGGAACCAATCACAGGGGGCTGGTCCAGCTGTAGCCTGGCTACTTTAGTGTAGTTATTTATGCTGCAATTATATGATAAATACTGTATAAACTTGTATAATACAATGTGTTTACACTTACATAAATGTGTGTACCCTAGTACAAATGTTTGTATAATTGAATAAATGTGTGCATTCTTGTATAAATGTGTGTACACTTTAAAGTATACATACATGTTAAACAAGGGTACACACATTTCTACAAAGAAGGCTCACATTTACATATTTCTACAAAGAAGGCTCACATTTACACATTTCTACAAAGAAGGCTCACATTTACACATTTCTACAAAGAAGGCTCACATTTACATATTTCTACAAAGAAGGCTCACATTTACATATTTCTACAAAGAAGGCTCACATTTACATATTTCTACAAAGAAGGCTCACATTTACATATTTCTACAAAGTAGGCACACATTTACACATTTCTACAAAGTAGGCACACATTTACACATTTCTACAAAGTAAGCACACATTTACACATTTCTACAAAGTAGGCACACATTTATACAAAGAATACACACATTTAAACAAGTATATACACATACACACATTTATACATGTGTGCATACTTTATATAAATGTGTGCATACATACATGTATAAATGTGTATTTTTACTTATCTTATACATGTTTGAAATGTTCCTCAGTATATTCAATTAAGCGACATACTTCAATACCTGTATGAAGACATTTTTGAAGAGGAATTTTAAGCATCAAAAAGACCAAGCTGGTTTTCTATCAAATGCCAATCTCCACACAGTGATCTCCCCTTAATTCTTCGGTGTAGATCTCTGCCACCAAGGTCCCGATATATCAGAATTTCTGATATACTATATTTTTTCAAAAATTGTTTTATCTACTGCTTTTATCTATCAGATAAGTTTTCTCTCATTTATTTAACAATGTTTATGAATAAATAAATAAATAATATGAATATTTAGAAATAATTTGAAAAATTATGAGATTATTTTCTACCGAGACGATATTTTGATATTTTATATTTTTTAGCGTTTGAATTTATTTTTCGTTATTTTGTATACTTTCGATAATTTTTTGATAATCTATATCGAACGTAGGCACTAAAAGTTAAAAATAAAACAGAAAGAGAAAAATAACGTTAGATTTTCTTAGTAACGGTCCATATTTACATTTGAATTTCGACTTTACGTCATGTGACTTTCATCATCATGTGACGTCTTTGAAGGCAGTGATTACAATTCTGCCAAGGGAGGTAATCACTGTGAGGAGTTTGATAAAATGCATGAAACATTGTTAGACTTGTCAAGCTAAATTAACTGCTTTTTATGGAATCAAAGCATGGTCCTAAGTCATAAAAAGATTTTTGATAAAACATTGGAAAGAATAGGATGGAATATTGCATTATCTATATTTCACCTGTCATCAACGAGCCTAACTGAAGTCAGATTCACATAGAAGCTTTCAGGGCCCTCGGGAATATCATCCTGCTTTAGTTGTATGTCTATCAGGGCATGGTCGGCACCATGCTCAAATGTCAACGTGCCCTCCTCTGGAAAGTAGTCCTCGTGCGCAAGGGCGGTGCCAGGATACGTCTTGTAAGTCACAAATACTCTACTGTTCTTTCCTGCCCGTCTGATGACCGGAAAACTCACCTAGGGTAAAAAATTAAAATGTAAGAATCTACTGTTCAACTTCAAATGCTCAAACATTGGTGGAGTGGGAGGGGGGAAGGAAGGGAGGTCGGTCTTTTTTGTGCACTGGATCTTCAGTACAGAAGCAAGATTGTGCCACTTGCATGAATACAGAAATTACAAGAATATTTTTATGAAAAAACAAGACATTAAGCAAGAACATTGGGGCATGTTTTAAGAGTCACACATCTTGATTTACATCATTAAGGTGTGTCATTTTTAAAATCTTGAAGTCAGTTTCTATATTATATTAACTATCACTATGCAATTTTCACAGAAAATTTTGTACATAACATATCTCCATACTAGCTCAATTCAAACATCTTTCATAAGGCTAACGAAACGCAGAACAATAACAATACCTTGAAAAAAAAAAAAAAAAAAAAAAGAAATTTACAGAATACATATCCTCGGTGGTAACATATTCCTGCGGTAGATCAAACACAAACTCCCCGTGTGGATAATCACTGGCCGCATATACAATATTTGCTGTAATAGCAGACGTCACATCGGAAAGTACAGCGCCCCCTGTGGCAGAAGTTAGTTTTAGCGTATAAACAAAGCGGCTCTCTGGTTCTGTGTCATCTAGCGCCTAAAAAATTATTCATAAAATGTTTTCATGAAAAAAAAAATATATAGATAAACCACAATAATTTTTTCATAAAACAAAAATGCCCTTGTCACAAATCTGTTAATGACAAATTTATAATAAAAATTCCATTTTTTAAAAAAATATTTAACAGAAATTTGTTTTCTCTTAAAGTTTTGACGGAGAAATAAAATATCAATATGATATGCTATTGTGTAAGTAAAATCTGGTACAATCAAATCAATATCAAAAAATCATGATTTTTGAAAGATGTCCATCCAAAACGACCAAAGTTTTTCCAAATCATTTTCCACTTTCTTAGCTAGAAAAAGTTACAAGTGTTATAATTTCTCAATATCCCTTATTAGACCTTATCCTGGTGAATTAGTGTAATGAGTTTTGTCCAGCTTTGAATTTGGAACAGTTCATTCAACATTTAAGGGATTTCAATATCGAAAATACAAAAACTGAGGTACCAACAGTATAGAGCCTGTTGAAAGCCCATAGATGAGCAGGCTGCATACTGGCCCGGCTCTATACTGGTGACAAAGCTTTATCACTTTTGGTTCAAGGAGGTCAAAGGGTAAAAAATTTTGTGCACAAACTTCTGCTATAAGCTCATATAATAAACTTACTCTGGAATTCAGAATATTTTGTTTTGTTTCCTAGCTAATCTGTAGGTACAAACAAAATTTTACAGTTACAGCTTCAAAACTAATCTATTGTGACGGGTAGTGCACCGTAAAGCTATAACGGTAAATGTTTGTTTGTACCTAAGGATTAGCTGGGAAAAACCCACACTTGCAGAGTTCCGTATAACAACTATAGACTGGTATTAAGAACATACCTCTAATGTAATCGCAGCTTCCCGTTGTAGATCTGTGATAGTTATGGTTCCTTCATTCCGTAGAAAAGCTGGGGCTGGTTGCCGTGGAGTTACAGACCACGATACGGTCACTTCACCATAGATACCGGCTCCACGCGTCAGAACAATCTGTACCTTCCCGTCATAATTTGGATCCGACTCCCCTGGTTCCCCTAAAATGTTACCAAACGTTTAATGTTACCAAACGTTTCCATTAACTATCTAATCTCAAATCTGCTTTATAAAAGCTTAAGTTTTTAATCTTTACATCTTTAACAAAAGTGCCCAAAATGAACAGAGATCAATTCAATGCTACAGTGTTACTCTATTATGAACATGTATAATCCTGACAGATACGATGTACATGGTGATGAGGTGTCATACACCAGAAATATGTGAAATTTTCCAATTGGCAAGAAATAAAAGGGTTGATTTAACTTTTTACCTTAAATATACATTTACAATATCCTATTATTTTCCTTTAATCTTAATCATGAATGAAAAAAGAAATTAAGCATCAAAATTTTACTCACCAACATACACTGTCCTATATTCTGGTAAGATTGAGATAGTACCACTTGCCCCTGGGTCAGCCAGTACTATTATTTCTACATCCCCTTGGGTGTGCGAGATGTCGCCATTGTTGTCGGCGGTGATCAACGAGGCTCGGAATCTCTCCTCACCCTCGAGGATATTATCTGGTCGCGTCCTCAATGACAGCTGCTTTGATTTCTCGCCCTAAATTTAAATAAGAAGATTAATATCTCGTACAAAATAACCTTGAATTCAATATTTTGTTACATCACATACCCGTGCTGCGTTTGCGACTCCATAAAAAAAGGTGGATCCTATCTCATAATTTCAAAAATTCTTATTAAGTTTGGCGTCATATGTATCTATATCAACCTACCTGTGCAAATTGTAGCGTTCCTGTATGCGGTTCATAAAAGTCATACACAGCCTCTGCATTCAGTCTCCACTGTACATTAACGCTGCCATCTGATCCCTGAATCCTCTCTACGCCCAGTCGAACCTCGCCATCTGGGTCTGTGGGAGATTTAGATTCCCGCACAACCAAGGGGGATGTCACAAACCTAAACAGTCCATTTGGTGAGTCGTTCTTCAGTATCCCTACCCTCACTTCCTGTCGGGTTCCAAGAGCCGCGCCCCCAGTCACGTTCACCAAACGTACATAAAATGTCTGTAAAGTAAAAATTTAACCAATACTTCAAAAAAATATAGACATAGTAAACAAAGAACAAAAAACAAACCCTTTCTACTCTATTACAGTATAGAACTGAAAGAAATTAGTAAAGTCAAGCAAGGGTAAAAGGTGACAGAATCTTAGTTTAGCGGACCTCTTAACTAAATGAATGTGCGTGGGTTTTTGTTACTACACTTTTTATTGTGTTTCTAAATTTTAGTCTGAATTTTGTTGTAGTTTTGAATATAAACATGATAAAAGGCAGCAGCCCCCAATAAGCAAAGTGTACTGATATTATTATTAAAAAAAAAACCTTTAAACTTTACCTCTAATTCTTCTGACACAGTATCATCTAAAATAGTGATCAAAATGTCTGCATTTTCTTGATCCTCGGCAAAATTAAGTGTCCCACTTAACGGACTGTAGTCCATACTCGTAGCTTCCCATGGTGCAGCATTCCAGGTGACGGTGATCGGACCGAAAAAACCTACAGACCTGGTCACCCGGAGTCGAAGTGTAGAATTCCTTCCGTATTCTTCATACACGTCAACTCTGCCTTCAATATTCTAAAGAAAGAGATGTCTCAGATATGTTATGTGATAATCACCAAATTAGGTGAGAAAACAACTAGAAATGTGTCCATAGGACACGGGTGCCCCCACCGCGCCACTGTTCTGTCACTCTTTTTACTAAGTCAAGGGAAATAACTCTACAAATACTGGATAAATCCACAAGCGAAACCCCAGGTGCAAATCTAAATATGCTGAGCAACCTGCCCATAAGGTTTAATGACTATGTCAAATCCTTTTTCAGTAACTTGAGACACAAGTTGAAAATTGCAAAAAAAATTTAAGTGAAGGGCAATAACTCTAAAAATACTAAATAAATCCAGATGAAAGTACCTGGTGCACAACTGCACATGCTGATCAATATTCCTGTAAAGTAACATGACTCTAGGTCAAATACTTTTTGAGTTACGTGCGACGTACACATGTTGAAAATTGCAAACTTTTACTAAGTCAAGGGCAATAACTCCGAAAATACTATAAATATCCACACGAAAATACCCAGGTGCACAACAACATATGCTGATCAAAATTCCTGTAAAGTTTCATGACTCTAGGTCAAATACTTTTTGAGTTACATGCGACACAAGTTGAAAATTGCAAAATTTTACCAAGTCAAGGGCAATAACTCTGAAAATACTATAAATATCCACACGAAAATACCCAGGTGCACAACAACACATGCTGATCAACATTCCTGTAAAGTTTCATGACTCTAGGTCAAATACTTTTTGAGTTACATGCGACACAAGTTGAAAATTGCAAAATTTTACTAAGTCAAGGGCAATAACTCTGAAAATACTAAAAATATCCAGACAAAAATACCCAGGTGCACAACTACACATGCTGATCAACATTCCTTAAAAGTTTCATGACTCTAGGTCAAATACTTTTTGAGTTACGTGCGACACAAGTTGAGAATTGCAAAATTTTACTAAGTCAAGGGCAATAACTCTGAAAATACTAAAAATATCCAGACGAAAATACCCAGATGCACAACTACACATGCTGATCAACATTCCTGTAAAGTTTCATGACTCTAGGTCAAATACTTTTTGAGTTACGTGCGACACAAGTTGAAAATTGCAAAATTTTACTAAGTCAAGGGCAATAACTCTGAAAATACTAAAAATATCCAGACAAAAATACCCAGGTTCACAACTACACATGCTGATCAACATTCCTGTAAAGTTTCATGACTCTAGGTCAAATACTTTTTGAGTTACATGCGACACAAGTTGAAAATTGCAAAATTTTACTAAGTCAAGGGCAATAACTCTGAAAGTACTAAAAATATCCACATGAAAATACCCAGGTGCACAACTACACATGCTGATCAACATTCCTGTAAAGTTTCATGACTCTAGGTCAAATACTTTTTGAGTTACGTGGGACACAAGTTGAAAATTGCAAAATTTTACTAAGTCAAGGGCAATAACTCTAAAAATACTAAATATATCCAGATGAAAATACCCAGGTGCACAACAACACATGCTGATCAACATTCCTGTAAATTTTCATGACTCTAAGTCAAATATTTTTTGAGTTACGTGCGACACAAAAGTGCCCGGGTGTAGATTTTCCAAGGTTTTTGGCTCAAAATCCTTGGAAAAAAACCTCGGAGTATTGGAACAAGAAAATGCAAAACTTTGCTATTAAAAAAACCTTGGAAAAATAGGGAGAGGGTGAAAAACCTTGTAAAAAAATTTCCGAGTTTTTTTTTAAAAAAACCTCGTAAAAAGTATGACCTCGGAGTATTGGAACGATTTCCAAGGATTTCAGAATAAAAACCTCGTAAAATAATTTCCGAGGATCTTGTTTAGAAAACCTTGGAAAATGAGTGACCTCGGAGTATTGGAACGATTTCCAAGGATTTTTAAAGTGTTTCCGTGGTTTGTTTTCCAAGGTTTTTAAATGAAAACCTCGGAAAGTTTCTCACAACCGTGGGAATACTGTTATATTTTCGAGGATTCTTACTTAAGGGCATCAGAGAATTTTCCAAGGTTTATTTGAGCAAAAACCTTGGAAATTTCTAGAATATCCATGGAAAATCAGAAAATATAACATCCAATGAAATATTCTGAACAATTATATTGTCCTTTTAAGGAATTAAGAAACTTCTTTGTAATAATACAGAGCAAAAAATGATCACATGACTCACTGAAACATTTAATGTCAGTGTGAAGTAAATAGTAATGCACTACAAATGAAAAGTTAAGTTAGAAGTCTTTAATGGTAAATATTACACTCAATGTTCAGTTATAATATTTTGGTATCCGGTTAAATTTTAATGTATTCAAATATCTATCTTTTGAATTCCTGTTCACTCTTCATGATTTTTAAATGTCCCTTAGTTTTTCCCTCACCATCACAGGGGTCACATGTGGAAAATGCTCCAGAATACAAATCCTGAAATAAATAAAGTAAACATTTAATAAAGTACAGCCATTGAAAGAAGTTAGAAAAACAATTATATAAAATCCCCACTGGGCGCTTCCCTCTCCATTGGGCGCTTCCCTCTCCATGTGGTCAGGATCAAAGACTTCAAACTACTTGCCTTACAACATTGTATTTTTGACTCCTGAAGCCAGGATGGGCTTCTTCCCTCTGAGGGAGCTATCCAGCCCAGGATTAAGGAACACCTGTGGTTATACTCAGGATAGTTCAGTATGTGTAGGCAATCAGAATTACATCATTTAATTTCTTTTTTATTAATCAATAAAAAAAATGATACATTCCTTAAACGTTTCCATAGACAAAAATATCAGTTCACTGTTGATATATATTGTTTTAAAAAATCAGCACTTTTGTGAAAAGAAATACATCTTTTGAGTGATCCAAAACTACTTGAATTACAAGTTGTTCAAGACCATTGATTAAAATGAAGGCTTTAATATTTTCAAATGACCTTTTCTGTAGTTACTTTTAAATATTGGTCTACTGTTTTGAAATAGTGAATTTAATTTTTTTCATGTTGATTTCTTATTTTTCTTCATCAGTACTTAGTGTCAGGATTTCAAGAAAACTTTGGTAAGCAGTGTGACAATTCTGCGATGTTTAGAAAAGAAACGATGTCTGTTACTATTATTTTAGATAGTGTCATACTGGATGTTACAACCTAAAGCACTCTAAAAATATTGCAAAAAATAACGCTTTTCATAAGGTGATTCCCATTGCCTACACTTATTGTATCTGTCTGCTCAAAGTGACATCTGTATCAATAAAGCTGGAGAGTCATCATGTAACATTAACAGCATTTCCAACAAAGTATCAATAAAAAAATCAGTTCCAGAAACCTTCATTCATTCAAATTTCAAATTGAAACTTTCAAAACCTAGTTTTAAAACAAAAACATACTGTAGTATATTCCTTGAAGCCTTTCCTGGTCTACAGTTGGCTTAATCGATGCCTGGATGCCAATGATATACTATGATATTTAAAAACACAGCAAAGCTGGATTGCCATCTTCTTGTAGTTTGGAACAGTCTTGCAAACTTGCTTTCAAGCTGACTCTGTAATTAAAAATTTGTAGATTCAAATAATAGATGAAAGATGAATTTGAGTTTATAAATAATGTCATCATAGTTTCATGCACTCATCTTGTTCAATACAATCATAGACAAAAATAACATTAATACTCTAAAAATATCCTCTAAACAATTGTATTTAAACTAGCTTACATTTAGGTTAAAAATATAGATCTAAAATAGTTTGTATTTAATACTTATTTAAAAAAAAAACAACAGCAGATTTTATGCATAAATGTATCTAAAATTATTTACCTGAACCTTTTTACTATCATGTTTCTTTTGTTTATCTTCCTGTCCCAGGTCATTGATCTTTAGATTCAATTACAACAACCAAACATTTCCTGAATCTTGTCACACTTAGATAAATGTTTTCTTTGAAAATTCCAAAATATGCTCCCTAACATTTAAAACAAGATATGTCCAAAATTGCTTAAAATAAATCCAGGTTTGCACTATTTCCAACTATAACCACTTGACCCATTAATGTCTGAGATTCAAATTTTTCAACAGTATAACTGAAGGGGCAATCATAATGTGAAACAGGGGTGATCCCAAAATATCAAAGCCATCATCATTTTATTTTTACATTAATTTTATTGAAGGTACAAATATATCAAATGATAAATAAAAGTAAAACTTGAAAATTATAAGAGAATCACAGTTGCAGTGTCATTTTAGACTGTTTTGGATTGTATAAAAACCCAGACTCCCCCTGAATAATCACATGGAACAATCTGGTCTATCCCAGAATGCTCAATGAGAAGATTGATCATGCATAGATTATAAGAGGGAACCACCTGGGGTGCCATTAGTTTTATCTGATCAGTGTGTTATATTCTGTGTGTGAAAACTTAGTGGATGCAGTATTTATTTATCTTAATTATAAGAAAATATCAAGCATACATATTTTACACATTAATTGTACATAATTATATATTAAAAGGACAATTAATAACTATTTATGTTTATTGTACACATAATTAATGGCAGAGTAAATTGTAATCTGAATGTATGTCACAGACTTGCTTAGTAGATTAATATACTATTTTATATGGCATAAAAACATATATTAAAGATTAATAGCATTCTTATTTCAGTGTTGCTTACAGGCTGTCAAGAAACCCTAAGTTAAGTCTTTATATAGAAAGAAACTGCAGGAAAAATACTGATGCATTTAGAAACTAATAGACATAAACACTGATTGTTTCTTTTTGTATAATTATAAGTTTTGCTCTTTTATCTATTCTTAAAAATGGAGAAGATATCTAGTAACAATAATTATAAATAATATAAAAAAAAATATGAAAATAAAAAAAAAAAAAAATTTCAAGTCTTTCTGATCATCAGTTATTTGAATAATCTTTATCTTATTATGATTAGTTACAATACCTTTATAGCCATTAATAAAAGGTATTCTATGGCAACAAGGAATTTACATTTTATTTAACTTTTCCATGTTTTCACACTTAAATTTTTTTAATTGATTCCTCCCACAAAAATGGCTTCAGAAGATTAAAGTACAAATTTATTGAAAAGGAATTACTAAACATTGATTCCCTGGACCAAATCTCTCCTTTCCATGCTGTTGGACAATTGTTTGCTCTGACCATGGATTAAGAAATATCCATTGGCAATCTACAGTTGGGTTGTTATCTTAGTTTGCTTTAACTGTTGATTATTGCTTTTGATGCCCATTATAAGTTAAATCATGATTATGTCTTAACATTTTCCGATATGAAATTTAGTTAAGTTCAATTATCCGAGGTCATTTCCAAGCTAAATATTGGCAAAGTGTTTCCAACAAATTTTACGTAAATTTTCTAAGTTCTTTTCCGAGCAAAAAAATGACGAAGTTCTTATTTCCAAGCTTTTCCGAGCTGATTTTTGGCAGAGTGTTTAATTCCGAGATAGTTTCCAAGGTTTTCTTTATTTCCAAGGATTTTTATACAAAAACCTTGGATAAAGTTTCCAAGGTTTTAAAAAAAACCTCGGAATTAAGAAAAAACCTTGTAAAACTGGTTTATTTCCAAGGTTTTTGAAGCAGTTTCCATGGTTTTTTTCAAAAACCTCGGAAAATCTACACCCGGGAGAACGGACGGACGGAAGGACGGACGGACGGACAAGGGTAAATCTAAATGCCCGCCACTAACGTGGGGGCACAATAAAAAACTGACTAATACCAGTATGTATATTTAACTGAAATTTGATGTTTGAAAGTCACTTTGTCTCTCTATTTTTTGTTACAAAGAATCATGTCTCAACCTTATTAATCCGGAAACCTTTCTAATCCGAACTTTTCTTCTGGTTCAGACGAGTTTTGAATAAGACAGATTCCACTGTACAATTAAATGTATCATGATTCATACATTTTTGCATTATCTCTTTCAATATTTTTTAAACAATGCAATCCCATGACTCATTTCAAGGCATCTATACAGTAAAATGATTAACCCTTTCCCTCCTAGAATTATGTAATGCCAGGAACTGTACCACTTTGATTTGGAACAGTCCATTAGCATTGTAAGGGATATCAGCATAAAAATACTAATAATGATTTACCCTTTCCCTCCCTGGAATTACATAATGGACTTGTACCACTTTGAATTTAGAACAATCCATTAGCATTGTAAGGGATATCAGCATTAAATACTGAAAACCAGCAGCCTACATTTTACTGATTAGATAGACAAAATGCAGTGATACGCAGTATGGCTAAATTTAATTCCATACTGCTGGTATATATCTTTATCTTAACTCATATCTAATTTCAAAGAATTAAATTACAAAAGTTTTTGTTATCTCAGTATCTATTTTAGGATGTGCAATTGCAGGATTCACACTATATTTTCAAAAATTGTGCACATTTTCTAAACATGTGCGTGAAAATCTCTGTCAGAATTTATATTCATACTTAGAGACTGCAAAATTTCTGTTCAGCGTATATGTTTACATTAACACAGGAATTCAAAGGGAAGAAACTATAAGCTAATTAAATAAATATTTTTGTTGAAAAAGTTAGGGTGGACAACTCTTGTTGCCGTAAATAAATATTTCATTCAAAACATTTCATAGGTTTAACAGTTTAATGGTTTTTTTTTGTTTTTTTTTGGTTTTGTTTTTTTAAGAAGTGCAGACGTAAGAAAAATATTATAGAACAGTTTTAAACCTAATTTGTTGTGGTCATTGCTGATCAAGCATTATTTTTGAGATGCTCGGCTTGATAGTACTGGTACTTTATCAAATGACTATTAGATGGCATTTGATATCGGCACCCCGTTTTTTTTAAAAAGATCTCCCCTGTTGTTCAAACAAATTGGGGGGTTAATTTGCCCACTATTTTCGAATCTCTATAACAGACGCTGTATCTTAATTTTATCACACTTACTGTGGTCACGTCAAATTCCACTATACCCCTGGCGTTATCATTTTCTTCAATTGTTACCGTGACGATGTTGCCAGGGATACGGATGCTGGGTTCTGCTCCCGGAGCTGGTGCCCCTCCTAGTACACTAACACCTGTGATATTTACTAGGAATTTTTCAGCCGGCTCTGGTAAATCGTCCTGCATGAAAAGATTAAAAAAATTTCATTTCGATGATAAAAAGATACAATAACAAACAACATTGTAGAATTTTAACTCTTTTCAAAAGTAACGTTTTGTGGATAAAGAATCAATTGGTTTATTATTACATGTAGTACTTTCAAAACTTAGAGCACTTAAGATCTCAAACCTTGATTTTCATACACAACAAATGATTTGTACCTCACAGGCCGGGTACAAAAAGAGGTTTGAAATGTATCAATATGTTTCCATTTTATTTAAAGGCTGTTTCCTCATGTTAAGTAAACTTGGAATAGCCCCAAACATTTAAATGTCAAAACTATGATTTATTCTTATTTCTAACTATGCATATTTTCTTACTAGATCACAATGCACTTGTTAAAATAGTAATATGTAAATTTCTTGAAAAAAAAAAAAAATAACAGAAAGAATGGGTTGGAATTGCAGTAATTCTAATCTAAACACATTCTGAAAGTTTTGAGTAGAGGCTGTATCGAAATCGCGTACAAAACTGACCAAGGACAGCTACTATGAATTTAATTTTTAAATATACATGTTCCTCCTGGAGCTTTTGAATATCAGATTTTTGTGTCCCGTTTATTACCTGCTTTATAACCACCTCGACAAAGACAGACGTTGTGTTTTCCTGTAACACCACCATACTGTTAGACTGTGATATATAATCCATTCCTGATATAGCCTGTTGCTTCACAGGTAGACTGGTATCCACTGACGTCCTGTAACAGTATTTAAAATTAATAATAAACTGTAAACCAGTCAAAAACACTTATCTTTACACCCCTATGACTCAAAAGTTTTTTTTTTCCAATCTAGAAGTATCGCATATCTGTAGCATATAGATAATATCCAAAATTACTTTATTTGAGTTAAGGTTCCAAAATAAAGGGGCTGCACCACACAAAGTTTTAATGCTCATCTATAAAAATAACCACTTTTAACAAAAATTCTTAGTTAAAAAGGGGGCATAACTCCAAAAATATAGCTTTCAAAATTATGACCCTCGTCTTACAAATGCCTTTTGTTATGGTAAGGGAGTATTTTAAGTTTCATATTGATACCTTTAAAACTATTTAACAGGCTATATTAAAGATTTGAGCCGCGTCATGATAAAACCAACATAATGCGTTTGCGACCAGCATGGATCCAGACCAGCCTGCGCATCCGCGCAGTCTGATCAGGATCCATGCTGTTCGCTTATAAACCCTATATCAAGTACCGAAACTGATAGCGAACAGCATGGATCTTGATCAGACTGTGCGGATGCGCAGGCTGGTCTAGACCCATGCTGGTAGCAAACCCATTATGTTGGTTTTGTCATGACACAGCTCATTTTGCATTATGATGATGATGATGATGTGGCAATTATAATAGCTTGACGTTGTCTTCAAAACAGACAAGTGAAAAAATGCTGCCATCATCAATATTATTTTATAATCAAAACATAAAAACAAAATGATGCAAACATCTGCAAAGTAACCTTAAAACTCCTGGCAGGGTCATATAGTTATATTTTGTCATGGAATTGAAATTGGCAAATTATTTCATTTTGTTAATTTTGTCTGGGCAAAATCTCTTGTTTGACAATGGCTAAGATTTTAACTGGAATAGTATTTTATTACCATTTTTATAATGTCTGTGTTATTGCCATAAATATTAAAAACTATCCTCAGTTACTTTTTTATCAACAACAAGAGCCACCGCCGCGCGGGGCAATACTGGACTTTTTTTACTTTTCTAAAAGCAAACAAATATAGGATTCAAACACATCTATAAAAATAAAATTCTTTAAAAAGGAAATTAAAGAATAATAATAAATTAATTTTTCCTTTTTGTTTTAAATTTTAACACGTAGGGCTAGGTAGGCAATGGCAACAGTTTCAGGAACACCAATAGGACTATGACAATAACAATCATTTTTCTTTCTTCGAAAAAAAGTCGAGCTCAAAGTGAACTTACGAGAAGGTGATTTGAAGATCTCCTGCCAGACCCTGCTCTCTAATGATGTTCAATGTAACGACCTGGTCGGACCCTTCCGGTTCCTTTGTAGATACAGCCACCTGCCTCCACTTCACAACACCGTACGGTGAATCATTTGCCAAGACAATCAGTTTAGCGGTCTTGTTCTCACCTGCGTATAAAATACCATATTTAATATCGGCTAAATTTTACATCAATCTGATTAGAATCAGTTCCTAATTAACGCTACACATAGGGATCTGACTGACAGTGATATTTTGATACTTCGAGTAATACATATCTGTGAAGGCGCTTTAATTGCATGGCTTAAAATAGTTTTCCCCGTAAATACGAACCCAATGAAGGCAAAAGAAATATGGTGACAAATCAGACCTACATGCGAAAAATTAACAGATCTGGACTTTAGTCAGGCTGACCCTTTTGAGACACAATATGCAAAAGTTGTACTTTCATGTATATATTCAGCCATTGCTCATTGTCAAAGGCAGTTATGAAGTCTGTGTTTCATTTGAAGGCATACACAAACTATTCAGATCATAGGTGTCTTTTGCAGAACTCTACCAAAATCTCTTCCATGGCATTAACAAATAAAATGGACTTTCTCATTTTTAATTTATAATAAAATTAGTTCCCTTACATTGACTATATAGAAATATAACTTCCCTAGTGTTGGGTTCTAGCTGCAGGTCTGATCAACCCAATCATCTTTTGAAATCAAATTCAAAGTTTCTACCCTCTGTCAGGCTTGTAAATTTTTCAATTTTTTTTTATTCCCAATTTTTTTAGAGTAACAGCCATAGTAATAGCAGCAAAAGCAGATGACATCTGTTGAACAAACCAAACTAGCCCACAATTCCTTGTTCTTGGTTAACTTGGTAAATCAGGTCTTAACATGAACTACCTTTGAGAAATAACAAAACAAAATTCTACCTATTTGAGCTCCCCTGCCAGGCAGTACCGTTCCAGTGTCAACAATCTGGGTCAGTTGTATGTAGGTCACTTCCTGTAATTCTGCAATGTCATCATCTCGAATTGTCAGAGTAATGGTGGCTCCCGAATGGCCATCGGCAATTTCAATCTGAATTTCGAAAATGAAGTCCTCGTACATGAACTTAATAATGAATCAGGCAACTATATTATTTGAAATTACATCACACAAATTACGTCATATGGCATGAAAAGCAGATGACACAAGTATCAACTGGATATCTAAAATCGCATTATATTGTTAACAAGTAGTCAATGAAAATAAGTCATTCTTAAGAATTTATATAATAGAATGACACTATTAATTCTTTTTTTTTCCACGGTGGTAGTACCATTGCCAATGAGGTTCATCTGAGGCCTGGTTATGCTTCTTGAAAATGATGATATAATATTAGCATGCATTAATTACTGCCTTTATTGAAATGACTAAATAAACCTCACTGCGACATTTACAATTTCAGCAAATTTGGCGAAAATTACAATTTTACCAAAGTTTGAGACATTTAGGGAACATTCTCAATTTTCAGTATTTAACACAAAAAATCTTCATACCGACTGATAAAAAACATTTAAAGGAATGCAAAATTTCCTCACCAGTCCTTCAAGTGGTGTGATGTCATTGGTGCCGTCATGGTCTCCCGTAGCAACCCATTTCACTGTCACATGACCAAAATAACCTTGGTGACGTATGATATTCACAGGTTGCGGATTATCTCTACCCGGTAACTCTTGGGCTCGTATTTCCAGTGAATCCTGAAATGGTTATACAAGTATGATCATAAATGTTTTCAATCATAAAATAGAACAGTTTGCTTGTATAATAGGGTCTTATTCCTGGTCATAAAAAAGAAATATTTCTGCCATATACCTAATCAATTTCTTACTTATTTATAGGAACCATAATAATATATTTCAGCATTAGGGTACAAATAGTATGAGCTTTGTTTGTTTTGTTTGTTTGTTTCATTTTACGCCTTTTCCCCAACTGTATTTTCAGTCATATAGGCGGGTAGTTTCCAAACCATCGTTCCTGGAGAGTTACACCAGTACAAGACTACCTTCCTCCGTGCTTAACTACCAAAGGTTCTCCAGCTAGCTCACGGAACGTCGGTGGTTTACTCAGGTGCCCGTTCGTGCCTGAAATAATGCACGGAAGGGCAAATGAGGTCTTCCTCCACCCGTAAAGCTGGAACGTCGAGATATGACCTATACTTTGTCGATGTGACGTAAACCCCAATCAAACAAACAAACAAACCAAAGAATCTCTCGGGGATCGAACCCCACGCCAGAGAGGTAACTGGATTAGAAGTCATCGACTCTAACCCCTCGACCACAGAGGCGGTATAAAAAGTTAAAGGTATTTTGTTGTATTTTTTTATTTTGAGGTCACAATCATAGAGCTGTTTTCCTGCTTCACTGATATAGGGGAAGACTTCTGGTTCCCTTTTTTCTGCAATATTTCAGACACAAGCTGGCACCCCAAGTAGAATATAAACCCTTATGAGAAATAAATGCTATTGGCATGTCTTTTTGTATTTTTTTTTTCGAAAGCATCTTTTGTAAGCTTAACAAAAATCTAAGCCAAAAATGCACTTGAATTAATATTTTAACAAACATAAAAGCATCCACATCAAAACTGCTAAAACAAACAAGCACACAAAAAAACCAAAAACAAATAAAAACTTCCACTAACCTGTGCTATTTCAATTATACCATGGGCATTATCATTTGATAAAATGTTTACGGCAATTCTATTATTAACGCCTATCTCAGCGCCCCCTTGTGGTGTACGTAGAAACACATAAAATGTTTCAGTGTCCTCTGGAATCGTGTCCTGCATTACGTACATGGTCGTCCTTAAAATATCTTGTCCTGCATCCAAAGTCATTGTGACAGTTCTAAAAATAGCAAAATAAAATGTCTGATCAACGTAGCAACATGCAAGTAAATATCACATAGTTACCAGGTCAGATAAAATCACCAATTTGGATATATTATTTTGATTCTAAAACGACATTAACAAATAAATGCTGCCATACCTGATATTTATACAAATTGCGCCCGATTTGTTTCCGTACTTATTTTCAGCACAACACATTTTTAATTGTTACATCACATGTATAATGATTACGTCACATGTCAAAATATAGAATGTCAAACTGTGATTTTATTGCAAAATAACACACACTTTCGGTTCCTCTATGTTCAATAGGAAAAAATGCGGGTTGTGTTAGAATTTATTCTTCAAACACTTTACAGTGAGTAATATATTTTACTTTTAAATTGTTAGAAATTATCCAAATACAAAAGAATATACAGTGAAACCTGTGTTAAAGACCACCTATAAATAAAGATAACCTGTAGATAAAGAACACTTTTTGACAACCTTTTATTAATAAAATGGAATAACACAACCTCTAAATACAGACCACTTGTCTATTAAGACCATTTTTTGAGCCGGGTCACGACAAAACCAACATAATGGGTTTGCGACCAGCATGGATCCAGACCAGCCTGCGCATCCGCGCAGTCTGATCAGGATCCATGCTGTTTGCTATCAGTTTCTCGACTGGTAAAAGGGTTGGTAAGCGAACAGCATGGATCCTGATCGCGCAGGCTGGTCTGGATCCATGCTGGTCGCAAACCCATTATATTGGTTTTGTCGTGACACAGCTCATTTATCTCTCCCTTTGGTGGCCTTTGTTCACCGGTTTGACTACATCATAATTAAAAAAAATAAAATCGTACCTTGGGGCAAAGTCGCTGTCCTTAACCTTGATAAGCTGGTATATGACTGGGTTTGTTGTTATATTTTTATCGGCTATAGCAATCAGGTTCATTTGTCCGGAAACTTGAGGGATCGTAATTGGAACCATACTAAGTGACGGCCGACCAGTCCACACTAACTCAAAATGACTGGCCTGAACCTCCCAGGAAAAAATCTCAGATGACCCGATTGTGTTTGCAAATATTGCATAAACTGTAATAAAAAACAATAATAATTATTATTTAGATAATCAATAAAGAAACCATTTAACATAAGATTGTTTAGTTTTCCATCCCCCTTGATGCTGTGGGTTTGTGAACTCAACTCACTCTTACTGCTGGTGAGTTCTAATCTTGCAAGGTACTTTGGATTCTTCCATGTGGGGAAGCTGGCTAACAGAATGTTTGTGGTTCTACCACTGTCATATGTCATTTATATAAGAAATTATGATCATAACCTCAATACCGCCTGAACCCATGATCCCTGGGTTGAAAGGCAGCCTTTATAGGCACCTTAACCACTAGGTCATCACCACCCTCGCATATTTTTTTTTAATCACCGAAAATGAAATTCTGAAAATAATAGAAAAAATTTTCATTTGAAAAAAGGAATTGTTAATTGATCTCAAGAAGAAAGTTAAGAAAACATTTCTGACTTAGCAAGACAGTTAAAGCAAACCTGTGTCATCAAAAGCTGTGAACAGTTCTACATTTTCAACACGATTCGTCTCGAGTCGTTCATGCAGAACAAATCCTTGCGCTGTGATATCCCAGCGATACACGTCTGATTTCTGCGGACTGCTCACCGTGTTGTCCCGATTGTTGGCGAATATCAGCAGATCAAGGGAGCGAATTCTGATGTGTTTAACATCGATAGCCCCAGATGTTGGTATGTTTTGATGTTGTGAAAATTTCTCAGTGGCGTCAAACTTGTATATCTTTGAACTGCAAAATATCATTATCACAATATTATAACCCTATAAAATAGGGGGTAAAACCATATCAAACATTTGATACCAAGATATTCAAATAGTTAAGTAAATACATTTTAAAATAAATTCTATGGATGCAAGTTCAAAACCTTTTACTCTGGACTTACTACATTTTGTATCTTAAGACGCAACTTAACCCATAACCAGCTTGAACGAAAATTGATTAGCTTTTGTGACCAATATAGAGCCTGGCTAACCATGTAGTTAGACCTAGTTCTATAAATTTGGCTGACCAACATTAAATTTACATCTAGACATTCCAAATATTGAAGCTGGGAAAGTTCATGTAAGAAATTCAGAAGGTTAAGGATTGGCAGCATTTTTGTCGGGTTGGTTGGCAAGGTGAACAGAATATTATTTTTTTCCCAAAGATAGATATTGGCCAAGAATCTATACAGTGAAATGTGGGTAGACATCATTAAATCAATACAAAATATTTTATATAGCAAAAATGATTGCAAAATAAGTTTGAATTTAAAAAAAAAAATTTTGTCACTCACAAAACAACTGAACATCAGTTTTACTGAACATAGTCTAAATATACAAAAACTTCATTTTTTTTTTTAACTTACTCTAATTGGTACGACTTCTGGACTGAGTCATAAAAGTTTGTAACAGCTAGAAAAATCTTATCCTCAATTTCAAATACTGCAAGAGAACTGGCGCCCAGTGTGCGTAAAGTTGAAACTTTGCTGAATTGTTTTTGGACTGGTTCCCAGCGCCATATGTCAGTATTGACCTCTGTGTTTCCACCGTTGTCTTGCGAGTTTGCTATCACTAAATAGTGAATATTGTTCCGGTTGAAGTAAACGACATCGGTTGCCCCTCGGCTATCAAGATTTTGTATCTAAAATATAAATGACAACTCTAATTAACACATTATTAGGCTGTTATTAAATTGAAATGGACTAGTTCTGGTTTGAATTTAGAACTTCTAGCCATTATACATGTATAAAGAATAATGTCTGTTTAGACAGTGCAAGAGTGCAAGCCTATAATTGAAGCCACTAACCACTAATATTAAAACAGTAAATGGTTATATTTTCAAGCTTGTAAAGTTTATCAAGGGAGGCAACTTGTCACAGTTTTTGGGTAATCAGGGGAGAGTACTACTACTGAACCTACCAGTAAGAGTTGTCCACTGTTGTCTACCCTGTACAGTCGACTGTGTGTCTCGTATCTGTTATGGTTACCTTTGTTTGTAATCACCAGATATTGTACACCATCAATGACAAATGCCTTTAATGAGGATATACCATCTGTTTCTACAGTCTGAAAATTCAAATGTACATGCTCATTATCAAAATAACAATAGTATACTTTCCATGATTTGAATCTGAAACAATCCATTTTTTGGATAAAGGGGTTTCAATATCAAACAAGATTATATAATGTCACTATAGGTCACACACATCAAGAAGATTATATTTTATTATAGAATTCAAATGGTGAACAATTTTACCAAGTAATCTCATATTTCAGTAACCCTTATCCTGCCCAAGAAGAAAGACTTAAAGGAACTCCACTTGAGGTTCAAAAGTTTAAAACATTAAATTTGGATTTCTTACGTAACGTAGATCAGAGGGGCAATTAAAACAGAAAAATATTCAAAATATAAATAGAAAATGTACTAAAAAATCAATAAAAAAATCATTGTTATGTGCTATTCTTAGCCATATTTGAGTGAAAAGCATTGCAAAAATAATAATTATTTCCAGTCCCCTTACATAAAAAAACCTCAGTGGAGTCCCTTTAAATTGAAAAAAGATATTTTTTTTAAACAAACTGTATCTTAAATGTTAAACATTTATTATTTATTTATCTATGTCTTTTATTTCCATTTCATCTCATTGTATCTAACATTACTATAATCTAAGCATATTAATACCTGAATAGGTACCAGTTCCCCTTGCCATCTGAACAATGTTGTGTACATGAGTGTTGCCATGTCAACCGGCCCTACTGACCCCTGTGACCCCAGTGGTGAGGTCATCTCTCCAACAACAGACGGTTTATGCATCAATATAAACACAGTATCATTGATCATGAAACTCGACCAGTCTTCCACATAAGTAGTTCCAAGAACCTAAACAAGAAAAAAAATATCAAAAAATCATGAAATTAAAAAGTACTAAATTTAAAATTAGCTATGTTTTCAACCCAAACTCTGTTGTATCTTGAAAATGGAATCTTTTTTGTATATATATCAACAGCATAGATATTGTTTTAAGTTTCATTTAAATAATCTCTCTAATACTTTCAGAGTAATTCTCTGGACAAGGAAAATACATCTACCATGTTAAGCTTTGACCTTTGAAGCATGACCTTGACCTTGGAGGTAGGATTCTCAGTGTTGTGCATGACAATTTGTCTTGTTTATGGTGAACATTAGTGTCAAATTACAATTATTTAAAAATCCTTTGATGGATGAAAAAGTTATGGACCGGACACAAAGTATAACTTCATTCAGACCATGATGACCTTTGATCTCCAAGTGTGACCTTGACCTTGGTGGTAGGGGTCTGGGTGTTGCACAAGACCCTGGATGAATGGCTGAGCTATAAACCAGACCCGATGTGATCGACAGACAGATGGATTGACAGAGCCCATTTTTATAACCTCATTTTCTCTTCGGGGAACATAAAATGTTCAGGGCAGAGTGCAAAAAGATTACACAAATATTTTGATATAAAAGTATTTGAATGTTTAAAATACCTGTATGGGTACCAGACTAACAGCCGATATATCTGCAGTAGTGGTGGCAGTACCCGGCTCTGTTGCTACGTCAACCATCACCTGACCTTCCATTCCCTGGGTACGGATGACCTCAAAATGTAACATTCCTACGCCCTCTTCAACTGATATTTCTCGCATTCTGAAACACAAAATATGAATTATCTCATTGCAAAGAAAATGAATATTTTAATAATTTAAAAGTATGACTCCTAAATAATTTTTATTTTCAGTTAAATGTTAAACATATGATTATAGGATAAACTACAATGGCCATAGGACACAAATTCCCCCCTCCCCCCACAAACAACTGTTTTGTCAGTCTACAGACAGTACTGAGGTCATGATGGCGGCTGGGGGGGGGGGGGAAAGAAGACTATGGAGGCATTGGGGGCTAGAGAACATAAAAATAACTTTGTATGAAAAAAATTGCTGATACATGACTTCTTTCTGATGATTTGTCCCTCGATATACTTTAATATTTGCCTATTGCACACTGATGCAGTCTGACCATTTAAATTTTATGTGTCGTCTGCTCAAATTCAGGATAATGATATCCCTTTAATTTAAATGAACAGTTCCAAATTCAAAGCTGGGCAAGTCCATTATACAAATTTAATGGTGTAAGGTTATATGAATATTAATAACTTACTATATGAATATTAATAACTTACTTTATGAATATTAATATCTTACTTTGTATTTGCTGCATACAGACTCAGTAAACCGTTCGGCGAGTCATTCGAGTTGATTATGATGGTTCTCTGTATTTTTGTCCCCAGCTTAGCGGTCCCGTCTGGAGGTAGTAATGTTAGCGTGAATCTCTCAGCATCCTCGGGTATGTTGTCATCCAGTACTGTGATGGTTATACTTGCCGATGTCTGAAGTTTTGTATATTAATAAAGTATTTTAAAAATACTCACATTGGTGTTAAAAGTATCAGCAATATATTTTTAATTTTGAGTAAATAAGAACTAAGATTATTTGACTAAGAACCAAGAATCATTTTCATGAACCCCTTCCACCCCCACTCCTCCCCTCATTTAATATGCTATCTGATAAATAAACACAGTAATTGTTTTTTTACCAATAACTGATAAACACTAAAGGATATTTTTAGTATCTCACTGATAAAACCCAATATTTCATTAATGAGAATAAAATATAACTATTCTCCAGTGTCAAGATAATTTGTTAAAACGCATTTTTAAAAAAAAATCTTGATGGCATTATATTATCTTGGTAACACAAATAAAACAACATTATTATATGGTATTCTATTAATTTCAAATTAATTTGTGACTTTGGAGTATAAAAGAATAAAATGAATCGTAATTTGACGAATTAAAACAAACCTGTTTATTTTGAAATGTAGCAAGACCTTGCATCGGGGACAGGTCATCTCTGTTAGTATCGATCTCAGGAACTATCTCAAATGGCACATTTACTACACCATACATTCCTGGTCCGCGCTGAATCACAAACTCAGCAGATGTTACCAGGGTGTCGTCTGCTGTTGGCTCATCCAAGGTCACAGGGTCAATGTCCTCAAAATACACAAATCCTGCTGCATCGTCATTGGCTAGTATTGTCACAGTGGCTGAAAGAGGATATTCATGTACAGGAATACTATGAGATTGCTGAACCATTTGAAACTTATAAATTTAGTGTTACAAATAAATTTTTATCTAAGAACAAAGAACTATTGTTGGGCGACGACAAAACAACCTTACCTCTGCTAGGCGTTCCAAGCACAAGTCCATTTTTAGGGTTAGAGAGTACAACCTCAAATACCTCGTCAGGTTCTGGTATATCATCATTGATAATCTCTATCTGAATCTGTTTGGTCCGGTCCCCGTTCAGAAATATTATCTCCTGTAACAAGCATAAGTAAAACATGTTATTTCATTTCTACGTATATGTTTATTTTATTGAGATTGACGATCTTGTTTCATTGGTTTGGTTTCAAGTAACCCAACTCTTGTTGTGATAATGTGGCGACTTTTAAGCTTGACTGGTTAAATACCATTCAGTAGTTGATTAACGGTCCATCGTCAGTATGTTTGCATGATATTTTATCATCGAACATAGAAGGTAACTGGGTTGAGACAATTGCACTGATTGTTTTCTTATTTATCTTCCTCCTTGTTAAATTAAGTGCGTAACAAAGGTTCAGACCAGGTGGGTCAACGCTGTACTATATTGTTTTGTCTATGTTGGGGAAGAAATTATTACACCAAAGAAAGAATAATATAAATAATTCCGAAAAAAAATTATTCAAATATACATAAGAAAAGCAACAACAACTTCTTCCAAAGACTGTCCAATATTGTACTGTTATAAATTTTTTTTATCAAAATAAAATAAATTCATGACAAGTAAATTAAAATAATCAAACATTGACATGCTAGAAATAAAATAAATATTCTTTAAAATAAGATCGCAATGTTAAAATGAAAATCTAAAATCAATTTAAAAAAATAAAAAATAAAACAAAAACAAAATTCAACCAGCTTACCTCAGGGAATAAGTTGGAACTCATTAAACCCAAAACCCTCCGTAATAAAACTGTGATAAAATAATACATGCAATTTGTTATATGTGAAAAGTGAACAAAAGAAAAGTGAACATTAGAATTCCAGTGATATTAATAAATAAATGAGATAACAAAAATAACCTGGCAAGAAATAAAGGTTTTACTCTAAAATGCTTTAAAAACTAACCAGAGGGATTATAATTGTGCATTAAAAGTCACAAAACTTCAACTAACCAGCATCCCATATAACCAGTGCAGACAAAGATCAGCCATATAATCTGTACTGTCTGATCATGGTCTGCACTGTTTGCAATTCAGTCATTACGTATTTTGAAATATTCCTTTAAAATGATGAACGGTATTGTCCAGATTGAAAGATAGACAAGTCCATTTAAAATATTTGGCTGGATATAATACAAGCATAAACCAATCTTGTCTTAATAAAACAAAATTTGCATAAAATAAAACAATATAATAAAATCTCTGTGTATTTTTAAAGCATTTCAGCAAACCATATTCTGATATTATGCAGACAATTTTTGTTGTTTGATTGCATAATTAACAAAAACAAACATCTGAGTTCAATATAACAAAAGAATAATCCAAAACCCCGAAAGTTAATATAATTAATGTAGAAATAAATAACAACAAAATATAACTCTATAGCGATCATCAGTTAGAAATTCAAAGTTAAAAAGGGGCATAACTAAAAAAAATATTGCTTTCAAAATTATGCCCCTTGTCTAAAACAACCTTGTCATAATAAGCAAGTATTCTAAGTTTCATGTTGATACTTTTTGAAATGTTTGAATAATGGACTACATTAAAGTATTTTGCATGACAACCACAATGATGCCCAACGATCATAATTTTCCAAGAAAAAAGCTAATTAAGATCACCCATCCGCCAAATTTAACTATTCATTATAGTCAGTTTCAAAATGACCTTTCCTTTATAGGCCATACAAATACAGATATATGATTGTAAGTCCCAAATTCATTGTATTTGTTAAAATCTGCACTAAAACATTACCCTTATAATCAACACACTTCTCAATTTTCAAATTATTTCACATCTAATTACATAGGCTACAGACCTTTGAAAGAAATGCCATGTTGAAAAAGACTATAGTATTGTTTCAATATCTATTCAACTATATAATAGATGTAGATTTCACTTATATGTGATACATATATATTGTTAATATTGGTATTCAATATTTGGTGCTATCAATACCTGAAACCTTGAATATGCAAACTTTAAGAAGTACATTAAAGAAATTAAACTTTTCTACATTTAATTAAAGCATATATCAAATTCACAAGTCATAGTAATTGGCCATTCCTAATGAATTATCGGTTCTGCAAATGTTATTATCAGAGCTTAGCAGCTGGAGAAAGAGCCTGCCTACTCATCAATGCTTTATCTTGGGCAAACAAGCTGGCGCCAGACGCCATATAAGCAAAAAATAAATCAGGACCAAAATCAATTGTTTTTGGTGACTTTTTATTGTCAAGTTTTAAGTCACTCGGATACTGTCAAGGTATTATCTCTAAAGGGATTCAAACCCCTAGGTGAGAGGGGTATCAGGAACAAAATTCAACTATAGTTTAACTTTGTTCGCTTGAACTCAGAGGGCCCATTCAAATTTATTTGAGAGATCATTGTTCAAGCCAAATGAGGCTCAAGAGTTGGAGTAATCCATATTCAAACAATACATGGTAGAACAATATATGCAGCTATTAATAGTTAAACACTGAACATTTTGAAATACATAAATAAAGAACTCCAATGTAAACATGTGTATCAATGAAATGCTACCTTAGAACTGAATCAATTTGAAGGCATTTTGCCGAGAACGGACTGTGAGTTCAAGCAAAGGAAGGTATTTGAGCGATCTGAGTTCAAGGGAATGAAGTTTAACAGTACCTTAAACTTTTAAGATACAAACATAGTTCACATAACTTTTTAGGCATATAGACTAACTTACCTGTGGTGTCACTTTGTAATCAAGTCCCATATTAGTTCCCTCCACAATGCTGTCCACATAGAAGTAAACAGACACGTCCCCGAAGGTTCCTCTCTCACGACTTACGGTCAGTGATATATTTCTGCTTACTTCGTCAACAGATACTCTGGAAAACATAATGTTTACTGATCACATAAACTACGGCGTAGGACTGTAGTAATATTCCTTATAGCTTCATTTTTATAAAACACTTGAATCAGTTTACAATAGCAAATTACATGAATATTAATAGTTAAACACTGAAAATTTTGAAATGCATAAATGAAGAACTTACACAGACGACCCCTGGGCAAATATGACCTCGCCTTTGGTCCCATCGTTAGCATTGATGATTACCTGGGAAACCAATCCAGTACTTCCTGTTCAAATATTAATATGGCATGTATATCAATTAAATGCTACCTTAGAAGTGAATATATAAAAATTCAACATTTTTTTAAGCTCCACAAGTGGAGGAGGATGTCAGGCACAATCAGGAACCTTAGTAGAACCATCAACATTCCGTAAGACAGCTAAATTGACAGAATCCAAAGTTCCTGGCAGGGTTCCAATCTGCACAGCCAAGTAATAGATATCTGAATGATATGTAATATTCATATCTCTAGCTATACAATTTAAGACTTTCAATGTAGGCTAGTAACCAGATCAGACATTGCCAATATGGGAAGATACGCAAACATATACATGACTGTGCTATGTATTTATAACAAGCTTCGATGATATCAAAGGTTCCCTGAAATTTCTAGATTCTGGAAAACATAATTGTGCTTAAAGTCCTATATAATATCATAAAGTAAATAAAACGATGTTTCCACGACCCTAAGTATCATACCTAATACAGGGGGATCAGACGGCACTCCTGTACCAACCATCGTCACATTCAGCAGACGCACAACAAAAACCTCATCCACTTCCGGGTCAAGGTCATCGATTATTGTCACAGCAATAGAAGAGGAGGCAACTCCATCAGCCATCGTAATAAACCCTCTCCTTGATACAAAATCAGCAGACGGCGTGGCAAGTTGTAATTCAGAATTTGTGAGGGAGACCGAACCCGTTGTTATTTCGTAGTCTATGCGAATTGCACCTAAATGATGGTGGAAATACTGAGAAATTATTGTGTGTCAAAATTTAAAATAATACAGATGCAATTGTGATATTATTTTCTCAGATGGAAAAACATTATCTTTAGATATTTCAAGCACAAGATGTCTGACAGTCATCAAATTTAGCACTGGCGGGGTGGCCCATGGCCAGTGAAAATTAGTTTGGACCAGTGTAAATTTTTAGAAAGTTTAGTTAAATATTTAGTAGAATAAATTTAAAAATGGAATTCGGGCCAGTAAATTCAAAATCTTAAATTCAGTGACTGGTGTGACATGTTATATGGCCATATTGTTTTTTGCCATATCACCATCGCCTATGAGCTTGGATTACATATGCAAACAACTGTTTATATAGAGCCATATAACATGTCTATAACTCAAATAGTATAAATGGTTCTTTGCTATATAAACAAATCAGCTTCAACCAATCATACTGAACCATTTAACCTTTACAAGCCATATAACATGTAAGACATATAACCTGTCTACAACTAATATTATAAATGGTTCTTTGCAATTTAACCCTAGCTGCTTCAACCATTCATACTGAACCATATAACATTTACGAGCCATATAACATGTAAGACATATAACTGACCAGACATATAACCTGTCCACAAATAACCTGTCAAACATATAACCAGTCCAACATATAACCATCTGAATTATAACCAGTCTGACATATAACATGTCTAACATGTAACCAGTCCGACATGTAACCAGTCAGACATCTTTATGTTTTACAAAATATAGGTCATACCTATAGCGCCAAACTTCCTATCCACCTGTATATTAACAGTGCCTGCGCCCTCGTCTACTCGTACATTAAGCGAGTTACTACCGAACTGTATAACACCGTGTGGGTTGTTACTACCAGCTATTGTTATACTGGCTGTACGTAGTAACTGGTCAAACACAGCAGCCCCACTAATACCTACACCTGAAATATATGAATATATATAGAGGATATTGAATGAGGTTAACGTTTAGAGCAAGATGCTCGCATAATATGATTTTGTTCAACTTGTTCAATAAATTTAGTATTGAATGTACCAGGATATAATAATCTATTTATCACATATTCAAAAGGGGAGCGGTTTACAGTTAAAACGAGTCATTTTTCAATGATGCGCAAATAACATAGCGCTAACATTAGCGCACTTTAACACTATGTTTTGCTGTGTAGGAATTGACCACAAAGGCCACTGGTCGATATTAAGTCCATTCTAACAAGACAAAATAAAGAAGATCACTAAAGCTATTTTTTTCAAGCAAAGATTACTTCCGGTGCTGATTTTCATATAACACTGTTCGATTTCACACCCTGATGTTGCTTAGATGTAGAAATTAAACAGTAATTTGTCTGTAACTGATTATAAATTGGTCACATGTGGAGAAATTTGTGATTACTGGTTAGTTATCCAGGAAAGCCAGTTAGGTGGACTGACTGCTGAGATAAAATCACAAATTTCCAAAAAAACTCTATTGTTACCACAATGAAATTTTCAATTCTTAAAGGAATAGGCTGATACAAAAGAAAGAAAAATATTCAATACAGGCTTTGTTTGTTTGTACAATTTTATAACATACCAACACAGTGAAGATCATATGGTACCGAAACAGCCTAATCTTGGGACTGTTACAAAGTTTGAAGCAACACCAGGGGTCAAAAACAATACATCTGCTGGAGCTAAGAGATACATAGACTCAAATAAGAAGGATAACGGTGGCTGCAATTCTTATGCCTCAACCATTAAAGGCAACCCCTCAGCCACAAGAATTTAACAAAAGTGGTACTAACCTGTAGTGGTGATGGTAGTAAGAACGAGTTGGTACTCTTCATTTAGTTCCGGTATGTTATCTGTCAACACATCTAAAACAATGGACTTCCTATTCTCTTCCTTTAATAGTAAACATTTTTTTAGAAAATGCATGATACAAGTTTAGTATAAAATCACATATAAAATTAAATTAAAAAAACAAAACAATTATTACATAAATAATCTCTACTAAGGTTTTTTTGATGTAATAATGAGTCTGGAAATATTTGTTTCAAGATTTTAATTCCATTTGTTGAAGGTCTTTAACAAAAAGATATGCGCAAAATAGCTCCCTCAGTTCTGAACAAAGATGCTATTATGCAAAATAACCTAAAAATAAAATGTTTTAACACTTTTAATTAAATCGAGCTAAAAATCCTACTAAACATTGATTTTCGATTTCGTTCCAAGTACATTCCTTTTCTATTCAATATTCTTATATTTAGGTTTTAAGTGCTCTTGTTGATGGAATGTAAGATTTTCAATTTTATGTTTTAAGCTTTTTGACCTCAGTGGAGTTTAAAGGCCAATTATGCCACAGAAATGCTAAAGAAATGCTGTCATTTTTATTTCTTTTTAGTATCTTGTTGCAGTTTCAAAATAATACTAATTTCCCATATGCATGATCTGTCTTTTGCCCTGTAGGCAAAACAGATATAATAATCTAACATGTCTTTATCCATTATTTAAACATTGTTAAACACATGTTTGATATTTCTAAAGAATGGACTAGTGAGGCATAATTTGCTTTAAATTTTCAATTTTTAAAAAGATTTGACAGTGAATCGACACAAATTTCTACACAAATACAGATAATCGTTACTTACAGGTTGAAACACGACAGTTCCTTCATAAACCTGGAAAGATTTGGCCGGGTCCAGATTTCGGAGACCATTTATTCGCCAGTTAACAGTGACGGTACCAAACTCTGACGGTTCCCTCAGTACATCCACGCTTACCGTATCACCTGTGATAGATAAAATTATCTCCCCTTGATATTTGGTTATACTTTTTTACAAGAATATTTCCTACAGTGGAATTACAATAAAGATACTAATAATTACATGCAGGAACAATAAAATTACAGTTTAACTTGCCCATGCGACCATGTGTATTAAGCAACTTGTGTCTTATACGACCACTTTAAATTCCCCCCGATCATTTTCTCTATAAATCTTTAATGTATTAAGCAACTTTTGCTCAATGCAACCAACGACCGCTAATTAGTCAGCTAATTGAGATCAATCTTATCATTAAACGACCACTTTTACCTGTCAAGAAATTGTATTTTTAGAGAACGCAGCCTTGTAATGTCACAAGTGTAAACAATCAAAACACAACATATAAAGGTGTGAAAACCTCTATTTCCCAAATCATTTTAGCGTATGCAAATAAAGTTAAGTATACGCGTGACGTGTATTATCCAATAATATCAATTAAACAGTGCAACGCTCCACCCCACTGAGATGGTGTATATGCTTCGCTGTTGATATTTAGACTGCATTGAATTGACCTTAAACTTGATCAACAATTAAATTAATCTTTACAGTTAGATGTAGTTTGTTTATTTCAAATGAAAGAAATACAGGACAATCAGAAAACATCTTCACTCATTAGGGTTTTTGTGTTGGAGACAAGGAAATACAATGGAGAAGTTTTAAAATTCTGGAAAAAAGTCCAACATATACAAAATGGATCAAAACTGTTTTGTCAATAAACATAAAAAAAGTTATTTTTTACATTAGCATCCATTTAGATTATTTGAGCATTTTAATTATTACAATGACAATGTGTTTATTTGTAATATAAGGCCTTCAGCTCAAAATACAATAAGATTTTCAATTTAACAAAGAGTGAGATATCAATATATATAATAGACATAAATTATGAGTATATTTACAGGTAATTAGTATAATGGTAATATTGAATATTTAAGTTGAAATAAAGGTTACATTAATAAAGCATATAATGTACAAATGTCAATATGATTAATATCAGTATTGACATGATTGAAGAGGTAACTATTAATTTAGATATATTATTTCAACTTTTAGGTATGGCTAAAGTAAGAAACGTTTGTTTCAACAAATGGAGTAACTGAAACACATGACACATAAATATAAATTATAAACATTACAATACACATGTTAAATTTGTTCAGTTATTTGAAGTTTTCTTAAATTAATTGCTTCATAGATAAATTTTTTAATATTGTCTTCGTTGTTTCTGACATTATAGTATTAAAGCATTCATTACTGTTTAGAATCACATTCCAATTACAAAAATTTAAGTGTTTGTGTCTAAGGTTGTTGTACAGCTGACAGTCAATCAAACAAGAGCCCGGTTTGAGCCGGGTGATGCTCCCCGAATAGGTTTTGGACACAGGAAAGTACACCTCTTGTAGTTTCAGAGTTATGTCCGTGGAAAAAGTTCAAAGTGCAATAATTCCAAAATTAGGCAAGGCTGTTACAGTTTTTTGCACTGCACTTCTAATCAATGTGATCTATCAACTTACAAAGTTTCTTGATGATATCTCTTATGATTTCCGAGTTATGTCCTGGACAATTCAAAAAGTAAAAATAAACAAAGGGCAATAACTCCAGAATTAGGTAGAGTTATGATTCTTGTGCACTGCACATTTACCCATTGAGATTTATCTACCTACAAAGTTTCATGTTGATATCTCTTATAGTTTTACAGCTATGTCCTGGACAAGATTTTTCTAAAAGGGGAGATTATTCAAAAATAAGGCTTAACAGAGTTATGGTTCTTTTGCAGTGCACATTTATCCATTGAGATCTTTTCACCTACAAAGTTTCATGTTGATATCTCTTATAGTTTTAGAGTTATGCCCCGGACAAGATTTTTCTATAAGGGGAGATAATTCAAAAACCGGGCAAAATAGAGTTATGGTTCTTTGACACTGCACTCCCCCTTGATGAACTCAACCACTGTATGAAGTTTCAACAAATTATCTCCAAGGGTTTTCAAGTTATGTTCCGGACAAAGTTCAAAGTATTAAAATTAACAAAGGGCAATAACTTCAAAATTAGGACAAAAAGAGTTATTGTTCTTACGCACTGCACATCTACCCATTGAGATCTATTCACCTACAAAGTTTCATGTTGATATCTCTTATAGTTTTAGAGTTATGCCCCGGACAAGATTTTTCTATAAGGAGAGATAATTCAAAAACCGGGCAAAATAGAGTTATGGTTCTTTGACACTGCACTCCCCCTCGATGCCCTCTACCACTGTATGAAGTTTCAACAAATTGTCTCAACGGACGGACAAGGCGCCGACTATATGCTCCCCCGAAATTTTTCGGGGAGCATAAAAATGATCTTCATTTTCAACAACATACACATTACGTCTAAGACAAAATGAACAAAATCTAAATTCTCTGTCAATATTTAAGTGCCTTCCTGTTTCAATTTTCAAGTCATTGCCACTGCATCTAAAATTTGCTAATGCGTGTTTATATGTATAAGGCATACTCAGTGACAAATAACATTCGTTAGAAATAGAGGTCTTATAAATTCTGTAACTGATTGCTTTAGGCGATGAATAAATGTCAGACATTATCTTTTGTCTACAGCAGTCTGAAACTCGTGTCCTAAATACTTGCATGAATGTATTAATATTTCTGACTCCGTTCACTGTCCATGCGTAACCAACGCTTAATTGAAATAGCATATGTTTAACATGAGTTGCCCATGTGATTTGTCCTTGTTCATGTAAGTTTCTAAGCAAAATAAGCTTTGTCTTGGTAACCAATATTGTGGCATTTCCGTTAATTTTAACGAGTACTTAACATATTTAGACATATATGTTAAACTTATTGGAAGGCGTCCGCATTCACTAAGGGTGAAGAAACTTGCAATGTTTTGATTTAAACATGCTATCCTTTGGCAAAATGATATATGAACATTTTCGATCCATTGACATGTGTTATAGCCCAAAATCTCTGATGAGTGTGTTAAAATGGGTTTAACCATAGCATCCAATAGTTTGAAAGCATCAATAACACTAAAATATCCAAAATGTTTCTGATAAGCATAATTAACATAAACAGCCTTGGTCGCCTGTATGGCTAGTACATCTTTCATTGAGTCCACGATTGTTTCCAGGTATTTATAACAATTGACAACTTCTATTTCTTTTGCATTATACATCCAATGCTCATATTGTCTTAGTGGACTGCCGTTTCTGAAAACGATTATCTTAGATTTATCATGATATATAGACATACCAGGAGTTTCAGCACAATAATAACATATTTCATTTATTTGTCTTTGGAGATTTATAGCTGTGTCGGCAAAACTGGAGACATGATCGACAAATATAAACATTTATATAAATGAAGTTAAAAAATATTCCTACTGTTAAAGGAAGATGTCATATATCTTTTTTTTATGTTTTTATCACGCTTTGTCTTTAGAGACTTTTTCATTAAGCGACCCTTTTGGTTGTTTCGCTTGCACAGTCGCCTTAATACACGTTTCTCTGTAATACAGTTCATTTATAAAAAAAATAAGAGCCAGTTGAACCAGGTGATGCTCCCTGACTAGGTTTTGGACACAGAAAATTATATCTTTTGTTGTTTCAGAGTTATGTCCCAGACAAAGTTCAAAGTGTGATAATTCCAAACTAAGGCAAGGCCGAGTCACTATTCTTTGCACTGCACTTCTATTTAATCGAGTTCTATCTACCGACTTGCGCGCGGCACATCGTCTCAATATGGTGATCATTTCTGTGAAATCCGACTTCAAATAACCAAGTAATTGGCTGGACATGATTTTGCTTCAAGGTCATGCTGTGACCTTAACCTTCAAGGTAGTGACCCTCTGACCCGCGACACTTCTTCTCAATATGGTGATCATTTCCGAGAAATAGTTGTAAAATAACCAAGTAATTGGCCAGAAAGGATCTTGCTTCAAGGTCATGCTGTGACCTTGACCTTCAATGTACCGACCCAAATGTTGCGCGTGACACATTGTCTCAGAATGGTGATCATTTCTGTGAAATAGTTGTAAAATCCGGCTTCAAATAATGAAGTTATGGGCCAGACACAATTTTGCTTCAAGGTCATGCTGTGATCTTGACCTTCCAGGTAATGTCCCAAATATTATGCGCAACATGTCTTCTCAATATGGTGATCATTTCTGTGAAATAGTGAAATAGGCCGGACACAAATTCGGGATGTGCGTACGAACTGACGGACGAACAACCCGGCGACTATATGCTCCCCCGAAATTTTCATACATAAAAGGCACACAGCAATGACATCATTTAAAGCATGCACACTATTTATCTTACATGGGGAGTAAGACAAGGTTTTCTAGCACAGGTGTTAATCGGAGATAATCCTGTTGGACATGTTAGAAAATATAGTAAATCTCAGGACTTTATTTATTCATTTAATTTTTTGATTGAATTACAAAATCTTATTTCAAATTTACAGAGACAGACCAAAAATACCTAAATACAGAATATTTGGAACGGGGGAGGTTAATTGTAACTTAAGTTATTAAAATTTGAATGTCTTAAATGTCTTGTAAATGTGACCCTCTGTATTCAAAGCATATTCACTCTTTTACCAGGGACCCTTGTAAAGCCCCATTCCCAATCTGCAACATGACCACTTCTTTTCCCAATTTCAAAAGAATATATTCCAAACAGCTGACAAAATATAAACTAGAAATGTGTCCATAGGACACGGATGCCCCCACACACCACTGTTCTGTCAATCTTATGACTCTAGGTCAAATATTTTTTGGACTACATGTGCCACAAGTTAAAAACTAAAAATCAACAAAGGGCCATAATTCTGTTAAATTTGGTCGCAGCAAAAATTCCTACCTTTACTACCATCTACACATTAAGGTTGTTAATCCCTGGAAGTTTAAGCAAAATCGGCCATGCGGTTTAAGAGGAGTTGCATTCACAAAATTTCTATATAGTATATAGTGAAAAAATCAACAAAGGGCCATAATTCTGTAAAGTTTGGTCGCAGCGAAAATTCCTTCCTTTACTACCATCTTCACCTTAAGGTTGTTCATCCCTGTAAGTTTAAGCAAAATCGGCCATCCGGTTTAAGAGGAGTTGCATTCACAAAATTTCTATATAGTATATAGTGAAAAAATCAACAAAGGGCCATAATTCTGTAAAGTTTGGTCGCAGCAAAAATTCCTTCCTTTACTACCATCTTCACCTTAAGGTTGTTCATCCCTGTAAGTTTAAGCAAAATCGGCCATGCGGTTTAAGAGGAGTTGCATTCACAAAATTTCTACATAGTATATAGTGAAAAAATCAACAAAGGGCCATAATTCTGTTAAATTTGGTCGTAGCAAAAATTCCTTCCTTTACTACCATCTACACATTAAGGTTGTTCATCCCTGTAAGTTTGAGCAAAATCTGCCATGCGGTTTAAGAGGAGTTGCGTTCACAAAATTTCTTCATAGTATCTAGTGAAAAAATCAACAAAGGGCCATAATTCTGTTAAATTTGGTCACAGCGAAAATTCCTTCCTTTACTACCATCTACACATTAAGGTTGTTCATCCCTGTAAGTTTAAGCAAAATCTGCCATCCGGTTTAAGAGGAGTTGCGTTCACAAGATTTCGGGACGTACGGACGGACTGACGGACTGACACTCGGACGGACAAGTGCAACGCTATATGCTCCCACTCTGTGGGGGCATAAAAATATTACATTTTCTGAGAAAAAATACTACTGTTATGACTTGTATCAGGTTATATGATCATAAACATCTATAGAACTTAGAAAGTAATCTTATCTGATATTTTACTTAATGACCTTAAATTCATTATGATTGACCTTTGACCTACTGACCTCATTCTCATAGCGGTAAAATCTACTAGTCATGAACAACTTTCATATCAAATATAAGGACTTTATGCCTTCCCTAGTTACTGGTGGTACAAGCAATGGTGACCTTGACCTCAAAATCAATAGAGGTCATTTACTGGCCATGGGTAATATCCCTACCAAGTTACATAAACCAGGGCTTATTCCTTCTCAAGTTATTGATTAGACAAGGCAGAAGTGATGTAAGTACATTATCCGACCATGCATCACAATATTACCTTCCTCAGCCTGGATAGAGGTTGAACTAAGGGAGACCACTCCAGCAATGTTATCATTCTCTAGAATCACAACAGTGGCATTGTCGTATTTTATAGTTGCTCCCCCTTGAACGTTGCTCAGCCGGACAATGACGTTTTTGGCAAGTTCCGGTACATTATCATCTAACACCGTTATACTGATTACTGAAATATAAATTAACCACATGACACTGGTAAGTACAGGTAAATAGGAAAAGTGAAATGTACATATTTTAACCAAACAATTATTGACTTAAAATAGAATAAAATAGAAAAGTAAATAATGCAACAATCAATCAGTATTCAATCAGTACTTATTTTGATATAAATTTTGAAATATCTGTCTTGTCCAAATTAAAATGTATACAAGTCAATTTAAAATCTTAAGATTCTACATAACAAAAATTGTATTTCCTCTAAATTTATTTTCTACATAAATCAAAATTTTTCCTCTCTTTTAAATTATTCTTTTTTTTTTTCTATCAGCTTTTGTAGTTTAAAATTTAACTTCTTAATTAGTTGATACAGAATTTATTTTAGTTTGATGTGTAGGAAGCTATAAGCTTCTAGACACACTTTTGAATCTGTTCCTTGAACCAACCAGTACTGAGTAATGAGTGTAAAATTTCTTGCTAAAGGAAACAACGACTTGCCCCTGACGAGGTTTGAGCCCATGTGGCTAGCAATCATTAGAATACAGGTCTGACGCGTTAAATACTCGGCCATGCCGCCACTTCAACTTTTCCTAATGAACCCTATATAAGTATATACAGTGTACCAGTCAATTAATTAAACTTAATTAATTGGTTTAAGTTGAAACATACATTTTCTGGTATCTCCTGGTAAGAAGGTGAGAGTTGCACCATCAGCCCTGTAATCCACATTGTACTGTGCCGTGCTGGCACCTTGATCCACAGACCAGTCAATAGACACCTCACCGATGGTACCTCCTATATAAATACAAAAATTTTAATTTACAATGTTCCAATTTGAAGACACTCATATAGTAAAATCCTGGCATTGCTATTGGCTGTATCCCAGGCCATTTTGGCCCTGTAACAAAGCAACCTCATTGACGCAGCAGTTGGTGGAAAAACAAAAATTTAACAACATCACTTATTTTTCCCCGCCCTTCCTAGGAAAATATGCTTTGGTGCAAAATTATCACCTGGTTGATTTTATTATCTTTCTACTTCAATCAGGTATATATTTGCATCTAGTCTTAAAATTATTTGTATGGTCAGTTACAAACACAATACAAACTTGGTACAATTCACATATCATGTAGTTTCCTTTTACAAAACAAAGAATTTTGTTTTTATTTCTTCAACTTGTCAATATTTGTAACAAACTGTCAATATTCATAACAAACTGGAAGGAATAAAATTGTTATATACTTCAACAAACATGTACAAACCTTGTCTCTCAACCACAAGTTCTACTGCCAGGTTTTCTTTTTCCTCCACCTGGATCACATGACCACCATCGGAGGCCAGGGGACTGTCACTGTACACTGTAAAAGCCCCATACGTATCATCATTAGCCAATATCGTAACTGTAGCATTTCTCGTCTCCCCTAGATACGGCGTGTTCTCAGCAGACGGCAGTTCACCAGCCACGTCAACTCTGGTTAACATGACAACAAACTTTTCATCGAGTTCCGGTATATTATCAGCTTTGATGGTAACCGGAATTTCTCCGCTGGTTTCATCTTGATCGATAAGAACATAACCACTGGTAACGACAGTGTAATCATCTCCTGGGGTTGCATGCACACCGACTAACTCTCCAGCCTAAGAATATAACAAAACGTAATTTGTATCGTTTATTATTTTGTGTAATAAATAAGCTCTATGAGGCATCAAATCTGTTTCTTGGTTTAAATCATACATGCCAGGAAAGAATCTTAAAGTAGGTATCCGTAAAGCTGTTTCAGACTCAATTCCTATTACATGTGGTGTACCTCAGGGCAGTATCTTGGGTCCTCTTCTTTTTCTCTGCTATGTTAGTGACATGGTAACTAATACTGATTGCAAGTTTATTAATGGCTAACCAAATATTGATAAAAGAATTGATACCATAGACATAATAATTAACAGACAAATCATCACCTCAGTGCAATAACTGGTTAACACCTATTAAATTTAGGACTTAACCTGTTACTGCACTAAGGTGACAAATTGTAAGTTTTACTTTCCCTCTTCAAGTAAAATATCAAAATGTCACTGACCTTGACAAAATCTTTCTCATAGTACTGGAAGTTTGATGACAATATTTGTAGGTCACCAGTCGTGTCATGTAATGTACACATTCGTGTACTGTCCGAGAAATACACCTCAAATGAACTGCAGGAAATCTTCCTCAAACAGGCGGTAGCACAGACCTGTGATAAAAAAGTATAATCTGTAACATTCAAGAAAGTTACATACTGATTAAGTGTACTTTTATTTGTTTCAAATCATGCTAACATACCTCGATATAAACTAGGAAAATGAAACTTACCCCATGGCTACAATACTTTTATAAAACCATTAAACCATTGACTTTCCATTATTTATAACAGTTATCTAACTTTATCTGAAATCTTTCTTTAAAATAGAACATCATGATCTGTTTTAACAAGATATTCAGAGTTATCAATCTTACATTAGTTTTCTTAAGGTACCTACTTATTTGATAATAATACATAATTATAAGAGTTATCAACTTAATATTAAACATTCAGATACCCACAATTATATATTAGTATTAATAAATATCCGCACTCACATAATAATAGCATGAGTTACCTCCCTTTTATCAAAAATTATAATACTTTACAAATGAACATCAAGAGTAACCTCTGTTTAAGATATGAATATTAAGAGTTACTTACCCTTACTGGATCTTCAGAAGGGAGAATAGAAATGTCTTCACCTTGGACACTTCTGCTTCCGAACAATGGGGTGTGGAAATAATCAAGTACACTGGTAACTGTTTCAATTATATTTTCATGTACATACACCAGCTTGGCCGTCATATAGTAAACTCGCAACTGACCAAAACTACCTCCTCTGCAAGAAAACCAAATCATTGTAATCCAATTCAATGAAATTAACCCAAAGTTTCAGATATGAAATATACATGATTACAATAATTTTGATGAGTTTGAAAAGTAACCAGAAAAGTTACATAAAATGTACACAAATGGCTATGAAAATAAAATTTTCAGAAGTAATACTTTGGAATATTAAACACTTACTTGGTATGAAACTAATTGTATAGAAAGCAGTGGTAAAAAATTACACTGTTACTATAGCAATAATTTTGGCATTTGGTGCATAATTGTTGTAATACAAATAAGACGGAGAATAAGTTTTTATATGTCTGGTATTAACGCCAATTTCAACACCATTTTTGGTCATATCTCGGTGTTGATACATCTAACAAGCTTTCCTGGGTAACTAACCAGTAATTTACTAATTACCAATTTCTCCACAAGTGACCAACTACTAATCACATGTGGTTTCTAAATCAGCTTTGAAAGACAAAAGACTATTAGACAGAGATCAATTGTGGAAGAGAAATTCGTTCCACCTGACTGAGGAGATTCCACTTCTATTCACCAATGCTTCTAAATCTCAATGAACTAAAGTGCATTAGAAACACAACGAAAAAATAAAAATACAACCTAACTACTATCCCATTTAAGAAATGCCACCAAAAATTACGTTCATTTTTTTCTACTTTCAACAATTTATATGTGAACATAGCATCGCTAATCTTAAACATTATGTTTGAGAAAAGGTTTGAAATAACAAACTTACGTTCTTGTGAGTAAAAGACTTTGTTGCGAGTCTGTCAACTGTTCCTGTACAGAGTAACGAGTCTGCGCGAATTCCACAACACCGTGAGGATTATCATTAGATGGTATAGACAGAGTAAACACGTTCTTTGGTCCAATTCTACCCGCAGATACCGATGTCAACTTTATCTCAAAATCCTGTATGAAAATGTGGAGACTTAAAAAACAAAATGACCTTAACCACACCCCCTCAAAGAGAGCTCTGGCGCATGACTGACTTAATAATAATCTAAATTAACAAATGTGTAAAATTTTTGTAAATGGTATCCAGTGCCACTTGTACATTTCTTTTTTGAAATTTCGAAATTAAAATTATTCATAAATAATCTCATCTGTTAAGTACAGAACATAAACACTTAATGATAATGCCATGAAAATTTACTACTTATTTATAATCTGAAGATGTTATGGTAAGAACCTTAGCCACCAGTATAGAGCAAAGCCAGTCTACACTTGGGGGCAGTCAGAACAGATCCTATACTGCTGGCTGATAAATTTTAGTACTTAAGTACTGAAATACCCTGAGTCAGAAAATGGACTGTCCCGGATTCAAAACACTAGGGCCTTTTCCAAATTCAAATTTGGGACAAGTCCATTGAAAATTCAAGTTCAACAGTTATGGGTTACAATTAGTGATGGTTAAAAATACTGTTATCATATATCTGCACCACAGTACAATAAATGGTTAACTCCTATCAAATTTAGAAGGACTTAACCCATAACTGCACAAAAGTGAAAAATGTGTTTCATCTTAAAAAATTCGACTGACCTCTTGACCTTCCGGTATATCGTCAGGTAGAACCGAGATGATGAACCTCTTACTTCCCTCGTTACTAACATAGAATATGGTACCAGTTGTTGGTGTAAAATCATCGATCGCAGTATTTCCTGAAATGATGCAAATCTCAATCATTATATCTTGTGACAATGTCAAATGATTTGTTTGTTTGGTTTGGTTTTTGTGAATATATTTTCTGTATGATAGTTAAAAGGTTATGTTACTGATAAATAAGAAGTTTTCAATTATTTCAGAAGCAGATAAAGCCAAATAAGGGAAATGTAAATATTTTCTTTTCAAGAACTGATATGCAGGATAAGTGGTTATTTCCGCATGATGAAAAGATAGCAAATTTCAAATACCAGACATTTAGTGTGTGGAAATATTAGAGAATCACCAAGCTCAGAATTAGCATGAAAACTGAAGACAGGTTGGGTGATATTTACACAAGAGGAAATTTTAGCTATTTTTGTCAATTTTGAAAACTTTGCCAATATTTCAGCGGCGAAATCTTAAAAACTTACACAGTATTCATGAGAAAAAATAATATTTTATATTTTTTTATGAAAATTAGAAAATGAAACAAAGAATCTATACCATAAGCAATAGACAGAGTGAGGTATAAATCATATCCCACTGTGATGAAATACAGTAATATTTCACTTCTAGGAATAGAATACAACGATAACCTTTGTGTCATGTGCAAGGTACCCCATCTTGTCTTAAATATAGTTATTACGTGGAAAATTAATCTTTCTTATCTATTTACGCGGAGAAATTATCAAGCGACCCCCTGGTGACTTAAACAAACTCCAATTCATTTTTAATACAGACTTAGAATATTTTGTTTCAGGGGAAGTAACTACAATCAGACATATTGACTTTGTAAATAATGTGTTCTAACCATTTAGAGTTGCCTCCCAGTTTAGTGTTATCACCCCTGTTGTGCCTCCTGACCTTTGAACAGTTATTTCTACATTACTTCTATCAGATTCTGGTTCCTCTACGGATATACCGTCTTCTGTAAATTCTGTAAACATAAAAGCACAAAGATACAAAATAATTCCTTTAACCAAGCATTTCAATACTACAAAATCAGAAATCTTCTCAATGATTGTACTTATCAAAAGGTGAATTCTCATTCACTTAGCTTTTTTCCATACATCTTTCACAAATAACTTTTGACATACAAGAATCCATGTCCTTGTGGATAAATCCTTGATGCATTTTCAAATATAGAAAAAAATGTAAATGACTCATATTTTATCAAATTTATTTGGCTGCATTTAAACATTTGACTTGTTGAAAACTTTAAGAAGGTATAATTTTTGGTGGGTTTTTACATCGCACCAACACAGAATAGGTCACATGACTACTTTCCAGTTTTACTGGTTGGAAAAGTCTTAAGGTGCTCTCTGCATTATTTCAGGCAGAAACGGGCACCTGAGTAGAACCATGACGTTCTGTTAGCTAACTGGATAGTTCCATACATTATGGAATTCAAATTCCCTGCCAGGATTTGAACCCACAGCGGTGAGGGGTAAGTGATAAATTGGTACATGAAGAAGCTAAATTCAAAGCAACCTTAATCTCTTTAGCAGCATGTCATGTGACCAAAATAAAGAACAACAACAAACTTTTGGAACCAACAAGACTGCCTTTATTCTGAGACATTACTTTTTTATTATTAAAATGAAAGTCATACCAAATACTCCATTGGGATCATCTGAGGTGTCTATGGTAACCGTCGTACTGGTGATTGTGCCAAGTACGCCTCCTCCCGACACCTGGTCTAACCGTACCGTAAACGTTTCTTGAAACTCAGGTATGGTGTCATCTTCTATACGTATAGGGACGGCAGCAGACGTCTGACCTCTCTCTAAGGTCACTTGAGATGACAGCAAAACGTAATCCAGACCTTGTAAAGCAGTCCCGTCTGTTACAACTACAGTAACAGTGACCTGTTGCAGGAATAGAATAATGCAAATCACAGCAATTACATAGCAGAAAGTCAGGAATGATTGAATATTTTTGAAAAGTTTTAGCAGCATATGTGTTAAAATTGAACAAAGTAATTGATTATAATACACTTTTTGACATAGTTTCCAAATATAACTCTGGCATTGTAAAAACAGCATCAAAGACAGATTTTCCTTTTAAACAAGAGGATTTCAATATTACACACGACTGTCACAAAAATCTTAGTGACTCATAATAATAGCCTCTGTAATATGACCAACATTACTTCAGAAAAATACTGTTACATTTAACGCTGAGATTTAAAAGAAATGTAAACATAGCACATTACTTCATGTATAACATAATATATAATTATCAAACTCACCTGACCAAAAGCTCCGCCATACCGTGTAACAAACAAGAAGGGTTCCTTCTGGTTCTCAGGAACAAGTGGCGAGACTGGTGACAGAACAAGTTCCCCGTTAGCGTTGTCGTTCAAATTAATAATTATCTCTCCGTAAGATTCTGATTCTGATCCAATACTCGGAGAATTATCCACTGAATTAAAGAAAGGCCATGATAAAAAATTGACATGTTACGATTTAACGGAAAAAACACTTTCAGAAGTAAATAACATTCCAGCTTGCAGATTGATACAGTATGATGCCCATATAACACAAACAAAGGAGAAAATATAAATCTTAGAATACTTTTTATGTGACGAGGCTTGCCAAAAAAACTATTGTATGAGCTTTGGTTTGACCTGGATATATAATCATTATATCAGAAAATAATGCATGGGGGATTTAACATTTTCCTTCACTGTACAGTACATTATGAGCCTAACAGTGTTTGTGCAATCTCTACCAATTCGCCCATTCCAAAATAAATGAATTCACGACTGAAAACAAAATATTAATTTTACAACTAACTCACCTGGCCTTATCTGGGCTGCTTGAATAATCTTGACCCCAATTAACCTCACATACACAGATTCATCTTCCTCTGGCTTATCATCATCCAAAATCTCGACCTCAAAGGTCGCGAACTCTTGGTCAATGTCAAAGGTCACTGACCCTGATGACATTCTATAATCTTCAAGGTCAGCCCTTTTAACCAATGGTGGAATAAATGAATAGGTTTCTTGAGGTGATAGGGTTGTGTAATTTACTTCAATGACGCCAAACATTCCGCCTTGTCTCTGGATTTCCATGGAAACCACTGCAAAGGAAAATATACCATGTAGGAAATTTATTGAACCGTAAAATTTTAGGTGAAAAGGTACCAAAGTGAAAGTAAATTGTTTTTCAGGGTTATGCTTTCATTTAGTGAGATATTCTTTAAATCATTACATTTGCACCAAGTGATTGTATATGCAGAGTGTTGATTGAACCACTATAGCATGTTCTTTGCCAACTACTGTCTATTATACAAAGGTTTCACTGTAGATTTCCATACTGTACTGTTGATAAAGGATTAACTATTTCATGCTTGTTTTGTTTCCCCTAAATACTGGGTAAAACAGTTTTTAGTTATCATACTAGGTGTACATAATACCAAGGTTTCGCTGTAGCATACAATTTCTATACATTTTATGTAACAAATAATTATACAAATTTCCGTGTTCCAACCACTGTCTATCAGACCAAGGCTTCATTGTAGCACACAAATTCAATATCATAGTATTTTACATATGGTATTACAAATTTTGGTTAAAAAAAGCCCATTATATATGTTTGACTGCAGGGCTCTCGTTAGCATTTTGAGACTGGGGCCAGGGTCCATGCAGGGGGGGAATTTTGCATGATTTTCAAATATTTTTCATCCAAAGGGGAATTTCCACAGAGGAAAATTAATTCAGAAAAAAAAAAAAACAGAAAAAAGTGAATGTAAGATTCAGTTAACAAATAAACATCATTAAGCTGCTTTCATGAAATATTTCTGTTATTTTTTGCGGTACGACTTGAAATTGTGCGACATGTTGGAATGCTAAAACCCGTCCGGAACGTTTTATTTATATATACATACTAATTTCCGATTGCCGTTCGCGGAATACTTACTAATTTCCGGTTGCCGTACGCGGAATATGCATTCGCCGATCGGCGTTTTCTATGCCCGTTAAAAATTAATTTCAAGGGATTTCAAGGGGGATTTTTTTCGGTTTTAGGGGGAAAAAAACACACTTTTTTGGTGGGGGAATGGGGCCGATATTCGGCCCCAAATTTTACCAAACGAGAGCCCTGGACTTTATCATGTAGTTTTCCAACTGTAGCTTATTATATCATGATCTTACTGTTACAAGTAGTTTTTGTACCACAGTATTGTACAAATGGATGAACAAACTTTGGTTTTCTAACAGCAGACCATTTTATCAAGTTTTAACTGTGCCATTTACTATTACAACTTCAGTCCATGACACAAAGGTTTTAATGTTCAAATACTTTTTGTACCATAGTTTTTTTTACAATTGGATGAACAGACTTTGTTTATTAACAGCAGATCATTTTATCAAGGTTTAACTGTATTGTGCAGTTTTCCAACAAATGGGCCATTATACCAGGGTTTTACTGTATCAAATAGTTTCTGTACCATAGTATTTTACACTTGGTAGACCATAGTACACATCCATTCATACTAGATCTGTGAGCAGATATTTTATTTCTCTAATCCTATTAGCATAAATTTGCCTTAAATGTAACTTATGTAAAATATCCGGGAGTTTTTATATGTTGTCAGTTTTTGTGATACAAAATCCTCATAAAAAATCAGCCCATCTACTTTGATGTCTTATTAGCCAATTGAATGACAAGTTGAAAATACGTATAACTTTTAAAACAAATCTGTATCAATGTGATCACATTTCAACAGCAGCTTGTGTTAATTTTGTTTATATCCATATTTAACTTTCAAATAAAGTTACAGAAATAAAGTTAAAAAAATCAGAGTTCCGTATCTGATCTTCTTGTCACTCCTCTTTTTGAACTGAGGCCTTTAACTTTATTTTACCCTTTCTGCTTTGTTTTTTGTTTTTTTCAGACACTTTTTCAATCGTACAATTCATAAATATAAAATTATACAGAAAGGAAATATTTAGTTCATTTCATGTACATGATATTCAAATTTTTGTATCATTTGAAAAAAATAAATTAAATAAATTCTTGAAAAGTAAACATCTTCTTAATAATCTTATTTACATTACATCAAATCTGTACCATACTGAATTTTACTTGACAGATTTACATTAACCTTTACCCCCCTCCCCCACCCCTTAGCACATCCAGGCAGTCTGACCAGGCTCTATACTGTGGGTTACACTAATTTTAAATTTTCAACTTATTACCAAAACTGAAAATGGTCAGTTCCAAAATTGGGTGCTGGGCAAGTCCATTTAAGAAATACACCAAGTTAATGGTTAAGAGCTCAGAAAAAGTTTGGTCAGAAGAGTATATGGTATAATTACATGCTTAATGATACATGTAGTTATAATTTGAAAAGCTCTCTCATAATAATTCCTATAAGTAGACTTTTTTGCTAATGACCTTTACAAAGGTCATTCTACAACACTTCTATAATGATGAAATAGGTTAAGTATCTTACTTGTATTGGCCTCTTCTACGTTCTTGGTTCTTGTAGCCGCTGGTATCACAAATCTACCATAGGGGTCATCATTTGCCAAAACCGTGACCTCTGACCTCAAAAACTGACCCTTATCTCCCTGTGTCAAAATTATTATTTTTCAAAAAGTTATATAACTTACATTTAAATGTCTGTGACAATTAATATCTTTTCTAGAATAATCAAGTTAACATTCTAAGAAAAATAAATTTATTATTTTATATAAATTATATGTCCCGTGTTAAGAAAAATATGCTGCCTAAACGGTACTCAAAACTGAGACCCCCGTAAGACTGTTCTGCGGCTCTACAGACTGAGCTATCTGGCCGCTTAAACATTTCTCCCCTAAATTGTAAACAGTTCTTAACCACGCTTTTCATTTTGGTTCATTTTTTTTACAATTTGATTTTTTATTTTGGAAAAACAAAGTGCCCGAATGATCTGAAATTTTGCACAAAGATTAGTGGTCTTAACCTACATCAAATGGTACATTTATCTGGAAAAGATATTTTCAGTCCCATCATGTCAATAAACATCAGTGGAGCCCCTTTAACATTTGATTTAAGAGTTACTACCCTAAATATCATAAATGGACTTGTCCTTCTTTGGATCTGGACAAAACCCTTAATCTTTTAAGGGAAAATTTTAAAATATGAACTGGCTAATTAGCAAACAGAACAGACCATGATTCAGATGGCATGGATGTACTGTTAGGTCTTGATCTGCACTGGTTGCTTGGGTAGAATGTAGAATCTTTACTGGCTAGTAGGCAGAGAGTTAAAGAAGCATACCTTTAAGCATTTAATTGCTCAAAAAAAAAATAAATAAAAAAAATTTAAAACTAGAAATGTGTCCATAGGACACGGATGCCCCCACACGCCACTGTTCTGTCAATCTTATGACTCCAGGGCTCTCGTTTGGTAAAATTTGGGGCTGAATATCGGCCCCATTCCCCCACCAAAAAAGTGTGTTTTTTTCCCCATAAAACTGAAAAAAATCCCCCTTGAAATCCCTTGAAATTAATTTTTAACGGGCATAGAAAAGGCCGATCGGCGAATGCATATTCCGCTTAAGGCAACCGGAAATTAGTAAGTATTTTGCGAACGGCAATCGGAAATTAGTATGTATATATAAATAAAACTTCCGGACGGGTTTTAGCATTCCAACATGTCGCACAATTTCAAGTCGTACCGCAAAAAATAACAGAAATATTTCATGAAAGCAGCTTAATCATTAATCATTAATGATGTTTATTTGTTAACTGAATCTTACATTCACTTTTTTCTGTTTTTTTTTCTGAATTAATTTTCCTCTGTGGAAATTCCCCTATAAATATTTGAAAATCATGCAAAATTCCCCCCAGCATGGACCCTGGCCACAGTCTCACAATGCTAACGAGAGCCCTGGACTCTAGGTCAAATATTTTTTGGACTACATGTGCCACAAGTTGAAAACTAAAAATCAACAAAGGGCCATAATTCTGTTTAATTTGTTCACAGCAAAAATTCCTTCCTTTACTACCATCTACACATTAAGGTTGTTCATCCCTGGAAGTTTAAGCAAAATCTGCCATCCAGTTTAAGAGGAGTTGCGTTCACAAAATTTCAACATAGTATATAGTGAAAAATCAACAAAGGGCCATAATTCTGTGAAATTTGGTCGCAGCAAAAATTCCTTCCTTTACTACCATCTACACATTAAGGTTGTTCATCCCTGGAAGTTTAAGCAAAATCTGCCATCCCGTTTAAGAGGAGTTGCATTCACAAAATTTCTACACAGTATATAGTGAAAAAATCAACAAAGGGCCATAATTCTGTTAAATTTAGTCGCAGCAAAAATTCCTTCCTTTGCTTCCATCTACACATTAAGGTTGTTCATCCCTGTAAGTTTAAGCAAAATCTGCTTTTGGGTTTAAGAGGAGTTGCATTCACAAAATTTCTACACAGTATATAGTGAAAATTCAACAAAGGGCCATAATTCTGTTAAATTTGGTCGCAGCTAAAAATTCCTTCCTTTACTACCATCTACACATTAAGGTTGTTCATCCCTGGAAGTTTAAGCAAAATCTGCCATCCGGTTTAAGAGGAGTTGCGTTCACAAGATTTTGGGACGTACGGACAGACGTATGGACGGACAGACGGCAGCCAAGTGCAACGCTATATGCTCCCACTCTGTGGGAGCATAAAAATTCAACTATCTTATATAATTATTGCTACATACCCTTGACACAGCAATTATCTCTACAATAAAAAGTTCATCCAGTTCCGGTATGGGATCGCCCCTGACCTTTAACCCTATGTCGCCAGACAGCTGTCCGTTACTGAAGGTCACGTTACCGGTGTGGTCCACTATGTCATTTCCCTTATCACTCAGTACCTGCCATGTGACTATCACCTCACCGATACTGCCCCCTGTGCGCTCCATCTAAATAATAATTGATAAATATGATATTCTCTTGTTTGGTAGGAAAAAAGTTATTAACTTAGCCTTGTTCAATTAATAATAGCAAATGATGTCAAAAACTCATTCTTTTGTTTGATTTTGTCTTTCTTAGGGATAAACTTTACACCCCCCCCCCCTTCTGAATTTTTGTAAATTGGACTTTCCCTCAATTGAATATAGAACAGTTTATAAGTACATGTAGTTGAGGAACTTTTAAATACTATTAAATATATATATGTAGTTTAACCTTTCGCAATCTCACAATCCCAATCATCTCTCTCTGTTTTCTCAATCTTTTTTTTATACCAAATAAAAAGGGGCTACCAATTATGATATGACCATTACCCAATCTAATGAAAATTGTGAATTCTTGTTAATTTAAACCTGCTGTATGTATACCTTACAAGTGATTTTGTAAGGTCAGTATGGGATCATTCCCAGAACCATCTTGATCATGTGGAATAATCGTGGTCACCTTTATTGTTGGGGCCCGTAAAAAAAAGCTATCGTTATTTTGTAAATTAATATTTTGTACAACTTTATTTATAATTTAGCATCCTTTCTTGCATAAAGTCAATAATAAACTTTTATCTCTCCCAGAAAGAAAACAATTTCCTATAGTAGTAATCTAACTGACCAAAACTGGGTCCAATGAAACTGATATTCTCTAAAAATAAATATATAAATTTTCCTTAAAAATGCAATATTGATAATACAATGCACATTCTATCATGCACGACCCCTGAGACTACTACATTACCTGTAACACAACTATATTTGAACTACTATCGCCCGTTTCCTGTGCGCGTATCTGCCGTGAGTTTTCCTTGAACTGAAACACGCCAAATGCCCCGTCAGAATGCTCGATCACTACGACAATTTCAGACCCGATCCCTAACTGTGCGCCACCAGAGGGGTTCAACAATGTGACGATGAACGTTTTCTCGTCCTCGGGTATGATATTGTCTATGATAGCGATATCAATGTACGCGTATCTCTCTCCATCTCTCATTGTTATACGACCAACCGCAGCCTGAAAATATCATCATGTATGAAATTTAAAACTATCCTTTATATTTATACGACCAACAGCAGTCTAAATGTAAGAAATCAAACTATTTTTCATAGTAACGACTAACGGCAGCCTGAAAATAACATCATGTATGAAATTTAAAATATCCTACATATTTTTACGACCAACAGCAGTCTAAATGTATGCTTTTATCAATTTTTACGAACATTTTTAGTTTGTAACAGCAAAGATCCTAATGTATCAGCATAGATCCTACCATGTTAGCTAGGGATTCAAACTTGCAACCTCCCGTTTACAAGTGAAAGTAACGATGCTTAAGACCACTGAGCCAAACAATTATTGATTCCCTGAATTATAGTTATGAAGGTAGGTGTGCACTCAACCATAACAATGTCCCTCGGCAGACTTTAGTTAATACATTTTAAAGAAACGTTGGACATTAAGACCAACAACTGGGTGTTAATTCCTTTTGTACCACCAATAGCAAACTGGTATTCATAGAATGTAATAAAAAACAACAGTAAATAAATGTATTACGATTTAATGATTTAAAAAATAAAATAAAAAAAAGAACAATGATTTCACCATCTCATCTCAAGGTGATCATATTAATACACCCTTAGCCTTTAGATAAATTGTGTTGTGCAAAGTGGGTGGTCTCTAAATTAATCAGAACCCTCATTTTAATAACTTCAATGTCAGTTGATAGATTTTAGTCCCCCCCCCCCCCTTCAATTTGAATAAAATAGTCCACAACAATTTTAAATATTTACCTAATTATCATTATTAAGTATTTTATTTGACATTCAGCATGTAATACATGCTTAATATTTGAAAATAACTTTCAAAAACAATTCAATATCTTATAATCAAATAAATATGATCAACTAAAAACTTTTATCAATACCATTATACCAAATACCTTATGAAACAATAAAAAAAGAAATCAAAACCATTCTTCCAATTTTTCATTAAATACATAAAAACCTGTAACCCCAAAAAATGACATTCTAAATACCAGGTTAAGACAAAAGACGACTTACCCCTGAAAGACCTGTCTGTTTTAATCATTTAGAAAAAAAAAATCATTGTTATCTAGTATTGTAACATGTTCATGAAAACCTGTCTATCTGTCTTTCACACGTTATTTTAGAAAACAGAAATCGTCAGAGAAATTCCACTAGTTTCAACATGATTCAATTTAGCCACAATATATAGTAAGTCCTAAGTTTTACTTTTACAACGTCTGGTGTCATATAGGAAAACATTTTTGTATTATTTCACTTCTAGGTAGTATCCTGTACACTCTGATATCCTGTACACTCTGAATGACTGTTTCTTTTTTTTTTATTCCTAATCAATGTTAGGTTTTACTTTGCACCAACACAGTTTAGGTCATATTTGGCAACTTTCCATTTTGTATTATTTCAGGCAGGAAAGACAACTAAGTAGAACCACCGGCGTTCCATTAGCTAGCTTGATAGCTTTCTCACATGAGAGAATCTAAAGATGCTGGCATGACGTAAACCTACAAGGGTGAGAGGCAAATGGTTTGAAGTCTTTGACATTTAACCACTTGGTCTTGGATGTCCCTCTGACAGGGTGACCATGGGTATTGACAACATTATCAATATAGGTGGCAAACCTATTAAATTTTCCCAGGGTCAACAAAAATACTTTGAAAGAACTCCAAAGAATCTTAAAGCCTAGAAACATAAAAATTTAAAAAGCTTACATGCTTTGAAATGCTTAGATCAACTATGGCACTTAAAACAGAAAAACATGAACAAGACAATTAAGAAAATTAATACACTCTGAATTAAATTAAAAATCAATTTTTTGTGACAATTTCCTAGCCTGATTTTCCTAGGCCTTTTTTGTTTGTTTTTTTTTTATCACTGCACAAATTGAAATATCAATTGTGGGTAAATGTAAAGAGAAAATGATCTGAAATTTTGCACATAAGTTTACTGTTCCAGATTTTCATCAGATTGTACACAAATCTCAAAAGTTACTCTTTAGAACTGTTCACTATATACTATATAGGGAAGATGTGAAAGCGGCCGGACAGCTCAGTTGGTAGAGCTGCAGAACGGTATACATAGGGTCCTGGGTTCAAGTCCCCTGCACATTTTTCTCACACTGTGACATTTGGCACCCAAACTGAGGCAGTGACTGAATATAGCTCAGACTTTAATTTACATTGCTGTGTAACCCTGAGAAATTTGTGGATGAATTTCAATATAGCAGGGGAGTATGTCACTGTTCAGAACTGTTCACTATATAGGGGAGAAGATGTTTAAATTAAGCCAGAGAGCCGAGTCTGCCGAGCTGAGGAATGGTATTAGGGGATTCCCGGATTTGAGTCCTGGTCAGATTGCACATTTTTCCTCACCCTGTGACATTTGACAATAAAATGTTTCAAGTCCAATCATGTCAAAAAACCTTGGTGGGATTCCTTTAAAAAAATGTAAAAAAAAAATTCTAAAAAAAATGAAAAATTGTTTTAACACTGTTTTTACCAAAAATTAATTTGTACTGATAAATCTATAGTGGTTAAATAATAAATTAATATTTTCTCTAGAACATTCAAAGAAAGAAATTATAAAAAAAAAATCTTCGTCAATTCATAGATCACAACACTTAACAAATCCACATTTAAAATGGTAATTACGAAATATTTTATAGCAAGTATCCCTTTCAAAAATTTGCATAGATAATTGCTGCGGGTTATTGCTTATGAATTAATTAAAACTTAATTTAATAAACAGAGAAATAGAATTGAAAGATAATTAAGTGGTGATGTCTGTATAAGAAAAGAAAACATAAATCAAATTAAATTAGAATCGAGCTAAAGCTACACAGCAATTTCTTTATTATTTATTACATTTCAATTTTTTTAGCGCTGCATAATAATTTAGTAAGCTCCTTTTCATTCTGAAAATTGCATAAAATTGTTAACAAAATATATAGATCAAGGAGTATAATCGGTTTTAATTACAGCTTTCATTCAATAAAAGTTGTGGTTTTAATTAATAAAACTGTTAAGAAGGCAAAATACAACAGTTTCACACCACCCACAGCAAAAATATCTATATAAAACATCATTCTCTAATATTTCATTCAGTTTCATACTTTAAGTTCGCGGAGTTAAATTTCTTTTGATAAACATCTTGTCGATTATTTAAATTAAAACCATCGAACAATTGATGAAAGAGATTGGAGATTATTTTTACCTATTAAAATTCATTTGGTATGGAGATTATTTGAGTGAAATGAGTAAGAAAAGAGCAGCTGGGAATTTTATACACAACATGTTATTAAAAGCTATTTTAACATAATTTTCAACATTCATTTCAAAAGGGTTTGGAATAACACTTTAAAAATAACATAAACGGAAATTTGTATTTTCTGCCAGAGATAATGCAAAAGGAAAATATTTACCTAGTGTGGAATATTCTAATAATTTTTTCATTATTGGAAACTTTAAAAGCAGACGCAAAATGTGAGTTAAATATCAATGACTGTAATTACAAACTGACCCTGTTGCCAAGCAACAACTGCTGGAATAGCACAGTTGTAAGGTCAAGGCCAAAAAGGTCAGAGGAGAATGGTCAGGAAATAAGTGATATCGCAGACAAGCTGGAAACATTACAATCAGAATTTTCGAAAATGCAACATAAATTGGTAAAGGAAATGAATCATCTTTCAAAACGTGTCCTGCGTGGCGCACGTCGAGTTGAACTGCTTGCAGAAGATGCCATGCCTAAAGGTCAAGGAAAGAAGAAAAGCAAATGCCCACAAGGATTTGAGAGTTTCGATGATTGGAATGATTGTTATTTATTTTCGACATTCAATACGACGTGGTACGATGCTAGGGACTATTGTCAAGCCATGGACAGTGACTTAGTCGGTCTTCAAACAAGAAAGGAACAATTTCTTGTCGCGTTTAAAATCCTGAACCATCCTGGTGAGTACAAACACCAACTTACACCAAATTATTTTGATAGATATGTATGGGTACATACTTATGTACATGTACATATTTCATAACATGATAGAATCCTGCAGGTGATAGTATCACGAAAACTGAATTTTAAAAAGAAATAATTTTTTTTAAAGGATCCACTGACGTTCAAAAGCATAAAAACAATAAAATTTGAAAATCTTATATGGATCAACTTAAGCATTATACCAAACTTAAAAATATGACGACAAAAAAATAATAAAGAAATATGCTAAGAATTAAGTTGACAATCCATAGTTAGTGTAATTCTTAGTTAAAAGTGTTTAAACACTTTTCATTTTTCAGCTCAGTTTATGCCATATAAATAATTACATATCTATTTCTTTAATAACACGAGTCAAAGTGCATTGAAAATGATCTGAAATTTTGCACGCTAGTGATTGGTACAAACCCACATGAGAAAAAAAAAATTTTTTCATTCCAAACATGTCAAAAAACCTGAGTGCAGTCCCCATTAAGTTTTACACAGTGAAATTTACTCTAAATTTTCTTATTTTTTACTTAATTGGTAAAAAAAATTTGCTATCTTTTAAAATATTTACATAGACTGTGCTCAATGTATTTGTAAAGTGTTGCATTTCACGAAATTAAAGTTACTTAATACATTTTATAAAATCAGATAAATATCATATTGCGGATACTTATGCAAGTTGGTTTAAAAACCTGCGACATAATGTTTGATTATCAAAATTTCTATCTAATACGCAGATATTAACCAGTTTAAAGTTGAATTTTCAATTTTTTTTATCAATATAATTATATGCAGATAATTTTAGGAGATAACTTGTCCTATTTATGATTAATTAGTTGTCCGAGAAATATTAAGGCTGCATTTTTTAGAATAAACCTACTTAAAAAAATCTTTGATATTCAAAAGTTTGAAAGTAAAATTGAAAAAAAAGTAAAACTCCAAAAAAAAATAAGTTTGGAATACTACCAGTACAAAAGACACCCTTTTAAACAGGTTAGTCAATAACATACACTCTTAAAGGATGAATTAATAGAAATACAGTTAAACCTTGGCACAGCAACACCATTTGAGACACAAAGATTTTTGGTAGTTCTGGCTTCCAAAACTTCAGGGATTGTTTTGTAGATAACATAGAAGATTAATATGTGATTTAGAACCCCCCCCCCAGCAAATTCCTTAATAAAGAGGGGTATAATAACCCCTTGAAAAGTTGGAAGTTGATAAACTTTGTGATGTAGATAATTCATTATTGTTTCCAGAGTGATTTCGAAAACTTTAAAAGCCGGTTTTTAAACATTTTGTTCTTTCATCTTATGCAGCATTTACACCATGTCACAGTATATAAATGGGTACACTAAAGACCTTATGCTAACATTTTGGTTGTCGTTCAGAGGTAATTGTGCTGTACAGTGGTAACAAACTGGCAAAATATTAATAGTAATTATAAATGCCACAGGGTTTGAATTTCAGCTTGCATGGTCACGAAATATTAGTGAATTTTAAAAAAACTGCGAGCTATTTTATACTCACAAATCTTCATGAATTAATCTCACAAAAAATTGCAAGTCATTTTTATTTTGTAAAATGAAAGTTAGAGCACATGTTAAACGGAGTTCACATCATTAGGATGTTGTTATATTATAATGACTACTTACATGAAATATTATAACACTGAGGTTGGTTAATCAAGGGCAATGCAAGCTTAAACTCGAACCTTGTGAATTTCAATTTTGTGAGTTCATTTATCATTCTGCAAGTTCATTAGAAAGTCACTAGTAAAAATAATAAATTTGCTTATAGAAAAAAAATGCCAATAACTCTCCCTGATGCATGTGTTGTTTTTTTCTGCAGAATATCGGGATGCCAAAAGCTGGTGGACAAGTGGTACATACGTCCCGAGTATTAAAAAATGGATGTGGATGAACACGATAAATATGTTGCCATTCGATTACACAAAATGGGCCGTAAACGAGCCTAATGATCATTTAAACAAGAACTTACAGTGTGTAATGATGTATAAACTGGATGATTTACTCTGGCACGATCAAATATGTACGGACAAATATAACTTTATATGTGAAAAACCTGCCACATAGAATAATCTGAGCAGGACTTTAAGTTTTTTTAAAAGAACAAAATTGCCGCAAAGAATAGTCTGTGCAGGACTTTTAAGTTTTTTTAATTGAATTGATAATTCATATTCAATCCCAAATATTCAACATATAAACTTACAGCAATCCAACTTATTCATTATTATTGAAAATACATAGCTGGTATAATTTACTCCCAAGTAATAAAACTTACTTATTATCCCAAATAAAACATTATTCATAGGTGGTAAAATTTACTCCCCCAGTTTAGTTAAACATTAATTCCTTTACAAAATGACACGAGTCATGATGTAATGTTATTAACAGTGATATCAACTGGTGACATCAGCATTATAAAAATTGAAATCTGATATATTTTACTCCCTCTTTTTGCCTTTTGAATAATTATGTTTACAATTTTTCATGTTGTTGTTGTAAGCAATTTAGATAATAAATATTCATCACCAATTTAAATATGGGCAGGTCTTGATTGAGAGATATTAAATCACTCATGTGACAAATTTGTGAAAATAAATTTATTTTCTAATCTGAGCTCCACCCATGATGTTATTACCCGATTTAATCTCATTAGTTTATATTTATTACTTCTTACATTGTTTACAATGTATCAACAATAAAATAACTGCAGAGTGAAAACCTGCACAATTAAAAAAACAAAATCAGTATGAAAAAGCAAAAAGCTTACCCATTTCATGCTAGAATTTAAGTGTTTTGCCTTTGGTTTATTAGAATTTATTTTAGTTTGATTGTGTTGGAAGCTATAAGCTTATTGACGTACTCTCTAATCTGTTCCTGGAACCAACCAGTACTAAGCAATGAGTGTAAAATTTCTTGCTCAAGGATACCATGGCTTAAATGCCCCTGATAGGGGTTCGAACCTGCACAGCCTGCAATCCTTAACATTACTAATCCGACAGGTTAACCACTGTGGCATGACTCTCAAACAGGTTAAAGGTTAAAAAAACTATGATTTGATCATGATGCAATCTATTTGTTGATATACTACATGTTTAATATCACATGAAATTGACTTGCTCTTAATGTCATGTTTTCCAATGCAAATAAATACAATAATGAAGTAGAATGGAATTGTTAAAAACTTTTATGTACAGTATACAACTTGAAATGGCATTGAATTTTGCCCTTCTTCTGCAGCTGTTTCAATTAAAGGCACACCGAGACTCAGTAACAAGTACATCTTTCCTTATTTAGTCGTAGATAGAAGTACAATGAATTCATATTCACACGTTGTTGTTGATTTTTCTATCCAAAAACTTATTTAGAAATGACATGCATGTGTTTTTTTATTACATCACAACTGGGTTTAGAGCATATTAGATGCTGATCGTCTAAGAAAGTGGCAGTGATTGTGAAATAATCAGTCATAAAAGCGGCAAAATATAAACCAAGTGGTAATATAGACTTCCATATAAAATACTTAAATCAGAATTAATCATGCACTTACAGAATAATCTGGAGGAGTTTTCCCAAAACTTTTTGCTGTTCCATCAGTTGTCTTCCATTCAACAGTTATCTCCCCTTGATAACCCTGTGCCCTCACCACCAGGAGGCGAGCTATCCCATCTTCCTCTGCAACTCTTACCTATAAATAGCAATGAATTTATTCAATGTTTTTATACAACCTTCGTTTGTTGTTTTTTTTAGTTGGTTTTAAGTCACACAGACAAGCTGTACTGGTTAAGGAAGGCCTCCTGTGCCTTTCAGTGCAATTTAAAGGCAAGAGCTGGGAACCCTAAAAAGAACCACCAATGTTCCATAAGTTAGCTAGATAGCGTCTTTGCATGAAATAATTCAAAGTCCTTACCATGAAGGGCAAGAGGTTTAAAGTCAGCCACCTTAAACACTTGACCATGGAGGTCCCTATAGTTATAAGCTTAGAGTAAGTAATTGATATATACACACTTAATTTATTCTATATTTAAGGAAAAACATGCTATATCCCCATTGCGGGATAATTTTCCCCCATTTTTTCCCCATGTCCATGACAGGAAATAATAATAAATTTTAAATCACCTTAGTGCAATAACGTAATAAGCGCTTCTAAATTTAATAGCAGTTATTCAGTTATTGCACTAACGTGACAATATGGCATGTACACATTAAAGGTAGGATTTAAGTACTCACCGTCGGCCTCTCCTCAGCTGGGGGTATAAATGGATCCCCCGGTCCTGGAGGTATAAGGGACGTTGAAAACTGCAATAAGCCATTCGGATAGTCATTCTCCCTCATTATTACAACAGAGGTACGTAGTAGATTATCGATACTCGCACCACTCGTGTTTGTACTGCCTACAACACCGTCTCCAGTGTTTACTTCGATAAGTCGTATCTCGAACATTTCTTCCGGCTCAGGTATACCGTCAACCGTGAGCTGTACTGTGAACATCTACAATGTAACACAAAACTTCAATAATGACTTACAACTATCGAAATACAAAACATGATTACAAGTACATGTATCTTTAATTACAGATTTTTTTAAAATTTAATTCTAGATCATTCAAAGATATCAAATCTTTCAAGATCATGAATTTTACACAGAATGTTTACATTCAAACTTAAATTTATGTAAATGTTATTCTTGCAAATAATAAATTTAACCGGAAATTCTTACATATGATAAATTTACAGACATTTGCCAGTGTGATGTTCATAATTATGGCATGTTCTCTGACCTAATTAAACAAAAACATTTCCTAAAATTCACGTTTGACCTAAATAAAAACTCCTGACCTATTTAAACCATATATCAGAGATGTAGATATTTATGTCTCTTATAATATTAACTTCTCACCTAAATTAAACTCACCTCTGACGTATTTAAACACAAGTTATTTCCCAAATATTCACCTTTGACCTAAATAAAACTCGACCCTGACCTATTTTTACACAAGTCACATTTGACCTAAATAAAACTCAACTCTGACCTTTTTTAAACACAAGCTTTTTTCCTAATATTCACCTCTGACCTAAATGAACTCACTTTTGACCTACTTAAACACATGCAATTTTCCTTATATTCACCTCTGACCTAAATAAAACAACTCACCTCTGACCTATCACCAGCCTCAAACACAACTTGACCTGTATACTCGACAAAGTCCTGTGTGGCTAGGATAAACTGACCAGAGATATTCTGGTACGCTGCCCAAGTCACTACCACCTGACCATCGTCTCCACGACGACGACCTATTGTGCATGTGATACTAATACCTTCTGAGATTGGCTGGGCAGGTTGACATTGTTGTGGAAAATAGAATAACCCGTTGGCATTGTCACTCTTCAAGACTGAAAATAAATGAATATGTTTATATCAAGAAATTTTTTTCAGTTACAACACCAACTTTGTTAGTTTTTGTTGGTTTTATGGCACGCCAACACAGTATAGGTCATATAGTGCCAAAACAGGAGAGATGATTTTGGCTAAAATTGGTTTTTACTAACTTTAAAGTGACACAATAATTGACAAAGCTGCGGAAAGTAGTTCCATGATGGTATAAAAACATGTTCTTTCATTTATTCGGCAAAAAAGTAGTAGCTTATTAAAGAAAGTAGTCCTTATCATATAAAGTTATGATTTGAAAAAACTAGTTCTGCTCTGAAAAAAAAACCCCAAAACAAAACACTTTCTCTCAGCAGATAAAGTAGTTCTAACCTGTCAATGTTGCAATGTTATCATTCAAAGAGAGTGAAGCTCCGCCTCTCCCAGCAAGAAGGCGGATCGTGAACCTTTCAGCTCCCTCCTCCTCAGTGTCCTGTATTGACCGAATGTCAATAAATTTATTCCTGATGGCAGACGGATACACAAGATAGCCAGAAATCGGAGTTATGTCGAGTCTGGCTGGCATCTGATATAGCTCCAGAATCTCGCTAAAAGAACACAAAAACATTTACTTATTAGATAAGAAAATTTTATTTTAACCTGGTTTTCTTTCATGGTTAATGAAATAGGAGGTTCACATTTAAACTTTTGATAAAGATTTATTTATTTTAAGGGAAGAATGTCAAAAACAACCATGGTTGAAAACTAGAAAAATGCCATCTTACACACTTGATACCCTACTACATGAAATAAATTTTATTATGAAAGTAATATGACAGAAAATGTAATATAATACTGGCTGATATCACAGACTGGTATCTAGGCTAGCTCTCGGGTAAATATTTAGCGGAAACACAGCCGGGCTTCGTTACCATTGTAAACAGTTACCCTTTTCATAGATAAGACAATACTGATAGCCGTTGTACGATTATTATCGTAATTTTAAACATAACAATCCAATTCTATTGAAATGTTTCAATTTTTCTTAAATCTATCTGTATTAAATGCTTATTATAATCTGTTGTGTTCTTTTTAATCAAATGTTTATTATGCTTTTCTACATTAGGCCTAAACTAGCATTTTGTTATATTGCATATACATAAATGATATTGACAGCGAATGATATTTCAAAGTTGATATGGAAAATATCTTACTCGTCCGTAAACTTCCTGTTATACACTCTCACATCTTGTAAGTAACCACTGAATTGTTCGGTACCCGGGTATTTGGCTCCAGCCGAGAGCCGGCCATTGTCAAAGTCTATCACAGATTGTGCCGTGGCCAGGGACCGGGATCCTACCATGTTCCCGTCTATAAAGAAGTTTACAATTTGAAGGTCAACTGTCAATGCCACAAGGTGCCATAGTTTATCTTCAATGTTTTGCCGGTAAGTCACTGTTTCAAAGGCATTCCCCTGAAAAGTAAATATTACATCTTAAACAAGGGAGACAATAAGTGCTATACTTACATTTTATGAATATTACTGTATGAGTTACTTCCCTTCTGTAATTCTGTTTTAAAGAAGCCTCATAAATCGCTGATCATTTTCTACTAGTGATTTTCAGTAAAAGGGAACTTTCAATATGTTCTGAAGATATGAAAAATTAAGTTTTTTATATGAATTGACTGTGAAATAATTAATCTGACGCAAATAAGCCGAACATTTCTTTTTTAAATTAACAAAAAATTCAAAATCAAAACATAAACATAAACTGTAGCAACCTAAGATATAATAGAAAACTGGCCTCAGAAAAAAAAATCTGAGCCATGCAAAACAGAGTCAACTTTGCAAATTATTTGTAGCTAAAAAATTATTAACCTTGAAAACAAAACAATGAAACTTTCAACTGAATCACTTTTGCCTGAAAAAGCTGCCTGCTTTAGAATAATGAAGTAAGGTAGATATTTCTAGCGCGGGGCTAGTGGTGAGAGGCAAGTGATTTGAAGTCAATGACCTTAAACCACTCAGTCACGAACCTCATTGGCACATTTAGATGATGAAGAGTCTATATTAAGCGTAAGCTATATTCATAAACTGTTAACTATATTCATATACTGTAAGCTATACTCATAAACTGTTACCTTTATTCATAAACTGTTAGCCTTATTCATAAACAGGCTTCATATATAGGTTGTTATTATTAATTTAAGTCATAAACGGTTTAGTTAAATTCCAAATTAATGTTACCTAAATACACATTAAAATTTGTTAGCTATATACAGTTTCGACTTATATACATAAACTGTGAAAACAATGTAATATGACAAAGGTTGTGTATAAGTTTCACTCAAGACCAGTGTTATATAAATTAATTTGTGTTAGCTATGAATTTGTTCACAGTGTTAGCTATGAATTTGTTCACAGTGTTAGCTATGAATTTGTAAACAGTGTTAATCATATGAAATCATAAACTGTGTAAGTTATGAATTCATAAACATTGTTAGCAACATATACATTCATAAACAATATTCCATAGTAAAGGTTTTGTGTTTTACTAACAATGTGGTGCTAGATATGTAATCATAAAAAAAAGTATTTTAATAATCTTACATTATAAACATCAATTATACTTGTAAATATATCAATAGATAGTCAGAATAAACTGAATTCATTAACAGAGTCCAATACAATTCTAAATAGTATGTAAACTATGCCTGGAAGTAAAATATTATTTTTCAAGAAAAATAGAATATTCTAACAGGAAAAAAATACAAAAGTCAAAGATAAAAGAGGTTATGCAATGGCCACCAGACCAAAAAAGTTTTTCTTTGAAATGTCATAATTTTTTATTGCATTGCATTACATGTGGATCTTAACAATTAATTTGAAACCTTGAGAAATAATTTTCAAGACTGAATTATTAGTAACAGATATTTAGAATTCCTTATTTTAAGTGAAATGCATGCATACAAAATCAACAACAAAGCAAACAACAACAATAACAACATGATAAAACAAACCTCAAAGCCCTGTAAAGATAAAAAAATAAGGGTGTATAAATATTTCATAACATAAAAAACCACTTTCTCACACTTTTTTCTCAAATTTGAGTATTTTAACCCCTTTAGCCTCAGAGAAGAAATTTTGAACATAAACATACTAGTATGTTCTACATTAAAGTGTATAAAGCTATATATCTGATGCAAAAATTATTGTTTGGATTTTAAAAAAGAATACTTCCAAAATGTTTGTATGAAATAAAAATGGCAATAAATTGCCTTAAAGCGAGTGGCGCATGCACAAAGTCATTGCTAAACGGATAAAACCCTACTTAAAATAGCAAAATAATATTTTGTTCCGGAACATTTTATTCTGTTTACGTACATTATTCATGTGTATTAAATAACAGAGACATTCTATGTTACAACTTTTTAGGGAATCAACCATATAATAATTGAACCAATATAATTTTACTGTTGATACATTTTATAAAAATATTTCATAAGATATAGATTTATACGCTTTAATGGCATATATAAATATTACACATATGTCATGTTTTATCATATTTTGTGTAACATTTAAGATTACTACATGGTAAAAAGCGTGACTGTGGAACATTGCAGATTACATGTTTATGAAAAAAAAACCATCATATTTTACGCTCTAAATAATTATATAACTATCCATAACATACTCAAATATCATTTAATATCTAATAAAATCTAATAAATTGACAAGAAAATAGAAAAGAACTAAAAGGTTAGGAATAAAGTATTAAATTAAGCAATAAGAATTACATTTTTGATACAATATTTTTAAAAAAAAATATACATTTGAACTGAAATTTTTCAAGCTGTGCAAATAATCTCCGTTTTAGAAACAAAGCGGTGCCCAGATGTAAATGAGTTCCCTAAAACTGTGTATTGTTTCAAATAAGTACATGAACAACAAATAAAATTGTACATCTAAACTGATAATTATAAAATAAATAAATAATTTGAATAAATAAATTAATAAATAAAAAATAAAAATAAATAAATAAATAAAAAGAAATAAATAAATAATTAAATAAATAAATTAAAAAAAAATAACATACAAGAAGAAGAAAAAACAAATATATCATACATAAAAATAAACTTTTAAAAATACATAGAGGATATTCAAGTTTTTTCTATAAATACATGATTTATTTTCATCGAGTGGTATGAAAATAAATATTTCATGAGTGGCGGTAGCCACGAGTGAAATATGGTAATTTTCATGCCACAAGATGAAAATAAATCATGTATTTATAGAAAGAACTTGAATTTTCTGTTTATTATATATATTTTTCTCCTTTTTGACATTAAAATTTGAAAGACTTTCCCTGAAATTTTGTGTACTGGCAGAATTTAAAAGAAAGTAGTCCGGCAACACACCAGTGAAAATACGGAAAATATGTTTCACTGCAGTGAAAAATAAATTTTTACAGTGAAAATACGGAAAATGAAAATACACGTTTTATTTCATCAATATTTCTCAATATTTCATTTATAAGTATATAATACAATTTTTTTCTATACTTGTATAATATATTTACGTAATAAAATCACTTACGTTTAACCCAGTGATGGAGTACCCAAAGGTGAGGTTGGTCTGTAGACTATTTGTGGTCAATTTGAGCGTATAGAAATGCCGGGAACCGTCAGGGTTGGTTTTAGCCATAATATAACCATTACAAGATGCCAACGGCTGGACCCAGGCACTAATACTAAAACCGTCAATTATCTCAGTCATGGGCGGGTGGAAATCATTGTCAACCAGGATATATGCCTCTGAAAATATGTGTGACGTTGAAATAGAAAAATAACAAATTTTCCAAATGTGAACAGCTGCATTTAAGAATATATTTAGTTTACATAAAGTGAGGTGTGCATGACACTTTTAAGCATTATAAGAATTAATGAAGACAGGCCTTATATGCTTGAAGTATAGAACCAGGGTTGGCTTGTATATTCAATCAATTTGTGTATAAATTACACAGATTTTTTTATAAATTTTTATATATTATTTTTATATATACCAAAGGTGATGAGCCATTAACGCTAATATACAGCCAGACCAGCCTGCATGTTCATGTTATCAGACCTGGCCCCATACTGTTGGTAGCATATTTAAAAAAAAAAAATTTAATGTTTAAAAAACCCTTAAATTTTGAAAAGACAGTTCCAAATTCAGAAGGTTAAGGGTTTAAGAAAAGAAAGTCTATTTTACATAACAGGTATTAGATATTTCAAAACATCTAACGCAGCATTTTAAAGCCGGTATTTACCTGAATTTCCTGGTAAAGATACAACATCAGTTCCGGTTCCAGGTCTACGCATGTTGGGCACCAGAAGCAAGTTTGATTGGACGGTTCTATGAAAAATGAGGTCATAAGCTTTTGGCAGACCCCCAGCGACTTTGTCTGAGTATGCTTCCCACATCACCTGAATAGAATCAAAACTGTGTCAGATATGCCAGTTCCTGATATTTGCAATATTTACCTCCCTTGCCAAAAGAGGAAGCCATTTTGCAGGTGACAAAAATAAAAAAAAAAATATATATATATATACATAGCCTTATGTGAATTGTAAAATTCTTTTACACAAATGGAAAAAAAATAATTTTCTTTCCAGTTTCTATGAAAATGATTGAATTATGAGAGATTTTTTATCTTATCCTCAATAAGCATACAATATATTGAGAATGACTCCCAAAATTGTAGCAAGGGACATTAATAATTACTTTATGAAAAGCACCTATAAAAATCCATCAACTTGAAAGATAAAAGACTATCAAATAATGCTACAAACAAAGTTTAGTGGTCATCCATCTATTAGTTCAGTGGAAGAAGATGTTTAAAGGTTTTTCCATTTTAAGCTCTAGGGGCCTCTAAAAAGGGCTTATCAAATTAAATAAAAAGTTTGTAAAGGTAAATAAACTGACCTCGACTGTACCAAAAATTCCCATCCTACGTTCTACAGTCAAACTCGTCCTGGTAGTGCTCTCCATACCCGGGTAGAAATCTTCCGCTATGCTCTTTTCCTGCGATTCTATCGGGAAACCGAACTTGCCATTTGGACTGTCACTCTCCAGTATTGTTATTGTTGCCGTGGCATCAACGTCAGATATCCGAGCAAGTGCAACATCCATTCGTCCATCAAACACTATAAAGCAAATTAAAATTTATTTTGTATCAAATTTTTAGCTTATGTGAATATTATCCCTAAAACTTAAGACGAATTTCATTTTTTCCATATAATTATAAGCTGAATGATGAACAACATTTATTTTTCTTAAGAAGTGATATACTGTGAATGGTATATACCATATCTCACTGATCATAATTCAATATTTTACTGAGAACAAAGTTAATTCAATCACATTGTCACTTCAGTGCTGTAACAGGTTAACTCATATTCAATAATATACAAATTTAACACGTAACATCACTAAGACGACTACACGAGGTAATACAGTCATGACACAGAGTTGAAACTTTGCTCACTTGGTAAGATGTCAGACACTTTCACTTTTAAACTACGGCTAGTTTAAATATGTCTGTATTTGATACACAAGGAAAAAATCATACCGTCAAGTCTGCTGATCACGATCCTGTAAGTTTTCTCATTTTCGGGCTCCCCATCATCATTCGGTGTCAGTGAGATGTACTTGGTTTTGTCCCCTTTCTCGAACCGCTCGCTCAGACCTTCGGCAACATTAAAATCACCACCATTGAAGGCTCTCTGATTTGTGTCCACGCTAAACAGTTCGTAGAAAACGTCCACCCCTCCAAACGTTCCCGCATCTCTTGTTATACTGATAGTTTAAAAACATTTATCATAAATAGAATGGTTCAAATTATTCCCCCTGCCAAACCCCCTCTCACATTGAATGCCAATGAGATTTTTATTTCAATATTTCTCTTATAATTGTGAAATAAACATTTGTAAGTTATCTCCCTTTCTTCTTTTGAATAATCATTGGATACAAATTTTTTAATTTTTTTTTTTTGGTTGGTTTAACGTCGCACCAACATAGTAAAGGTCATATGGTGCCTTTCCAGCTTTACCGGTGGAAGAAGACCTCAGGTGCCTCTCCTTGCAATATCTCAGGAATGAGTGGGCATACGAGTAGAACCACTGATGTTTTGTAAGCTGGCTGGATAGCTTCTTAACATGAAAGAATTTTTGAACCCTGGCCAGATAAGAACCCACAGTGGTGAGGGGCAAGTAGTATGAAGTCAACAACCTTAACTGCTCAGCCATGGATACCCTCCATCAGGTTAAAAATACATATACGTAAATAACTTGTATATGATATAAACGCATACCCGTATCGGACAGTGCTGCCCTCTTCGGTTTCTTGTGAAAATGGGGCAATAAAGTGAAAAACACCATAAGCTTCATCATTATCTAGTATGGTAATGGTGGCTTGATTTGAACTGTTGAAAACAACATCCCCTGCAAAAAAAATAAAATATTGTTCATGATTTTGTGTGTGGAGGTAGATAAACTTCAGTCGAGGACAGGGGAGTAAAGTAATCAGTTAAATCAACACTGCTAAGGTTTGTTGGCAACTTTACAGTTTTGGTCAGTAGAGGAAGCAGTGTCTATTCTAGGAGGGGGAATGGGGGCATTCACCCATATTTTTGAGAATTCCCCCCTATTTTTTTAGAGGCAGGGGGAAAACTTTACATAGAGAAAAAAGGAAAAAGATAAAAAATTCTCACTTTTCGATAAAAATCCCCATTTTTTAGATTCCTAGAATAGACACTGGGAAGACCTCAGTCCTTGATCTGAACATTATTTCTGTACAAATCTGCAAGCTGACTGAATGTTTAAATGTATGATGACTCAATCTTTACGATTGTTGGCAAAGAAAATGGGACTGTTGGCATACTAGCATGATGACTGACCAGGCTCTACAGTGTTGAAAATCAATTTTGAATTTAGTTACTGAAAGACATTTAAAATTTGAATGCACAATTTCTTATTTATAACATATCTATCTAAGTCATAGCAGCTTGAATATATCTATCTAAGTATAGTTTACTTAAATTTTCGTTGTTGTTGTTTCATACCTATGATGTCATAGACCTGTACGTAGAAACTCTCCCGACCCTCGGGCACAGAATCATCCAGGGCTCGAACCAGCACTTCTTTTCTCGCCTCACCCAAGTTAAAGGTCACCAGACCATTTACTATCGGCTCATAATCACCAGTTAAATTGCTGGCTGTTCCATCAATAGTTTGATATTTCAGTGAGACAGGCAAGTCGGTGGGTCCGTCACGGAGGATGACTACAAAGATCTGCGATGGCTCTTCCATTTCATACACCGGAGCTGAAACACACAAGCATATACCTCATTAACTAATCCAATCTGAATATAGGTTTTAGGTCTTTTACTTTCTATAATTCAAAATACCCGGCTGACGTAAGTTTTTTTGTTTTGTTTTTTTAACGTAAGTTCTTGATTTTGATTTACTCTAGCAATCAGCTCGGGTCCGAGATATTATGAGCATGCGTGACATCCAAGAAACCTCAGAATACAGTTGTTTTTCTAGCTTTACTGAGTATCCGCTTTGACTGTGAGAAGTCCTCTCTAGCCTGATCTGGACTAATGGTTAAAAAATTAGTATTAACTGCTCCATTGTATATAGATTAGATGAAAGCAGACCAAAAACCGTTTGGTTGTTTATGCTTTTAAGACATGTAGTAAAGTGGGAATGTGTAAAGTTAATTGACACTGTAAAGTTACATACCTTGAAAATATACTGGATAGTCGTTCGCCCTGATGATAATAGTACACACAGAGTTCTGACCAATCACAGCGCCCCCTTGTGGTTCGCTCAAAGTCAATGTGAAACTTTCATCAGGTTCTGTTATCTAGGTATCAAAATAAATAAATAAGAAAAATGTAAAATTTCATTTCAGTATAAAAATGTAGTAAACTTGGGACAGCAGCAAGCACCACAAAATCATCAGAAGTTAAGAAATGTTTAGTGAATATGTTCCTCAAACATCAATAGTCAACAATTATTCAAATCGGTAAAGAATTTAACAAAAAGTGTACGTAAGACAGTGCGCCTGATTATTCTCAGGGGCATAACTCTGTAAAAAATTTAACTCAGAGTAACGGAACCTGAGCCCATCATGTTAGATAATGAATAAGTGTATGAAATTTCAACACATTCCCTTCAATAGTGTTTTGGAGATACCAGCTTGCTTGCATAAAGTTAACCAAAGTGTGACACAGACGCCGGTGCCGGGTGACTTGTACAATCATTCTCCCTATTCTTCAAACAGTCTTGCTAACAATAAAAAATACCTCACATATCTATATATAAATGTAGATTTAATGTGCATTTAGGATTTTCTATAACATTCTTGGTAATTCAAAAAAAAAAACATTTCCATTAACTTGAACATTTAAATAAAATTTAATTTCTGTGATTCCCACTTTTCTGTCATGTACACATACATACCTCATCTGGCACAGACTCTAGATTAATGAAAGCTGTATCTTGGTCTGAGATGAAGGTCACAAAGCCTGATGAAGGTCGAAGGTCAAGTTCATCTGAGGGGTTAACTGTCCATTTCACCTGCACACTTCCGTACAATCCCATAGATCGTTTAACTGTTACCGTAGCAACCTCTCTCTTATCTTGTTTACTTTCACCTACATAAGATATAAACAACCCAAAATAATTTATTCTACTTGAAAAAAACAACAAAAATGACAATTCTATTTACACACATTTTTACTAGAACAAATGTTTCAAACAACAGCCAATAACTTGTTTTTTGGTAAGTTTATTTGCAAATTTTATCGAATTGATGCATATCTTGGCTGTCAGTTAAATTCACCAGCTTTCCTGGATAATTAACCGTAATTACCAATATCTCCACCAGTGACCGACACACATGATTTCTGCAGCAGTTTGGGCCAAATAACCTCAACATCCAAGATTATTTGTCAAAGAGTAATTCCGCTTTCCCAGTGGATCAAACCTGTGACCTCTAAATTACAAACCCAATGCTCTCACTATTGGACTAAGCTGGAAAAATACTTGTTAAATACAGCATATATTCATACCCTTTCTAAAAAACAAAATGAAATATTCACTCACCAATGGTAACAGAACGTTCCACAATCTGCAAGACACCATGTGGCTCATCATTCTTGGTGATGCGAAGCTCAACATTCGATCTTTCTCCGATAACCGCCTCACTGTCCCCGAAACTTTGTATACGTAGTGTAAATATCTCTTCCATCTGTAAAATATAACACATACACAAGTCTTGATTAATGCCCACATTAAACCTTAACCCATTACTTCATATACACGCCTTTTAACGCCTTTTTCACCCCCCCCTTTTTGTTGTCTCAAATGGTGAAAAAATGCATTATTTAGGCCCTTAACACTTGTTTTTGTTTGAGAAATGTTGTTAAAAAAAGTGACCACTTTTTCGGCGCGGCCCCCCATCCAAAAGATACATCAGGGGGTTGCCAGAACGGGGATGTGCCCCTTCTGTTTGGGGGGTTTGAAGGGGGGCGGAGTCCCCCTCATCGCCAAGAAAATTTTGGACTTGTGAGAGGCTATAAATGACCCCAGATTGATCATAAGGTAACGTGTAACCAACGCTGAAAAGCATTTGACTCTATCTCAATCCATTGAGAAGTTGCAGCACTTTGAAATCAATTATAATGGAAAAAATCAACGCAAAATAGTGATTTTTGGCAATTTTGAGATGTCCCCTCGTTGCCATGGTAACAGAAAATTTAAGCCTGAGTATGTTGTTGCAAGGGCAATGGTCCAGTCAACATTTGTGCCAAGTTTGATTAGTGTTGAAGCAGTTTTTATAGTATTATAGCAATTTGAACTTGTAACGGGAGACTTTTCAATGAAAACAGCCATTTTTCACAAAATGCTCATGAAGTAATGGGTTAATGAAAAAAATAAAAAAATCTACAAAACAACAATTTTTCTTCAAATTTATATGACAGGCCATGTTTAAACATGGAAAAACGCGATTTAGAGTAATTTCAAGTATTTTCATCATTTTCTGTTAACCCATTACTTCATATACACGCCTTTTAACGCCTTTTTCACCCCCCCCCCCCTTTTTGTTGTCTCAAATGGTGAAAAAATGCATTATTTAGGCCCTTAACACTTGTTTTTGTTTGAGAAATGTTGTTAAAAAAAGTGACCACTTTTTCGGCGCGGCCCCCCAACCAAAAGATACATCAGGGGGTTGCCAGAAGGGGGATGTGCCCCCTTCTGTTTGGGGGGGGGTTTGAAGGGGGGCGGAGTCCCCCTCATCGCCAAGAAAATTTTGGACTTGTGAGAGGCTATAAATGACCCCAGATTGATCATAAGGTAACGTGTAACCAACGCTGAAAAGCATTTGACTCTATCTCAATCCATTGAGAAGTTGCAGCACTTTGAAATCAATTATAATGGGAAAAATCAACGCAAAATAGTGATTTTTGGCAATTTTGAGATGTCCCCTCGTTGCCATGGTAACAGAAAATTTAAGCCTGAGCATGTTGTTGCAAGGGCAATGGTCCAGTCAACATTTGTGCCAAGTTTGATTAGTGTTGAAGCAGTTTTTATAGTATTATAGCAATTTGAACTTGTAACGGGAGACTTTTCAATGAAAACAGCCATTTTTCACAAAATGCTCATGAAGTAATGGGTTAATGAAAAAAATAAAAAAAATTACAAAACAACAATTTTTCTTCAAATTTATATGACAGGCCATGTTTAAACATGGAAAAACGCGATTTAGAGTAATTTCAAGTATTTTCATCATTTTCTGTTAACCCATTACTTCATATACACGCCTTTTAACGCCTTTTTCACCCCCCCCCCTTTTTGTTGTCTCAAATGGTGAAAAAATGCATTATTTAAGCCCTTAACACTTGTTTTTGTTTGAGAAATGTTGTTAAAAAAAGTGACCACTTTTTCGGCGCGGCCCCCCAACCAAAAGATACATCAGGGGGTTGCCCGAAGGGGGATGTGCCCCCTTCTGTTTGGGGGGGGTTTGAAGGGGGGCGGAGTCCCCCTCATCGCCAAGAAAATTTTGGACTTGTGAGAGGCTATAAATGACCCCAGATTGATCATAAGGTAACGTGTAACCAACGCTGAAAAGCATTTGACGTTATCTCAATCCATTGAGAAGTTGCAGCACTTTGAAATCAATTATAATGGAAAAAATCAACGCAAAATAGTGATTTTTGGCAATTTTGAGATGTCCCCTCGTTGCCATGGTAACAGAAAATTTAAGCCTGAGTATGTTGTTGCAAGGGCAATGGTCCAGTCAACATTTGTGCCAAGTTTGATTAGTGTTGAAGCAGTTTTTATAGTATTATAGCAATTTGAACTTGTAACGGGAGACTTTTCAATGAAAACAGCCATTTTTCACAAAATGCTCATGAAGTAATGGGTTAAAGGAACTCCACCTAGGTCCAAAAGCTTAGAAATATATTAGAATAATTATTCTAGAGTGAGCAAATGACCTGAAAATCTGCAAACAAGTTATTGGTCTAGACCTACATCAAATGAACAATTAATCTCGAAAAATTATTTCCAGTCCCGTTATGACAAAAAGCCCTCAGTGGAGAGTCCCTTTATTAAGTTTTTAATCAATTTTTATAATTTCAACCTATTACTCATAATGGTGTCAATTACTCATCATGCGTTAAGCATCAGCCAAGTGTTTCTGAAAATCTCCAATTATTAAATTCTTAAATCTTTCGTTAAAAACAGTGAAAAAGGGAAAAAATTCATTTACCTCTGGAATGCCATCTTGTTTAGCTGCGACAGAGAATTTTTTAAACATAACTCCAGGAGGGAACGTTAATACATTTGTGGCTCCGTAGAAATCGTCTTCACCGTTCTCAATGATGTACTGTATAGATTGTTCTAGCAGATCTCCGTCTTTACGTTCTACAGTAAACTCTACAGGTGTATCTCCTTCCTATAAAAATAGCAAGCAAATTTGTTGAATTGTTACTGAATTATGGTTGTATTTACAGACAGTGGGAAATTGGACAAAGAATGCCAAAGCTCTGACTTTGACAGAGATTAAAAATATGCAAGGCAATATATATATATTTTTTGTTTTACATCACACCAACAGAGGTCATATGGCAACTTTCCAGCTTTACTGGTGGAGGATGACCGCAGGTCCTCTTCCGTGTATTTTTTCAGGCACAAACGGGCACAGAAGTAGATCCACCAACGTTCCGTAAGCTTTCTGGATAGCTTCATCATATGAAAGAATCCAAAGTCCCTGTCGGGATTCAAACCCAAAACAGTGAGAGGCAAATGGACTAATTCATCAAATAACTTCATTTAAAGAAACTTTATTTAAAATGTAGTGAATATGTAACTTAACAATATATACTTCAATAGAAAACAAAATATAAAACTTACATTGAGGGTGAACTGTAGAGGGTTACTCTCGGCAAACTGGAACACGCCCCCAGGATTATCATTTTGTTTGATTATGATAATTTTCTGCACCGCTCCTTGTCTAAGTCGTTGAGTTACCGGATTGACTCCGGTTAAGGTCAAGGTCATCTCTTCATCGAGTTCCGGTACATCATCCGGTTGTACGGTTATCATGAAACTTGTCTCAGACATGCCTGCAGCAAATATATACTAGTATAGATTTTTATTGTTTTATTTTAAGTCACTTTAACGCTTTTAAGGACAGTACAGTGACTTTCTTGCATCAGTGTTCATGGAAGACCTCAGATTCGAATTTATGCACTATCGCAGGCACTTGTGCTCATATTAACAGACCAAACAGCTATTGAAAAAAAATATGTATGAATCTTTAATATCAGAACAAAAAAGAATTTAAAAAAAACTTATTTTTACAATGATTTCCAGTCATAAAATAGCGGCTGGTTAAGCTTTCCTGGATAACTAACCAATAATTACCAATTTTTCTGCAAACCACTGAGTATTAAAACATATGAATTGCAAGCAAACATAATGCTTATTTCAACAAAACAAAACAGTCGCAAAAAGTTTATTTAAAGGTACCTGTTGACATAATGACCGTTCCGTCCATTTGTGCGACATCATCGGCAGTGACCTGTGCGGCGTTGACACCCGTGCCTCTCAAACTCCAGCTTATAGTAGCGTCCCCGCTCACGCCTTCCCTCGTCAACATTATCTCAACTTGATTTGGACTGAATGGCAATTCTTCAATCTGTTGAATAGTTTTGAATAGGTTTTTCATTTCCTCATTTATTTTCTCACCAATTTTTATTTTCTTTATTGGAGATAGTATTCAATTCTGTGTTTTCTTTTTTTTTCTCTTTTATTTTTTTTATTTTTTTTTTTTGTGGGGAGAGTACAGTAATCAGGCAATCTAATTAAATAAGGTCCTAAATTTTGCTACACATTAGGATCTAACATTCACCCATAGGCAGTCAACTTCTCATGGTTTTTCAAACACCCAATCATTGGCAAGCTTTCATTACTTTGAAAGCAATGCAGATTCTAATTTTAACCCTTGGGGAAACAAATACTGAGTAGGTAATTTTCACGACTTCAAGAACAACCATTACAGCCATACAGCCGACAGGTTAACTGGCAAAACAATCTTGCCGATTAAAAGTTTTTTCAAGTTAATTTGTTTCAAAATTTATTCAAACATTTTTTTCTAACAATTTGTTTAACTTCCATGGATAACAGTATTTAGATACTTCTTCTGATGTCTATCTGTAAAGACCGGTTCGATTGCATGAAATAAGTAGATCTAAACTTTAGTCAGATTGGTATGAAAGATGTAGCAAGCTTTTGAACTGCTATATCAGTTTCAAACATTTGAGAAATATGACCATAAGCTAATTGCAAATAGGAAATTTAATCTTTACATTTTTTTTTAATTCAACACAATTTCCAATTTTGATATTTTACCGAAAACAAATTAAAATTCTATTTTCCCAATTAGATTTACCATTCAAATGATTTCATAATGCAAATAACCAATGAAATTACTTCTAAAAATAACAGTCCAATCAAATCCTATTAGGGCGTCCGTGGCCGAGCGGTTAAGGTCGTTGACTTCAAACCACTTGCCCCTCACCGCTGTGGGTTCGAATCCCGACAGGGACTTTGGATTCTTTCATGTGAGGAAGCTATCCAGCTAGCTTACGGAACGTCGGTGGTTCTACTCAGGTGCCCGTTCATGCCTGAAATAATGCACGGAAGGGCACCTGAGGTCCACCAGTAAAGCTGGAACGTCGCGATATGACCTATACTGTGTCGATGTGACGTAAACCCCCCCTCAAAAAAACAAAACAAATCCTATTAACTTTTTATAAATAACCAATCAGGTTACTGTATTTTGAAGAATAAACAAAACTAGCCAATCAAAATCTATCTTACTATAACAGTCTCTAGGGACATGAAACCAATTTCTCCATTGGCTTCAGCTGATGTCACAGTAACTGTGGTAGTGACCTTTGACCCTAGGTCAGGACTATTAAATGCACCAATAGCTGGCTCTGAAAAACAACAACAACAAGTCAATAAAATCTAATTATTCAGGCAAAATATTGAGTAAATTTCTGCAATAGGAGCTTCTAAAGTAAGACATAACCTTCATAATGATGACTGTCATAAAGTTCACATATAACAGTACAATAACATAATATATACAGAAATATTTCTTCAGAAATCATCATAATTAATTTTGCAAGCCTCTGACTTTGTCAAATAAAACATTCATTCATAGGAAACGAATATTATTGTAAACCTAGGTTAGCCCCATATTATAGTTACATGGCATTACAGTTTTTGAAAACAATACAATTAAATCAGTGTATAATACTATCAATTATATTTTTACATTCAAAGCATGAATTTTAGAAAATGACAGTTAAAAAGCATCAGTATCAATCCAACATTACGCAATAAATTGAATAGATTCAGAAATAGACTCATCACGAAAATGTCTGACCAGTCATGGAGATAAAATTCACAGGAGACTGGAGATTATTTTGTGGACAAAGTTTTATTCTATATTATATAGAGGATATTTGTTTGTTTAGCATGTAAGATTGAAATATAATTTCACTGAGTGAACACCAGATTGCAATATAATAGCTGGTGTTCACGAATGAAATATATTTCAATCATATATGTAAAACAAATAAATTTTCTGTTTATTTCATACTTTTTTAATAGATTTTAAGTACTGTTTTACTAATTTTGCTGCGTAACGTCGTGCAATTTCCCTTGTGACGTCATCACATCATGACGTCACATTATCAATTTTGAAACATAGGTCTGTTACATTTCTCTAATTTTGTTACATTTTTAACATTATGTATGATGACATCAACTTTCTTTTCCTAAAGAAGCAAAATTTACGCATGGCGGCATTTATTTCTGCTTGTTATTCCATTTTGTTATGATTTTCTTTTCATATCCGCATTCAGATATAGTCCGGCTACAGTGAAAATTATATTTTATAAATTTCACTATGGTTTATCAGAATATAATCATCTGATATATTACAATAAAACACTGGAAAGCATGAAATAAAGCATTTTGACACTAATGCATGTTGCTTCTGAATTTCCAAAGTTGTTTTTTGCCGTATACAACCATAATTCTATTTTAAATTTACAAATCACTAAAAAATATCACATCAAAATTTACCAGCTACGAGTCTGACACCCTGTAATTCAGCAACAAACCGGCCCCCGACTTGAATAAAAGCAGACGGAAACAGATGAATGTGTTGAATCATTTCCTTGTCTACAGCCGACATCACCGTGGAAATGTCCGTGTCCTCAAGCACGTCTAGAAAATAATTAAATAGGCTTTCATATATAAACAAAAATCTGAGATAAGAAAATTAGATTATAACAGTCATTTTGCATATACATGTAGTTCCTAAAAAAACGGACTGACTTTCAAGATTTCCTCTTCTATTATTATTGTTGTACACACATTCTGTGCGCTCACTTCATCTAGTTCTTAATGTATATGTCAAGAGATTTAACATAAATGTGATTTTTTATAAAGATATATGTAATGAAAATTTTTAAGCCTATCATATCTTGTCAAGAAAGACTCGAGGTGCTTTTAAGATCAAGTCTAGTACAAAAATACCCTAAATAAGAGACTATTTGTCAACAAAGACCAGTTTTTATGCTTTTCCCAATTCCCTATATCACTAAGGTCTAATTATAGACAAAACTGACTAAATGTACATGTAAACTTGCTAAAAATACAACATATTACAGTGGAACCTGTCTAATCCGAACTCGTCCGGACCAGAAGAAAAGTTCGGATTAGAAAGGTTTCCGGATTAGAAAGGTTTCCGAATTAGAAGGCTTTTTACATGTTTTTTTTCATGCTATTTGCAAAAAACTTTAAGGAAAGAAAACGATGATGCATTTGAAATTGCAATTTCGATATTTTATTTTTGCAGTCTGTTATCGTTCATTTTGATACATGTGAATACAAAATAAAGAAATAAAAATAAAAAATAAGCAAAAATATTATGTCCTCAAGGGTAAGTTAACGCTACGATGGTAAATAGGAGGCCGAGACATGATTAGATATTCGTACCTGCATTTGTCAATTGTTGTGTACTCTTATCCGATTTCAGCGACTATCCGAACTCACTGACAGTTTCCATTAATTTTCATTACTTAATCACGTATCATTGAATCCAATGCAAGGGATTAAAAGATATTGATATTGCATTATATCAAAATATTTATAGAAGCTGACGAAAAACAACCAATTAAGCAATTATAGAAGATATCAAGGCAAGCTAAGTGTAATTTTCACACCTTCGCAGATCTTACGTTTCACTCATTAATCAAGCGAAATAACACTTATCAGTTTGGTGTATGTTTACACCTGCCAGATGTGCGATAATTTGTTATTTTGAATGAAGGTGTGACATTTGGCAAAATCTGTTCGGATCCGAGAGGTAAATTTTAGAGTAAAATAAGAACAAAAATTGAAAAAATCGTCCGGAATTCGGAGTAGACAGGTTCCGGATCCGAAAGGTTTTTTACTATTGAAAATAGAACGAATAAAATCGGGACCGGACACTTCGTTCGGATTAGAAAGGATTCCGGATTAGAAGGGTTCGGATTAGCAAGCCTCCACTGTACTCACCTGCACTGCCACCAACTGTTGGTATGTATGTAACAGTAAGATTAATGTGAAGGTCACCAACATTCTGTCCAGTTCTCTTGATCTTTAACTGTAACTCCCTAGGAACTGAACTCTTCAAAATAGAAGGAGGGAAAATCAAAACATATCATAACATGTAGCCAGACGGTACATAAGAACATTAAGGGAAATATTTATTCCAGGTTCATTTCTTACATTATGTCTTTCAGTATTTTGCAACCTTTTTTCATACTTGAATGATTTTCAATCTGTTTTTTCATATCTTTTAGAAAGAGTGATTAGAAATTTACCACCAGGATAGGGCAAGGTCAGTCTGCACAAAGCAAGCAGTATACTGTTGCTAGCTTAGTTTCTGTAATTTGGTATCAAAATCCCTTAATCTCTGAATGGACTGTTCCAAAGACAAAGTGGGGTTAGTCCATTATACAAATTCAGGACATTAAAAGTTAAAACGAGTGAACAGATTAACATTATATCATGATATCTAAAGTTATGTATGTTCTAGTTAAACCATTTTCCTTTATCAACATATCTCTAAAACATCTTGCATAATTTCCAAACACATTCAGAAAGGTACTCATATGTGTATACACAATAACAAATATGTGTATACACAATAACATATGTGTATACACAATAACAAATATGTGTATACACAATATAACATTGACAAATAACATAAATGATGTAAGATTTTTCAAATAATATGGAAAAATACTTACTATTACTAATTTCTGCTCAATGTCGGCTGCAAATTCAACGATACCGTATACATCATCACTGTCTTCAATAATAATGGTTCCCTCAGAAATTCCACGGATCTGGGCTCCATTTGTTTCACTTCCTTTGATAAGACGTATTATAAATTCTTCTGCTGGCTCCGGTATTGAATCCTGCACTATATCTAGAAGTATCACTTTTTCCCGCTCCTCCGAAGCAAAAGTGACCGTCCCGCTAATTGGCGTAATGTCAAGGTTAACTGGATCAGCTGACGCACCCTTTCGAATAATCTGCCAATCAACGCTTACCTCGCCGAATGCACCAGCGGACCGAATAACCGTGAAAACTGCATCAGAATCAGTATCCTCGTTAATTTGTTGAAGAGGCACGGACAGAATACCTGTCGTCTGCAAACTAAGTATACCATTCGCAAAATCATTGTCATTTATGTAAACATTGACTTCGTTTGGCTGTTCCAGTACAGCATCTCCTGTTGGGTTTGATAAAACAACCTGAAGATAACGTGAATAAGCTTTCTAAAATGTGTTACATATCTTTAATAGAAATATAAGAAAACAAAAATTTCTGTGCCATTTCCATCAATGTAAGGAATACTTTAGTAAACTGTTTACTGTTGTAATGACAAAAAAGTATTGGGAAATTTTTTTATAAAAATCTAAAGTTCTTTGTTTTAGATGAACTGAAAACTAAAGAATAAGCTATGATAAAGCTGCAAGTGTAGCAAGCTCAAACCTAAGTAAGTTGGAATACCATATAAGCAACACTACTATTTGTGTTACTATGCAACTTACACATTTTCACTCCTATTTAAGATTTACTATAAATATATATTTTCTGATGGGAAGATCATTAATTCAGTTATCATGTTAACATTCATGTTAAGTTAATGCCTGTTTTAAGCATCTTAAGTCTTATCATTTCATTGTTGGTTATTTGTTGTCATTAAAGCTTACCTGGAAGAATTCCTCTAGTTCTGGTAGAGCGTCGTCTATTATTTGTACTGTCACACTGGACGTTCTGACACCAGCCGGAAATACCACCTGGCCGGCACTGGCACCATTCACGCCTCTAAAATCTGGACCAAGTGATGCGCTATTCGGTAACAACCGATAATCTACCGTTACAATTCCGTCTGCTGGACCGATAGGGGTAACTCCATCAACGTCCAGGCCACGATTTACTGTTAATGTGTAATCCCTATAAGCAGGGCTTTCGTCAAACCGGAATTCACTCTGAAAAAGTAACAGATATACTTATTTAGAAGCTTCTAATGAAAAGGTAGATTACCCGTAATATAAGAAATGGAGTTACTGTGAAATCACATAAATTCATAAGCATAAAATTTCGTCGACTTTTTAAATTGAACCTCTTCGTTGGCACATAAATCAGTGGCTTTTGCATTTGTTAATAATGAGGGTTCATCAGAAGATTTTTCGTTAAAGTCTAAAATTTGTGGATATGCGTACCCACGAAAATTTGTGTCCAACGAATATTATTAATTTTACAGTAGTGTATAAAATATCCACTATGATCCCCGTATCATACATTTGAATTTACATTTATTGTTTGGTTTGTTTTTTCAGTCACACCGACACTGTCAAGATAATATGGCATCTACCAGCTTAATTGGTACAGCAAACACAAATTTTTTTATTTGTATTCCTCAAATAATTACAATTCCAATCTGCAATTAGCCCAGATTTTAATTGCTAAGTATAAATTTCAATGCCTGTCCTTCAACAGGGCGGAAACACACTGATGCACATGCTCGGAGCAAACTCTCCTTTAATACCGAATAACAATACGAAATAGAATTGGTACAGAAAGACATCAGGTGCCTATCACTGCATTATTTCAGGCACCTCTGTATCTTTTCTCAGAACTTAAGTCATGTCAACACTGTACGGCAATTTTCCAGCTTTACTGGGTGTAGTACGATCTCCGGTGCCTCTCCATGCATTATTTCAGCCACAATAAGGCACCAGAGTTGAACCACCAACGTTTCCTAGAAAGCAGGATCAGGCGAGTTAGTGGAGCTACTATTCAACTACCAATACTTTACAAGATAGCTCTCTGATGCATGTATAACAAAGACAAATTGTACATCTTACCTGTGTAAATCTGATCGGAGCATCATTGGCCTTTATTATTATGGTAATGTTGTTGTCTAACACTCTTGCCCCTTTTGTTGCGCTAGTCAATACTAACATAAACTCTTCATCATTCTCCGGAATCTAGACAAAATAACACATAATTAATTCAACTGAATTACTGTTAATGTTTGAAAGGTAGAGGCTAGACCCCTAATTGGTAATTTTAGTTATTTTACAAACCCATAGAAAGAAAATTTGGACCAGCCCTGAAAAATTCCTAAAATTTGGCATGATAAATGAGTCCCCTTGAAAAGAATAGGGAGACACCAGCCGACTTTTTAAGTTATCTGCCACTGAATGATACTTTTTACTCCTTTAAGTCTTTTCAAATATATGAGCTGCGTCATGACAAAACCAACATAGTGCGTTTGCGACCAGCATGGATCCAGACCAGCCTGCGCATCTGTGCAGTCTGATCAGGATCCAAGTTGTTCGCTTACAAACCCTATTACAAGTAGAGAAACTGATAGCGAACAGCATGGATCCTGATCAGACTGCGCGGATGCGCAGGCTGGTCTGGATCCATGCTGGTCGCAAACCCATTATGTTGGTTTTGTCGTGACACGGCTCAAATGTGAAAAGTTTCAGATTATTTGCTCTCTCTGTTTGTCCAAAATAATTAATTCTGATTGTCATTCAGTCTTTCTCTCAAATCAAACTAAGAATCACACAAAAATATGATTTTCAGTTTATTTAAGAGTATAATTTTTATTCTCTTTTGCATATCTTTCTGTTTGAAGTGCCAGCTTATTTATGTAAGAAATTCAAATTTTATGTTTTAAGGCTTTTGGACCTCTTTTGGACCTCAAACGAGTTCCTTTCAAAGAATTATTTTTTACCTCGTCAGGAAAAACCTGGATTTCTATAATCTCACTATTTTCATTATTGAAGAATACAATAGAGCTGAAGGCAGGAGCAATGTCTGTACCCACGATAGCCGCTGGGTCGCTACTCTCTAACTGAAAATGTATAAAAATTAACATTACATGTATTTTCTTAATTAAATTGAGATGTGGCTAATATACATGCTTTATTAGTGGTCACAAAATTTGGTCCAGTGGTTACAGGATAAAATCCCTGTCGTCAGAGAATTTAGTCAAGTGGCTACAGGTTTGGTTCCAGTGGTTTGCAGCTCAAGCAGTCACAGTATTTAGTATTAAAACTCAGATATAATAATCTACATGGTTTACATATTTCTATTTTCCCATAAGAAGTACATGTATGAATAGTTTACATGTGTTTTAAATAAAATATATGAATTAATCTTGTATCAATTACTGGATAAAGATTTATTCTATTCTGTTCAATTCTCTGTATCAGAATAAAAGAATGCGGCACATTGTTGGGCAGGGCTGATAAATATATCCAAGGTAACAGCTTTAACACATTGAGTGTGTATCCTCAACAATCTAGAAAACAATATCTTGTTACAAAATCATCGATGAATAACGCAAGATTTCAAAATACATCAATTGATTACAGGGAGGTACCTGAAGCAGCTGTTACGAGTCATACAAATGGACGGGAAAATATGCTTAATTGGGTAATGATATAGAACTTTATGATATAAGCTGGTTACTAAATACTTCTCCATTTTAGAAAATAGCCTTTATTGTGGACCTGTTATAAATCACACTGTAAAGGTGATACGGTAGAAGATGACCCAATAATTGATTATTTGTAACTTAAATATTGTCTAAACCATTTCAATCAAGTAAAAAAAAAAAACTCTGATTCACATGTCATTGATATAAAAATGTGTTTAGGGCTTTTTTTTGTTTGTTTTTTTTGGTTGGGCTTTACGAACACAGTATAGGTAATATGGCGACTTTCCAGCTTTGCTAGTTGAAGGTAGACCTCAGGTGCCTTTCTGTGCATTATTTCAGGGACGAACGCGCACCTGAGTAGAACCACTGACGTTCCATAAGCTAGCTGGATAGCTTCCTCACATTAAAGATTCCAAAGTCCCACTCTGCCACAGATGCGCCTTGTGTCTAGGGTTTAATATATTTTCCTTTTGCATTCAAGTCAATTAGGCTTAACACAGATTCTTGAAGGCTAAAGAGACAACATCCAAATCATCAAAAATTTTAAATTTGTATTTACTCATATCTTACACATTTACCTGAAAACTTTATTTTAATATCTCATCTGTTTGTTTGTTAGTCTGGTTTTTATGCTGATTTTAACATATTTTTGTTTCGTATCCTGGCAATCAGTCCACTTAAATTGTTTTACTGGATAACTAACCAGTAATTACCGCTTTCTCAGCAAGTGATCCACCACTTAACCCACATGATTTCTGAATCAGCAGTGAGAGACCAATGATTTTTACGATCATTATACTAGTGTTCAATTAGTTATGTTTATTTAGAGTCACCCACTGAAAACCCCTTAGTTTATTACAGTCCAACTAGAAAAAAGTTGTTGAAACTTACCTTGTAATTGACAGTGACTTGACCATATGTCCCAATAGTACGACTTACATTCACTTTAATGATCCTCGGAAAGATAGGGTGTTCAGTCTCGTATATTGGAGATTCCTGTTAAAAGACAGCACAACATCTTTGTCATAAAATTTCAAAAAAATGAAATTGGTCAATGAAAGTTCAATTGATTATGCCATTGTCACTTAATAAATTTGTATCACAGTCCCCAAAAATACCTGCGTGCTTGGTAAGGCATATGATGTAAGCGGCGATGTTTTACATTCAATTAATGAATGGTGAATTCAGTGATTTTGTCATCGCACCAACAATAATTGGCAATAAAACCTTACACTATAGTACCAGTAAATACAGTGTTTTCAATTAAAACAAATGCTTTTCTAAACTAAACTTTCAATATAACATTCTTTTAAAAAAATAATTGACCTTTACGCAAATACAAATGACCTAAGATCGTCTATAACGCTAAACAGAATGTGACCTTGAAGCGAAAATAATAACTTTGTCAAATAAACCAGAATGTTTCAATCTCAAGTACAGCAAAAACATGCAATAATAACATACATGGTACATTATAACTATATTCATGGGGCTATATTTATATCATTATATCTAGATATCTATATATCCGAGAGGTAACCAATTTGAAACAGAAGTCCACAGCAGCGGTATATGGTTATAAGCAATATCGTCGATGGAGTTTTCTGTATATGAATCAACTTTTGTTATGCAAAATTTTTCTCTAATTTTTTTTCTACTTTAGAGACAGGGAAATTTACCATGAATGTAACTGTCCGTGGAGGACATGAATTTTACGAGAGATTGGTTGGTCTCAAAGAAATAAAACTATAAACATAAGCTAACATTTGAGTATTATTCTTCATAAAACTTACATCTGTAATGCTAAACACACCATATGCATCGTCATTTGCCTGTATAATCACAGTGGCCATGTTTGGTACCGTCACGGTTGTCCCGGGACTTATCGTCTCCAACACGAACGTGTAAGTTTCTTCGATTTCTGGCTCGTCATCGTCGTTTATCATAAATGTTACTGTGGCCGTGCCGTCTCCACCAGGGGCAAATGACGCGACCTGACTACTTCCCACAAAATCTTGGTTGATATTGTCAACCTGTAATAATATGTTTGATAACCGTAGTTGGACTTTGTGTGTGTTTGATTTCTGAATCAGCAGTAAGAGAAAAAAATGCCATTAGTCTGCCAGAAATTAAGGATTAGTGTCAAAAACTATTGAGTTGTTTCAAGTCACAACAAGGTAATGAAGGTAATACTGGGACCACCCAGGTTTACTGGTCGAAGAAGACCTTAGGTGCCTCAACATAAAATATTTCTGTCACAATAAATATGGCAATAGAGTAGAACCACGCATGTTCTGTTACCTATTCGGATAGCTACCCCATATGAAAGAATTTGAGGATTTGAACCCACAGCATAGAAGAGTCAGTCGGTGACCATAACCACTTGACCATGGAGGCCCAACATACATATTTACATGCAATGTAGCAATATAATATAAAGCAATGTATAACTTACTCTAACTATAGCATTAACAATCTGTGTTAAATCCCCTGTATGCCTAATTCTCAAACTAAACTGGTTTCCCTCACTTTCTATAACTTGTGTGTCTATAAAGGAGACAGTTCCTGCATTACAGGGAACCAGCCCTATAATCAAGGTCAAGGTCAAAAGGATCACAGATGGCATGACTCTGAAAAATAAAGATAATATTTACAACAAATTACAATTTTAAATTTTAACTTACAGGGACTCCACTTAGGTTTTTTGACAATAAGGGACTGGAAATAATTTTTCGAGATTAAAGCTTTATTTGATGCAGGTCTAGACAAATAACTTGTGTGCAAAATTTCTGATCATTTTCACTTTGTTTTCCAGAATAATTATGCTAATGGTGAAAAATGACCAAAATTTGAAAAGCTTTGCAATCCTTTTCATTAAAATTGAGCTAAAAATAGCACAAAAATACGACATCAATTCAATTTATTTCTGAGTATATTTCTTATTTATCGCATTTTTTTCTGTTTTAAGCGCACCAGCTGATCTATATAAGAAATTCAATTTTTTTGTTTTTTTTGGGGGGCTTTTTTAAACCTCAGTGGAGTTCCTTTAATCAGAGGCATATAAAGAAATTGTATATATAACACCTCAAACTCCTCTTAAGTGATAATGATAGACAGGTGCATCTAGAATAGAACCAGTCCAGCCTGAACCTTTGCCGGCACTTTATGCCACTTACTACACCTGATAACTGTCGTCTGCTCAATTCTGGTATTCTGACGTTGAAATTTTCTCATATAAATTAACTAATAATAGACTGGTTCCAAATGTTGAAAATTTCCTCATATAAATTAACTAAAACAATAGACTGGTTCCAAATATTGAAAATTTCCTCATATAAATTAACTTAAACAATAGACTGGTTCCAAATGTTGAAATTTCCTCATATAAATTAACTTAAACAATAGACTGGTTCCAAATGTTGAGATTTCCTCATATAAATTAATTAACAACAGACTCAGGTAAATACCTTATATAAGTTCTTAAATTCAAGCTCATATCACATGTTCAACAATGTTAGGGTAGAAAATAGTGAGCATTTGCAATAGAAAAATTTTCTTACATTTAATTCTTTTTTTTTATCATTATTCGTGTTACTTTAATTTACACTTCTTTTTGCCTAAAATAATCATTTTAATCAATGACATTGTTATGGCGTAACTTCATATACATGTCACAATATATACATGTAACATATGTATATCACATAAATGATTTAAAGCAGAATTCAAAAATGTATACATTTAAGAATGTTAAAAGGTTCCTACCTGTCTTTAAAAAGAATTAATTGCATTTTAAATTTTCATTTGCATAAAATGTTCAAGTTCACCATCATGAACTAAACAGAAAAACAATTTCCATCAAGTTAAGCTTACATTTTTATAAAATTAATTACATAAATGTTCACAGGAACATCAATAAAATGTTTTGTAAGAATGTTAATTAGCAGACAATAGAGAATGTGGCCTGCCACCTGTCATGTACTAATTAAATATTGTATTTATATTGAAGGCACTTCACACATTGTCTCTCCATTCAATATAATACAATACAATAAATATAAAACCCATATGCATAATATGGTAAAATAACCCAAAAATCTGTTATCACCCTAAATAATTATAATTTAAAATAATGCCTAATTTTTAAATGTTTTTTTTTTCTATTTCAATAATTTTTTTTCTTCTATTTATATAATAATATATTTTTTTATTTTCAGAATTTGGGACTGTTTTGTGTACACATTGACAATCTGTTATCACTCTAAAATAATTATTTAACACAATGTCCAATTTTCTATGTTTTCCTATTTAAATCTTTTAATATCCATCTTTATTGTGTTTTTTGTACACATTAACAATCTGTTATCACTCTAAATAATAACAAAATGACAGATTTTGAATCTTTGGCTATTTAAATCATAATAACTATCTTTTTTATTTAAAAATTTGAGAATATTTTGTTTACATATTGACAATCTGTTTACAATGTAATCATCCTAAATAATAACAAATGAAAACAATGGCTATTTTTTAAAATGTTTTTGCTTTTTAAAAAATAAGATCTATCTTTTTATATTTCATAATTTGGGAATGTTTTGTGTACACATAATCTGTTTTGACAATTTTAAAATTTTATATTTTGGACCTCAGTGGAGTTCCTTTAACATACAAATTACGCAGTACATGGAATTTTCTTTCTTCTCTTCAGTATCTCTTACATTAGATGCAGCACAAAGATACCTGTGTTCAGGTACAGTAACCATAGATACTGCAATGAATATTGAATGAACATAAAGGGATAAATAACAAATATCGTGACCGAATATTATTGACTTCCTTACCCTATACCTGACTAATTCTATTAATTATGCATAACTGCTTTTATGTAACCTTTTGTCTTAATTTTGTTTACTGAATATCCATGTACTGTTATTTATAAGAAAACCAAGTCAACTAAGATTTTATGGAAGGATAATTATTATACAAGAAAATTATATGCCTCAAAGAGGAATGAACCTGTCAGCAATCCCTGTATAACAAAGCCAAAGCTCAGTATTCAGTTAAAGGGAGACACAGGCAAATTTTTCATTTCTTCGATATTAATTTTACATTCATTATTCTGTAAATGTCCTCAAATTGAATACACTAGACAGTCACAGGAACAAAACCTTTCTCCTTATAAAGAATAAAATGGTGGTTTCTAAACTTGGGTCAGGTTAGAGCGTTCAGATTTCACAATAGTTTTCACAGTGAACTCTGGAAACGTTAAAGAACATGTAAAATGAATGGCTTCAACTTGTTTCAATCATACAATTTCCACAATATATGTTATTGTTACTTCCAAGGTTTGTTCCAAAATATATAGAATTTATACAGAAATTCATACTGGGACTTAAAAAAATGTAATTTTAGCGTGATTTGGGTACATAAGATCATTTTAATATTTTTGCCATTAATTTGCCTGAGTATCCTTTTAAACTGGCTTTTAGGATGGATTCGAAATACATTATTGGAAAAGCAGGTCTCCACTGACAAAATATATTCTTTTTCATAATTCTTCTTCTAAAATTTGGTGTTCCATTTTTTTCATTATCTTCCAAGTGTTACAGCTCATGATATTCATCATTTGGATCATGTCTAAATATATCCTAATTTACATATTAACATGCACCTGTGAGTCCTGTATATTTTTAATTCAATCAATAATGAAAACTTTGTTTACAAATGTAATTTAATGTTAATGTAAATTAAAACTGTAAATAACATAAATAAATTTGAGCCGCGCCATGACGGAACCAACAGTGCATTTGCAACCCACATGGGTCCACACAAGCCTGCACATCCACACAGTCTGATCAGGATCCATGCTGTTTGCTATAAGTTTCTCTACTTGGCATATCGGTTTGTAAGCGAACAGCATGGATCCTGATCAGACTATGGGGATGCGCAAGCTGGTCTGGATCCATACTGGTCGCAAAGGCACTATGTTGGTTGTGTCATGGCGCGGCTCAAAATATTTCAATAAAATCAAACCTGAATAAAACATATTTTATTATTTTATAAGATTGAGGAAAAGAGGTTCAAGAATTAAGTATGATTTATATGTTATAAGAATAAAGACTCATTTTTCACTATTTACAAACATATTTGATGCAGTAAAGGTTATCTGAAATATTTTTATCTCATTTTGATATTTTGAGCCGTTTGCAATTGTGTAAATTGCTTTCTTTAAGGTAGAAATCACAATATTTTACTTTATCATTTTTCAAAATTTTCATGAAAATAAGCATGAATCGGAAGGCATAAGTGCTTTAACTATAAAATACTTTGAGAATTTTAATTCAGTACAATTTAAAATCTAAAATACAATATGGTGAAATAATTAATTGCTAAAAGTATGGTAATATTTTTCAGAGGAGTTATTTCTCTTGTTTAACACATTACAAATGAATTATATACAAAAACATACAAAAATAGAATAAAGTTATTCAAATATTAGACAATATTTGGCAATAACATATGTTTAAATATAAATATATTAGAATATAAAGTCATACATTACCTTGAATAAGCCATCTTGTTTTTCTTTAATTCAAAGTTCCCAAATATACAAGTTGAAAATTCCTCCCAGCTTTTTTCTTCTTTTGTTCTGTCTATTATCTCCTAATTATCCATACTTTATAAATCCTGAATTATCACAAAATATAAGAATTTTCAAACAAATTTCATGTATTAAATTCACCACAAAACATGACTGTATATGATTTGATATCAAAAATAAAACACAAATAACGACAGCAAGATTTCATATAAACATATTGTATAAGTAAAAGTCCATTTGCATTAGTGAGTAATAGTTTTCCTTTCTTTACAATGATGCACATACAAACATACACACACATAAACATCTGTTGCCTTATTGTTTCTTTTCATTGATTACTTACACCTTAACTTATTCAATTTATTGACATACCCGTGACTTTTGTTGGACCACAACATCTTGGGGCTATTTAATAATTCATGCTTTCATTAATTTTATACCCCAGATTTCTTTTAACACTTTCCCCTATGGTTTTCCGTGAGAAGAACAAAAGGTCATGTGATGATCATGTGACCATCTTATTATTTGCACATTCCAATATTATAAGAAGCACATGTTTAGATTATGCATGAATTTAAATTTTCCAAAAGAATATGTTTAATAAGGCAAAAATCCAAAATGACTTATTCATATTATGATATGTCCATTAAATGTATAGAAAAAAATGTCTGTCAACAATTTCCATAGCATGTTTTAAATGAAGACATTTTCTTTTTGCTAGAAATCAACATGTAATAAAAAAAGAGATATGATCGAGTGTATATCTATGTATTTCCTCCAGTCCGATATTGATATTTTCTTTCTCAAATAGGAACATATGGTACTGATCACAATATTAACATACCATGTAAAAATATGTTACTATTTAATTTATGCTCCAGTTATTGACTTAAAAGTATCAGCTTTCAGTCAAAATAAAGTACATAAATAATATAAAAACATTTAATGTTTATTGTTTCATCAATTTAATATAAATTTACTTTTTTATTTAAATTTTAAGTTATTCAAAAGCAGTTTGGTTTTGTTTTGTTTTTTTTGGCCATTTTTTTATCTCTTCATTTAAGAGTCTAAATAAGGAAAATACTTGTCTTTTAGAAAGTTTTTTTTTTTGGTGTCGTTTTTTTTATTAATCCAAACAAGTATTATAATATTTTATACCTTTGAAAAATATAAATCTTTGAATGATAAATAAAGCCTAAAACATTCCAGTTTAATAATTTTTTTTAACTTTTTTAATTTATGTTGTAACTATTTCAGACAAAACATGTGTTACAAAATTTTTTTTTTTTAAATTTTACATTTTTTTTTTAGGATTGGGCATCAATTCAATGATGACTGTTTTTGGGGGTGGGGTTTGGGGGTGGAGGTTTGATGTGAGTTTTTAAGTCACATAAACATGAATGGTTACTTTCCGGCTTTACAAGTTAGAGCCCCTTTTATAATTTCATGCACAATCGGGCACATGATAATTAGAACTACTGACTTTCTGTTAACTTGCCCTTATACTTGCTTCATATGAAAGAATCTGTAGCCTCTGGTGGACCTCAAACCCAGTGTCTGTGGTCAACTTGGTGCCCTTAACCATTCTGTGACATATGCCCATACCTGCTGCTTTGAGAAGAAATAAAACCAAGTTAGAATTCAGTCAGGTACAATGAAAATAATCATCTGTTTTGATTCCATGATTTTTACAAAATTTCTGAAGCATGCTCTAAATACCACATGTTTATTTCACACTAAATAGGAACTACTATGTAGCATTGAAATTAAAAATTTCAGTTCCACCATTAATACATGTTTCTCAGCAGGTGTGTGTCAAGTTACATTTTATGCCAAAATGTTTTTATTTTTCAACAAGAGGGCCATCATGGCGCTGAAATCACTCACCTGAATATATCAAATCTCCATGACAAGGAACAAGTAATATTGTAAACTATAAACAAAAGCAGAATAAAATCTAAATCTTAAACCGATATCACAAAGTTCATATTTGTATCTGAAATTGTGCATGAGGAAAAACATTATTGGTTGCTATTGCTAAGGGAAAACAACAATTCCAAAAATGTGTACATATAAGGAAAATCAATGACACTCACTAGAAAATGTTTCATGCTTAGTATCTAAGCTCTACCTCTTTGGATTTTTAAAAGAAGAATTTTCTTGTTTTACTATATACATATAAGAAGAATCAATTTGAAAAACTTTTATTAAACTTTAAGGTGATCACCAGAGAAACATTCCTGTGAAGTTTGGATTAAATTGGCTTAGCTGTTCTGAAGAAATGTTGTTTAAAGTTAAAGTATATGGAATATGAAACGAATTGTGATCACAAAAGCTTACCTTGTCACTTTGTGACAGGTGAGCTAAAAGCTGATAATACAAGGTAGGAAGGAGACACAAAATTATGCGTACAAAAAGACTCTTTTACTGAGTCACTACTTTCATTTGGTTTTAAAATAGTTCTTCCAGAAATCACATGCTCCGGCATGCCTATTAATTTTACAGATACATTTTCATGAGGTTTAAAGACCCATAATTAGTGCTAAATTGAATTGACAGGTTACACTTGGGGTTTTTATAAAAATTCTTGACAAACTGTTGGCCACTCAAAAGACTTATTTCTAGGTAAAGGAAAGTAAAACTTTTCCGGTGGGCTAATCATGTTGTATGGTTTACTACCAATTATTGAAATCAATAAAACAAAATTAACAACTCTTGTAAATAAGTGAAACAAAACTAAGAACACTTCTAAATAAACATAAAAAACACAAATGGGAACACAACCAAATAAACAAGAAAATTGACAACACTTGTTAATAAACAAGACACATCTGAGAACTCTAAGTCTTGCAGATCAACTGAGCACAAATGCCAACACTTGTACATAGTGTAAATAATATAAATGAGAACACAACTGTCAACACTTGTTAATAGTGTAAATAATATAAATGAGAACACAACTGTCAACACTTGTAAATAATATAAATGAGAACACAACTGCCAACACTTGTAAAAAGTGAAAATAATATAATTAAAAACACAACTGTAAACACTTGTAAATAGTGTAAATAATATAAATGAGAACACAACTGCCAACACTTGTAAATAGTGTATATAATATAAATGAGAACACAACTGCCAACACTTGTAAGTAGTGAAAATAATATAATGAGAACACAACTGCCATCTGTCATCTACTAATCATGACTAACCTCCATGCCAAATATGACGAGTGTAAGTCAAAGGAATCTTAAGTTATTGGGCGGACAAGCTTTTTGAAGTCAAGGCCCCTGTGACCTTCACCTTTGACCTAGTGACCTCAAAATCAATAGGGGTCATCTACTTATCATGACTAACTTCCATGCCAAATATGAAGACTAAGGGTCAAAGGAATCTTAAGTTATTGGGCCGGCCGGACGGACAAGCTGATTCCAGTATACCCCCCTTACAACTTTGTTGTGCGGGGTATAATGAAATAAATGAGAACACAACTGTCAACACTTGTAAATAGTGAAAAAAATATAACTGAGAACACAACTGCCAACACTTGTAAATAGTGTAAATAATATAATGAGAACACAACTGCCAACACTTGTAAATAGTGAAAATAATATAACTGAGAACATAACTGCCAACACTTCTGAATGGTGTAAATAATATAAATGAGAACACAACTGCCAACACTTGTAGTGTAAATAATATAAATGAGAACACAACTGCCAACACTTGTAAATTTTGTAAATAATATAAATAAAATCACAACTGTTAACACTTGTAAATAGTGTAAACAATATAAATGAAAACACAACTGCCAACACTTGTAAAAAGTGTAAATAATAAAGATGAACACACAACTGTCAACACTTGTAAATAGTGTAAACAATATAAATGAGAACACAACTGCCAACACTTGTAAATAGTGTAAATAATATAAATGAGAACACAACTGCCAACACTTGTAAATAGTGTAAAAAATATAAATGAGAACAAAACTGACAAGAATTGTAAATAGTGTGAAAAATATAAATGAGAACAAAACTGCCAACACTAGTAAATAATGTAAATAATATGAATGAGAACACAACTGCCAACACTTGTAAATTGTGAAAAAATATATAAATGAGAACACAACTGTCAACACTTTTAAATAACGAAAATAACATAACTGAGAACACAACTGCAGACACTTGTAAATAGTGTAAAAAATATAAATGAGAACACAACTGCCAACACATGTAAATAGTGTAATTAATATAATGTGAACACGACTGCCAACACTTGTAAATAATATAATGAGAACACAACTGCCAACTCTTGTAAATAGTGTAAATAATATAAATGAGAACACAACTGCCAACACTTGTAACTAGTGAAAAAAATATAATAAGAACACATCTGTCAACACTTGTAAATAGTGTAAAAAATATTATGAGAACACAACTGCCATCACTTGTAAAAAGTGTAAAAAATATAATGAGAACACAACTGCCAACACTTGTTAATAGTGTAAATATTATAAATGAGAACACAACTGCCAACACTTGTTAATAGTGTAAATAATATGAATGAGAACACAACGGACAACAGTTGTAAATATCGTAAAAAATAAAATGAGAACACAACTGCCAACACTTGTTAATTGTGAAAAATATAAATGAGAACACAACTGCCAACACTTGTAAATAACATAATATGAGAACACAACTGCCAACACTTGTAAATATAGTGTAAATAATATAATGAGAACACAACTGCCAACACTTGTAAAATAGTTAGTGTAAATATTATAAATGAGAACACAACTGCCAACACTTGTAAATAGTGTAAATATTAATAAATGAGAACACAACTGCCAACACTTGTAAATAGTGTAAATATTATAAATGAGAACACAACTGCCAACACTTGTAAATAGTGTAAATAATATGAATGAGAACACAACGGCCAACACTTGAAAAAAACATAAAAAAAATGAGAAACACAACTGCCAACACTTGTAAATAGTGTTAATAAAAATATATGAGAACACAAACGGCCAACACTTGTAAATAGTGTAAATAATATAATGAGAACACAACTGCCAACACTTGTAAATAGTGTAAATATTATAAATGAGAACACAACTGCCAACACTTGTAAATAGTGTAAATATTATAAATGAGAACACAACTGCCAACACTTGTTAATAGTGTAAATAATATGAATGAGAACACAACGGCCAACACTTGAAAATAACGTAAAAAAAATGAGAACACAAACTGCCAAACACTTGTAAACTAGTGTAAAAAATATAATGAGAACACAACTGCCAACACTTGTAAATAGTGTAAATAAAATAAATGAGAACACAACTGCCAACACTTGTAAAATAGTGTAAATAATATAATGAGAACACAACTGCCAACACTTGTAAATAGTGTAAATAATATAAATGAGAACACACCTGCCAACACTTGTTAATAGTGTAAATAAATATAAATAAGAACACA